TCAGATGGCTCATTCATCACAAAACCAACTGATATTGCCAACTACTTTAATGATTTTTTTCACTGGCAAGATTAGCAAACTTAGGCATGACATGCCAGCAACAATTGCTGACACTACACATCCAAGTATATCTGACCAAATTATGAAAGACAAGCATTGTAATTTTGAATTCCGTAAAGTGAGTGTGGAAGAGGTGAAAAAAGTATTGTTGTCTATCAACAATGACAAGCATGTCATGGTCTGACAACTTGGATGGAAAATTACTGAGGATAATAGCGCACAATATTGCCACTCCTATTTGCCATATTTTCAATTTAAGCCTACAAGAATGTGTGTGCCCCCAGGCTTGGAGGGAAGCAAAAGTCATTCCGCTACCTAAAAATAGTAAAGCCCCCTTTACTGGCTCAAATAGCCGACCAATTAGCCTGTTACCAACCCTTAGTAAAACTATTGGGAAAAAATGTCTGCTGCAGGAAAAATGTATGTGTTACGGCTTTACTCCACCTGCTATATTGTGGATACAGAGTTACCGGTCTAACAGAACACAGAGGGTGTTCTTTAATGGAAGCCTCTCAAACATAATCCAGGTAGAATCAGGAATTCCACAGGGAAGCTGTCTAGGCCCATTACTTTTTTCAATCTTTACTAATGACATGCCACTGGCTTTGAGTAAAGTCTATGTACAGTGGGGAGAACAAGTATTTGATACACTGCCGATTTTGCAGGTTTTCCTACTTACAAAGCATGTAGAGGTCTGTAATTTTTATCATAGGTACACTTCAACTGTGAGAGACGGTATCTAAAACAAAAATCTAGAAAATCACATTGTATGATTTTTAAGTAATTAATTTGCATTTTATTGCATGACATAAGTATTTGATACATCAGAAAAGCAGAACTTAATATTTGGTACAGAAACCTGTTTGCAATTACAGAGATCATACATTTCCTGTAGGTCTTGACCATGTTTGCACACACTGCAGCAGGGATTTTGGCCCACTCCTCCATACAGACCTTCTCCAGATCCTTCAGGTTTCGGGGCTGTCGCTGGGCAATACAGACTTTCAGCTCCCTCCAAAGATTTTCTATTGGGTTCAGGTCTGGAGACTGGCTAGGCCACTCCAGGACCTTGAGATGCTTCTTACGGAGCCACTCCTTAGTTGCCCTGGCTGTGTGTTTCGGGTTGTTGTCATGCTGGAAAACCCAGCCACGACCCATCTTCATTGCTCTTACTGAGGGAAGGAGGTTGTTGGCCAAGATCTCACGATACATGGCCCCATCCATTCTCCCCTCAATACAGTGCAGTCGTCCTGTCCCCTTTGCAGAAAAGCATCCCCAAAGAATGATGTTTCCACCTCCATGCTTCACGGTTGAATAAATCTTTAGAATAGTTACTTTATTGCCCATCTTGTGGCACACGCACATTAAGACTTACAGGGTCAGCCACAGAGCAGCGCCTCTGGATGGAGAGCAGTTTAAGGATTAAGTCCCTTGCTCAAGGGCACAACGGCAGGAAATGTTACCTTGGGAGTGCTGATATAGGATCAGTTTTGCCTTTTAGATAATGATATGGACAGGAGGGACGTAAATCAGTAAGCTTTGTGAATATGAGCCCAGCAGCCCTCGGGTTGCCAGCTTGATACCGCTCTTAGAAACAATTCCTCAATAATTATGAAATGAGTCAGACAATCATATGGAAACATACAAGACTGAGCTTTGAAAATTGATTTAATTCAGCTTAATATGAAAATTAATTCAAGCACTCTGAAAACCAATGGATTAACACCTGACATTTAATTCAGTACATGGAATACAAATGCTATTTAAGTCAATTTCAAATGTGATTGAGATTGTGATATTTTTCTACTGCTCGTGTAAAATGTATCACCATTAACTAATAAGCACAATATAGATACAAAATAAAACCCTGAGAGAAACTGTGTGATCCACACTATAATAAACCATTGCAATATAAATAGCAATGGCTAAGTGATATACTTATAGAAAATTATATAAAATAAATGCCTTCCTTTTAATGACAAAGAATGAAGGATGGTGCAGACCTATCCTCTGAAAGTCCTTGGTAGAAATACTATAGGGAGGGGGGAAAAAATGTACGTCCAAATACATGTAAAGTATTGGTGTGTTTAATACAATGCAAAATGTTCCTTGTTATATCATTACAACAATAGCAGTCAGAACCATTGAAATTGAGAACATACAGCTGAGATTGTGAAATGCACATCAGCGTCGCCACCGTCTGTCCAGCTATGAAGCTTTAAATGGTAGAAGACAGATCTCAGTTGAAATACTATTTCTAATGTTTCAAAAACTTTAAGCGTTTGCATTAGCCTGCCTGGATTGCCAGGCCTGGTGGGAAGGGTTTGCACTATTGGGACTTTATTGGTTTCATTGCAACAGGCAAGCTCAATCGAGCACAGCTAAAGAATTTTGAATGATTTCAAATAGTATTTTAACCAAGGGATGGTTTAAGACAGGGGTCAACTGCAGAGAAAAGAGTAGTAAAACAAACATTCATGTAACAGTACTGGCCCACTAAAAGGTTGCACTATTTGGCCTTGTATACTCAGGTTGTACAAATGATGTACAACACATTTTCACACAATTGTTGTGATACAACAATGTTGTTTTTCTTAGCACAAAAAGAATTACAGAAGTGATGTGGAGTAACTCTGTACAGACTAACTCTGTTGTATAAGTTGTATATCACACAACCATTCTGTTAAATGCATTGTCCATCAGTTGTACAACCTGAGTGAGTACAGGGCCTTTTTGGTACTGGTGAACGACTGCAGGTCACACAAACAATAAGAAATGAATAAGAAAAGGAAAGTAGATCTCCTCCAGGTCAATGCTTTTCAGATCTAACATATACATTGACAAGAGTAAATAGTATTAATACTAAATGATAACAAACGGGAAACAAACCAAACAATAACAGCAGAGCTATTGAGAACATAAACTTCATTATAACACAACCAACTAAAACAGAATGACAATTATTACTGCATACAAATAGAAAAACTCAACTTTTGACTATTGCATACAGTTTTCCAAATTACATTTAAGTATTTTATACAAGGTATGTTAAGAAATAACAAATACTTTCCCTTTGAACTATATAAAAACAAAATTCCAACAATTATGTACATATCGGAATTATTATCAAATCCATAGCTTCCCGACTTCAATATCCTTACATAAAACTACAACTCTGCATGTCTAAATGTGTAGCACGTTCTTTAAATAAAACACATTCTACGTCTTCGTCCCAAACGGCACCCTATTCCTGAAATCGTATGCTACTCAAATGGGCCCTTTAAAAAAAATAGTGCACTAGAGAATAGGGCACCATTTGGGATGCACCTACAACTGCTGGCTCAAGTGTATAATCCTAAAGACTTGAATACAAACCATGGTGGATTGGAAAATGATTAGGAACCAGACTGTTCATGTCATAACAGTACTAATTGACCGGATGGCTATCTCAATCCAAAAATGTACACATCTAAAAACACAGAACTTCATCTAGACCCGAGTTATATGTAGCCTAGGTACTAGTCTGTTTGTGCCATCATGCCATGACAAGGAGTTAAAGGAATTAAATTAATAGAATCCAAAACACAAGTGAAATCTTTCTTGGGGTCATTAGCACACTGATAAATTCTGGTGAAAAGTTTCACATAATTAAAAAAGGTCCAATGTTGCTATTTTTTATCTCAATGTAAAAAAAAATCTGGGTAACAATGAAGTACCTTACTGTGCTTGTTTAAAAAAAAAAATCAACCTTTCTTTTTAGCAAAGAGCAATTTCTCACGCAATAATTTTGCTAGGACTGTCTGGGAGTGGTCTGAGTGGGGAGGGGAAAACTGAAAACTAGCTGTTATTGTCAGAGGTTTGGAACTCTTCCTTATTGGTATTAACTAATTTAGTCACCAGGCAGGTCAAAACTCCATCCCACTAAAACAGGCTGAAATTCCAGGGGCATCATCATCATTTTCACAATATTATTCCAAACTCCGTGTGAAAATATATATAAAACACAGACAAATTACATTTTTGACTGCACTGAGCCTTTAAAGGTTTGGTTGCTATGTACATGGGAAAAATAAAAACCAGGTGGTGAAGAAAAGGAATAACCGAGATTAGTAAAAAATAAATACAAAAGATGGAGCAAACTGGAGGAGAGGTGAGAACATGGATGTGAACACGGAACTGTAAAGGTAATGGCAAGCATTACTACTACCACAAAATAAATATAAAAGCTATTTGAAAATAAATAATCCCAAACTAAATTAGTAAATCTCAAACTAAAGATGAACTCAAAATCCCATTTGACTGGATTGTCAGGAAATAAATTATTTCCCTTTTATTTCCCATTGAAAACCTTCACCCTGTTGCCTTCAAGCATGCACGCTTGCGCACACAGAAAGTAGACCCACGTCAAATGAAGAATGGGTCATATCATGGGTTATATTGTAACTTATCATCAACTAAAATTGATTTCAGACATTTTTCATTGCCAATTTGATGAATACATGATTCCTGCATGTAAGTTAAATGGTTTCAATGATTAGACAGATCATATACATTAATTGATCCATACATTTTCCATTGATCTGAGCGGTGCATGACCAACTAAATGTTGAGATGCTTCTCAATATATTTCATATCAAGGTATGAATAATACCAAATGTGAAAGCAGAGTACCAAAGTAGAATGTGAATATTTCAGCGCTAGAAAAGCGCTATATATACATTCAAGCAATGGGAAGGGGTATAGGGTGAGAACATGAGTGGATGACAGGTTTAGGTGAGGACACCAGATGAACAAAAGTTGAATTATAGAACAAAAAATAAACAAACAGTTTCTTAAAGCAGTCATGTCCTTCAAGTCCTCTTTAAATTTACATCCATCTTTCCTCCGAGAATCGTTCCCTCAAAAAAATCTTCCTCCATCCATATCTCCCGAAGCAGCTCTCACAGGAGAAGCTTCCCATTGCGGTGTATTTTCAGAATCTTTCCTAGTCTCTGTTTTGCTGTTGCAAGTCCTTTCTTTGGACGTTTCCCTGAGATGAAGGGAGGCAGTAATGGGTAAGAATGTTGGGGTTGTCGCATTTGTGAATATCAATGTGTCAATCTTGTTCATTAGGCACCAAATGGAAGACAACAGATAAACAGGGAGGGACTATCTGGACATTTAATTATAATTTCCCATTGCAAAACGCTTTGAAACGTTTTCCGTTGTGTGCCCTAATGAACACAACTCATGTCTATGTGCTGTGATGTGTTGTGTGTTCTGTGTACTTACCTCCACCAGCTCCAGCGCTGCCGGGGCTGGCTAGCCCAGCAGGGGAGGCTGCTGAGAGGGAGTAAGTGCTGCTGTTCTGGGGGGAGAGGGAGGGTCGCCTGGAGGTGAGGAACACCCCAGGAGCCATAGCAGCACTCCCTCTGGGGCCTCCGGGGCCGAACGGGCCAGGGCCCGCCGTGTACTCATGGTCCAGTAGACTGGCAGAGTAGCACTCCATCCTCCGCTCAGGGCTGAAGTCAGGGGTGGGAGGCTCCGGGGCTGGAGGTGGGGAGGGAGGGGACGGCTCGGCCTGAGGAGGGGGCTGTGGTGGGGCAATGGGGCGGGGCTTTTTGGTGTACTTCCTCTTGGTGGGTTTCTGGATCTCCTGGATGAATAAACAAATAAACTATTAGACAACAGTTAACTCACTCATCTTCCCTAGTTCCTTGGAACATGGCATTTTGACATTTGGCTCTCAATTGACAGTTGAGGGAAAACATTTATTTGGTGGTTGTCTCATCTATTTGAATGCCTATAAGATTTTGTAAAAGGCACTACCGCTAACTGCCCTACCTCTCTCAGAACTGCCCGCAGAAGTGGAGAGGAGATTCAGCAACACTTGGAGGACAATGGAATTAAATTTAAAAAGCTTCTTTATTACTAAAAGTAGATCCTCCTCCAACATATGTCCCCTCCTCTCACCTGTTTTGCCAGTTTGGCAGCAGCTGCAGCAAGGCCAGTCTCTACAGATGCCACTCTAGCCCCATCCCTCACTGGGCGCTCCTGTTTGGGCAGGGTGGGGGTCACCCGGGCTGAGGGAACAAGAGAAGATGTTAGTGGAATTAATCTAATTATTGGTAAAACTTTATTTGGAAAATCCCCATAAAGATGGTTTCTAAATGTTCAACTAAGTACCAACACATTTCCTTTGCTGATTTGGTCATGAAACATGTCCACGCCACGGTCCAACATTCAGGGACTTCATTTAATGAGTACCTTTGGGGCTCCAAGGAGTGTCGCCCCAGTTCCTCTTTCTCTTCATCTTGACCTGGTCCTCCTCATCAGACTCTAAGGACGGATAGACTGAAACACAGACAGACAGTCAAGGATAATGACTGTGACATCATTGGATCATTTACATTTAGTTAAGTATCCATAGTGCCTTGAATGGACCATGATTTAGTCACCAGACAAGCTCAAATAATGTTGGTGCGTTCGTTTTTAGCTCGCCCAGGAACCAGTTAGGCGGAGTGTGCATATTTGAGACTAGGGCTGTTGCGGTGACCGTATTACCGCCACACCGGCAGTCACGAGTCATGACCTCAGTCAAATTCCCTGTGACCGTTGGTCACGGTAATCCCATCCAAAACTGTGCAAAGGAACAGTGTTGATGGGTAGCCTACCAAACTTGCTAATGGCCTGATACTCAGCGCTCTATTGTACCTCTAATCACTCTCTCAACACTTCATGATTGAATTTGAGTAATCTGAATGAGGAGGACAAATGGTGATGGGAGTTAGAGCTCCCGTTCTGAAATGGACACAGAAAAGCCCCGGATTCAATATGCATCAAATAATTTTTAAAACCCGTGCCAAAACTAATTTAGAATTTTAGGACCCCTTTAGGTATCGAAAAATATATAAAATATTTGATAAAATATTGAATTTGGCCTTCACTACTATAGCCCAGAGAAAAGCATTGACTAACACATTCACAAATGAAAAAAATACAGTAAAAAAAATGATAATAAGAAACAAGGTTAAGTGTTTGTCCTATATCTAGGAGATATAACAACGCTCAGGAAATATATATATTTTTCACACATATTTAACCCCTTTCTTGGGTAGGCACAAAACTACCTTCATACTTCCACACATTTTTTAAAACCGGTAACGGTTACCTTCAGATGAGTCCTGTGACAAAACAGAGACCACCATCGTGTTCGTGAGAGTCTCCCCTTTCCATAGAGTGGTCATAATAGTTTGTAAAACTGTCAAACCGTTCGGAAGCCACAGACGTTTTCATGAAAAGACTGATTTTCGGGATGTCTCATGGTCTGAAAAACACCGCTCCAGCTCTGCCACAGATATCTCTAGATTAAACTGACAGGATTTTGATGTGGATTTTTTATTATTCTACTTAGATTGACGCACCGGTGTGTCAATCGACTCTAGAGGGTTAAACCGGAGCCATTACCGAAAGGGGGAGAGAGAGGCACAGGGCGAGCAGCTGTAGGCTATTAGGGACTGGAGGCCGTGCGTTGTGTGTTTGAGAATGTGTCCATAAGGCTAGGGGAAGCTAAGCTTTCCTTAAAGTACATTTGATTGCCAAAATTATTCAAGGGTTTATCTTTATTTTTACATTGTAGAATAATAGTAAAGACATCAAAACTATGAAATAACACATATGGAATCATGTAGTAACCAAAAAAGTGTTAAACAAATCAAAATATATTTTATATTTGAGATTCTTCAAAGTAGCCACCCTTTGCCTTGATGACAGCTTCAAATCAAATCTTATTTGTCACATGCGCCAAATACAACAGGTGCAGACCTTACAGTGAAATGCTTACTTACAAGCCCTTAACCAACAATGCAGTTTTAAGAAAGATTACCCCCCCCCCAATTTTTTTTTTTATATATTTATACACACACAATAAAATAATACAAAATAAAGTAACAAATAATGAAAGAGCAGCAGTAAAAATAACAATAGCGAGGCTATATACAGGGGGTACCGGTACCGAGTCAATGTGCGGGGGGCACCGGTTAGTCGAGGTAATTGGGGTAATATGTAGGTAGAGTTATTAAAGTGACTATGCATAGATAATAAACAGAGAGTAGCAGCAGCGTAAAAGAGGGGTGGGGGGCAATGCAAATAGTCTGAGTAGCCATTTGATTAGATGTTTAGGAGTCTTATGGCTTGGGGGTAGAAGCTGTTTAGAAGCCTCTTGGACCTAGACTTGGCACTCCGGTACCGCTTTCCGTGCGGTAGCAGAGAGAACAATCTATGACTTGGGTGGCTGGAGTCTTTGACAATTTGTAAGGCCTTCCTCTGATACCACCTGGTATAGAGGTCCTGGATGGCAGGACGCTTGGCATTCTCTCAACCAGCTTCATGAGGTAGTCACCTGGAATGCATTTCAATTAACAGGTGTGCCTTCTTAAAAGTTAATTTGTGGAATTTCTTTCCTTCTTAATGCGTTTAAGCCAATCAGTTGTGTTGTGACAAGGTAGGGGGGATAGCCCTATTTGGTAAAAGACCAAGTCCATATTATGGCAAGAACAGCTCAAATTAGCAAAGAGAAACGACAGTCCATCATTACTTTAACACATTTAGGTCAGTCAATACGGAACATTTCAAGAACTTTGAAAGTTTCTTCAAGTGCAGTCGGAAAAATCATCAAGCGCTATGATGAAACTGGCTCTCATGCGGACCGCCACAGGAATGGAAGACCCAGAGTTAACTCTGCTGCAGAGGATAAGTTCATTAGAGTTACCAGCCTCAGAAATTACAGCCCAAATAAATCTTTAGCGTTTATTTTTTTGCTGAGTTTATATATGTCTAATTAGCCTACTCCTGTATACAGAAATAAATCAAATAATTAAAAAAATGGGCAACTACACCAGAAAGCATGATTTGGCCACAGAGAATCAATAGCTTCTTTAAAATTAAAAAAAGCTGTGGATTGTTTTAAATCGCATAGCCTACAGTTGGAAGGGCCAGAATTTGGCCAGCGCACACGACAAATACCAAATCGATTGTTGTTGAGTTACGACTGTCAGTGAAAAACAGAGACCCATCCAGGCATATCACAACATTTAAAAAATACACATCTCAGAAAAACAGTTTGGAAAGCAAATGGCTATTGCTGTAAAGAGATGACAATGAAGAGACTCCAATCTGTCTTTTAGTTATCAAAATTCGTAACTTAATTGAGCGAACAATAGCCTATCTTATTGGCACCAGCGGAGAATATCGGCCATATCCCCGGTGAGTGTGCATATTCACTGTCTTTATCATTGGGTCAGTATCACGTTTGTTTGTTTTTGGACAATCATTTCCTCCTCCAGGTTAGATGGACGTCATATTGTATTTGTGTCTCCCCTTTTCGTAGGCCGTTTATATGGATCAGACATCGTTTCTATTTATCTGTTTGTCAGAGTCAGCAAAGTAGGCTACCCTAAAATGTGTCGTATGAAAGAAAAGACTGCTAATGTCTCCAGTCAAATAAAGTATAGTAGAATTTCATGAAATGTGTTTATAAAAGTCCAACATTTCCCTGTGGAAAGAAAATGAGAAATGTATCTGATATAGCCTAGCCAACTTTACACCACTACGCGCTGCATAGAACAATCTTTTTTGCTTACAGTGATTGAGTTATATTATTAGCCTCAATCATGACTATCCAATTTAATCATCACATTAGGAATAGTAGGCTTACATAAGTCTGCAAATGCAATGATGCATGGAATGCTTTATTATAAAGGTGAATTTTTATGGTGAAAATTAGCTTCCCCAAACTTGAAATCCCCGTGCTGCTTATGTATGCACTGTCGGCTTGAAGCACCGCAGCACCGAGGGAGAGACCCGTAACCACTGTTATCTCGCGCTAGACTAACGTCTTGCTAGTTATTTATCATCCCATCCGATTACATTGTACCCGTCTTGACTGCATCAAACTGAGAGAAGCTAGTTAAACTAGCTAGCTAGGCTAATTGAGGCTAGCCATAATGTTACTGTGCTTCTCACCGTCCTACAGTTAGCCTACACATAACAACTTCATTCAGGTTATAGCCTAAATAGCAGCCTACATTTTTTCCCTCATTTTAATTCCATCTTCCATTGATTAGATAGCACCTTAATTGCTTGCCACAAAAGCAAAGCAGCAATGCAATCGTCTCCCTCTCTACGGTAAAGATCAGAGCACATCCCTTTTTTTGCAACCTTTTCCAAATCATCAATATAGAGTTGCATCATGCAGCCCTTATGTTTTGATTTCTAAGGCATTCCCAGGTTTATAGGCCTATCACAACTAAATAAATAATGGATTTTATTGTGATGGTGTAGGCTATATTAAATTGATACTTATTTGACTTTTTAAAATCTAGATGTTCCAAAGGCGCAGCTTGTATGCGTGGAAGCCTGGAGAAGGTAAACATGTTCATGTTCATTATCGGTCAATTACTGTGAGACCAGCAGTCATTTGCAAGAAAATTACCAGCTGGCAAAATGTCATGACCACCACAGCCCTATTTGAGACCATTCCAAAATGTCATGACCACCACAGCCCTATTTGAGACCATTCCAAAATGTCATGACCACCACAGCCCTATTTGAGACCATTCCAAAATGTCATGACCACCACAGCCCTATTTGAGACCATTCCAAAATGTCATGACCACCACAGCCCTATTTGAGACCATTTCAAAATGTCATGACCACCACAGCCCTATTTGAGACCATTCCAAAATGTCATGACCACCACAGCCCTATTTGAGACCATTCCAAAATGAATGCACCCAGGGTGAGGGGAGTAGCCTCTGAGCAGTAGCCAGGAGCTGTGATCCTTCCTCCTATGACTTAACCTGGTCAATACTTGAACACCATATAGGGACTAGGGAGCATATGGACGCACACAGCCTATGACTCACCATACTCTGCGTCTTTAAAACAGGTACCAAGAGTCTCCTGCTCGTCTGTGCTCTCCTCATCACTAAGGTGACGGGCCGGCCGCTTGACAGGCCGTTTCCCAGGACGCTGGAACGTTTTCTTCTCTTTAGAGGAGCTTCCCCCTCCTGCTCTGCTCTTATTGGCTCCTGTCACCCACACGGCTCGTCCTCCTTTCTCTTTGACTAATCCCAGTCCCTCAGACAGCCCTCCAGAGACAGAGAGAGGGGAGGAAGAGGAGGAGGAAGAGGAGGAGGAGGAAGAGGAGGGAGGGTTGGCCATGGAGAGCATGCCCTGAATAGCTTCTTGTGTGCTGGGAGAGGCTGGGGCTTCCTCACTGGAGGGTGGAGGAGAGAGAGAGATGAGTGATCATGATTCACCACACAAACAGAACTAAAATGTAGTTTGAGTAAGAATTAAATTAGATCTGTTGCAAAAACTTGGCAAAAAATTTCAATTACGAAAGTCATCCAAGCTTCTCAGTAATGTTAATGGAAGCAAAGAGTAAAACATTCATCTTCCCCATTTTGTTGGCTCCCACTACAATTTTTCCATTATCCACTTGATTTCAGAAAGATTTAAAAAAAATACATGATAGTCTGAAACAAAATGTATTCATAGTGCTGATTAAGTGTCTGGAATTGTGAGGCAGGTCCTACCTGAGAGCGGAGTCCAGCCCTGCCACCTGTTTGCTGGCCTTCAGCAGGTCCAGGATGCCCCCGGCTCCACCCTTCACTCCATGGACAGTCAAGGTCTCCTCCTCATCGGTGGTGTAGTCCTCTTCAATGTCGAAGTCCACCTCTCCGGGTTCCCTGATGCGATGGGGGTCAGAGCAAGGCTTGGCCCTTGGTAGCTTCCGGGGGAGACCTGAGGGGACAAGGGTTGTTCAGTAGGTACAAAACTACCTGAAACTGTGAAACAGAGAGGAACTAGAAGACATTTTCATTTTTTCTGTAGCAGTTTTTGTTGCAAAGTGTGCCCTGATGGAATACGATCTAGGCCAGCGGTCTCCAGCCTTTTCTAGCACGAGAGCTACTTTGAAAAAATTTAAACATTTCACGAGCTACTAATAATTGTTATCCATAGCTTTCATATAGGCACATGATTATTTTCTACTCTGCAACTCATCCCCAGGTCCTTGGTGTACAAGATATGTGTTTTACGTCAATATATCTGGTACAATAATGGTTAATAAACAGTATTTGAAATGACAGGCCCATTAAAATTATTTTTTGTATTTTCCTGAAAATTGATGTTGAAGTCCATGTCAATGTTTAAATCACATCAGAAGACATTTTGAGTTCCCCCCAATTTTCTTTTGGAATACATTTTAATTTGAGTGTAATTTCCATTTAATTGCACATCTAGCAAGAGAGGAAAGTGTCGGTCTAGCGATGTTTCTGCTATTAGACCTACTTCTGCGGCAAGCAGTTTGTTAAACAATGGCCACCCATTTGATACAAATAATCATGATATAGTTCTGTCAGGTAAGCCAACTTTGCAGTTAACATTTAATTGAAAAGGTTTTTTTGGGGAAAGTCATCGTCTACCCACAAGACGGTTGGTTAATCATTAACATCGCTAACTGGCTACATACAGAGTGCTAAACAAACGCGCACCAAACAGACATGGGCAATATTGCTGGAAATTAATTGGCAGACATTGTGTTACGTTTGGCTTTTTAAGCCAATAGTGGCTAACCAGGGGTGGGATAATGTCAATGTGGCTTTGATTGGATAGTAGCAGGGAGCTTTATGTTTATGACAGTTTGCAATGGAATAAATGAAAGAAATGCATGTACTTTCAGAATTGCTTGCTGAGCTACTCATCGGTGGGCTGCTAGCTACTGGTAGCTTGAGATCTACCTGTGGGAGATCCCTGATCTAGGCATACATACATAAGGTGGGTTCTAGTTTGATGTGGCCCCACCAACCGACAAAACCTACCCCAAACAATACACTACATGACGAAAAGTATGTGGACACCTGCTCGTCGAACATCTCATTCCAAAATCATGGGCATTAATATGGAGTTGGTCCCCCCTTTGCTGCTATAACAGCCTCCACTCTTCTGGGAAGGCTTTCCACTAGATGTTGGAAACATTGCTGCGGGGACTTGCTTCCATTCAGCCACAATAGCATTAGTGAGGTTGGGCACTGATGTTGGGTGATTAGGCCTGGCTCACAGTGTGTATGCGACCAATACAATTTGATAACGATAACACTCACTGACCCGGATTACATCACTCAGTTACCCAAAGGACTCTTCAAAAACCTTTAGCCTCAAGGCTCAGAAGGCTGAACCGAATGCCCCAACGAGAGCAGAAAACTATTTTATTCTTTAGTAATGAATGATATTACGAAGCAGGTGCTCCCCAACTACATATTACATTCAAACTAGATTATGTAAAGGGTCTCTTTCTCACCACTGAGTTTCTTCTTGCTAGATCCTCCAGCCTTGCGTCGTGGAGGGGGAGTTTCATCAATCTGCAGTTCGTCCTCGGACTCGAAATCTGACATGGTAGACCCTCCCACAGCATGGTGCTGGAAGTGAGTGGCACGGCCTGCACTGTTACTGCTGCCTGAACGACCACCCTTCTTCCTGTGGGCAGAAATAAGGATGGATGACCCTGAAATGTAGCAATAACATGATGAGAGACAGACAGAGAGGCAGAGAGAGCGAGAGAGAGAGATGTGGAGATCGAAGAGAGAGAGAGTGAGAAAGGATGAGAGAGGGGAAAAAAAGAGAGATTAAGATATGGCATGAAGATCTCTGCTGTGTCTCCTGATCTCCCAGTCTTACCCCTGTATTTTGCCATTGGTCAGCACCAGTTTCAGTTTGCTCTTGCTCATTCTCCCTGCAAACTCCTCCAGAGGCAGCTCTAACTGGAGAAGGAGAGGAATGGCACACACTTGTTAGCGTTTCACTATCATACACATTACCAATGTGAGGCTGAGAGCCGAAGTACATTTCGACTTTCAACCTTATTTGTTCCAGAGAGGGAAATGTTGAGGTAAAAAGGACTATGTTGAACAGTCATACCTTCTTCTTTTTCTTCTTGTTACCAGATTGGAATTTCTTCAGTGTGTGTTTGGTGTGGATCTCCAGGAGGTCCAACTCGCCTGCCTCTTTCATTAAGCCCTTTTGACCCTTCTTCTTGGGACTGGGGGACACATCCTTGGGTTTGGGGCCTCTCTTCGTCCCCGGGGGGCGGCCTGGACTCCGGGAGATGGCTAGAGGGGAGGCTTTGGGGAGGGGGGTGGGGAAGCCCTGTGTAGAGGTGAAAGGAGCTGCAGGACGGCCTTGCTGGAAGATGTCCTGTGGGGGCAGAGAGGAGAAGACTGAGTATTCTCAGTAAGACAGACTGAAATTAATTCATACACTCATGTCTGAATGTGCCTCACACTATAGGTGCGACCTGAACTGTACTGGCACAGATCTTTTCTATGGTGGACGAACAACCAGGCCAGCCCAGTAGCTTGGCTCGGTCAGTGTACTCTACAAAATATTGCCCCCTGCCTACCTCAACCAGTCGTATCTCCTTGGCCAGGTCCTTCACTAGACGCTGAGTCTCTATGGTCTCTGGAATCTCCACCTCGTGGTCAGTCAGCGACTGGCCAGAGCACAAAAACAGAACGTCACAAGACACAAAGGACTACAGCGCCCAATATAACTAGCTTCATGACACCTTATGCCATTGTTCACAATGTTTATGAATGCCTATGACAGGTGTTATGTCTTATGTAGCTGCTATAAAGGCTTAATTAATGCATACATAAGGGGGCCTACAGTAAAGAATCACCTCTTTGCGTGTCCAGGTGCGGAAAGCATTGTTGAGGGCCTTGGCTCCATGGACCAGGTAGGTAGCAGGGTGTCTGCGGTTCTCTCGCAGACCTGTAAAGTAGGCCAATATAGACGTTCAAAGTTCCTGACAAACATTGCCCCAACAAATGCAGTTCAGCAGAGGGGGGGGGGGGGGAAACAATGGTTTATGATGAAGCGCCTCACCTCTGAATGTGTCGAGCAGGTGCTTGCCAACATACCAACACACCGTCTCAAAGTTTGGAAACCGGAACAGGTCGGCTGTACTCAACCTCTTCTCTATTTCATATGCTCTGATGGGAGGAGGAGACAGAACACAGGGTGAATGGTAATATACATTTTGTAATTAAGCAGTAATGCCAGAGGGGTGTGTGGTATATGGCCAATATACCACAGATAAGGGCTGTTCTTATGCACGACGCAACGCGCCCCCGAGGTGCCTTATTACCATTATAAACTGGTTACCAACTTAATTAGAGCAGTAAATATACATGTTTTGTCATACCCGTGGTATACCACGGCTGTCTGCCAATCAGCATTCAGGGCTCGAACCACCCAGTTTATAATAGAACGTATAGTATGAACACATGGTACAATGGTAATACAATGGTAATACAATGGACATTTACATTTGAGTCATTTAGCAGACGCTCTTATCCAGAGTGACTTATAGTAGCAATTAGTGTTGCTCAAGGGCACACCAACAGAGCCTTGTCGGCTCGGGGATTTGGAGCCAGCAACCTTTCAGTTACTGGCCCAACGCTCTAAGCGCGAGGCTACCTGCCGCCATGTATTGTGTGAGCAATTTTCCAAATGGCATTCTAGTTATGATTGGTAGAGAGAGGTCGCTAAGATCGGTTGAGAAAAACTGAGTACAGTAGGTGATGTGACTAATGTTTAAGGAGGAGGCAGGGGTGACGGGACTCACCGGAGCTGCATGTCAATGTTGAGGCTGTGTAGGAAATTCCCTCCGAAGGCCACACAGTCCACAGGAGTCAGCACAGCGTGGATCCATCCTGAGAGACACACACAGGTACATGTAAACAACTCACACATACCACAGGTAATAAACTATTAATATATGCATGTCCTATTGGCACATAATATACAGAGTTCTGACAAACTCCACTGGAAATGTACTGCATGTCTAACACAATAGCAGGCCTGTCACAGGACAACTCCCTGTACATACTCACCGGACAGTTTATTAGGTACACCACCATTAGGTACACCACCCTGTTCATGAAAATGGATCGCTCCTACAGAGAGTGAGTCACGTGGCCGTGGCTTTTTATACAAAGCAGGCAGACATGCATCCATTTACTGTTCGATTGAATGTTAGAATGGGCAAAACGAGTGACTTAAGCGACTTTGAGCGTGGTATGATCATCGGTGCCAGGCCAGCCAGATTCAGGATCTCCGAAACGGCCACCCTCCTGGGCTTTTCACGCACAACAGAGTCTAGGGTTTCCAGAGAATGGTGCGACAAACAAAAAACATCCAGTCAGCGACAGTCCTGTGGGCGAAAACAACTAATTGATGAGAGGTTGAAGGATAATGGCAAGAATCGTGCAAGCTAACAGGCGGGCCACAAACAGACAAATAATGGCGCAGTACAACAGTGGTGTGCAGAACGGCATCTCGGATTGCACAACTCATCGATCCTTGTCACGAATGGGCTATTGTAGCAGACGACCACACCGGGTTCCACTCCTATCAGCTAAAAACAAAAAGAAGTGGCTCCAGTGCGCACGCCATCACCAACACTGGACAATTGAGGAGTGGAAAAACATTGCCTGGTCCGACGAATCCCGGGTTCCTGTTGAGTCATGCTGATGGCAGTGTCAGGATTTGGTGTAAGCAGCATGAGTCCATGGATGCCATTGTGTCAGCATGGACCAACATCCCTGTGGAATGTTTCCAACTTGTAAAATCCATGCCCCGAATAATTCAGGCTGTTCTGGAGGCAAAGGGGGGTCCGACCCGGTACTAGATGGGTGTACCTAATAAACTGTGTACTCTAGACCACTCAAACTCTACTTTGGACCTCAAAGCCAGTTCCACTGCATTTTTTCATTATTGCCCTCTGATCATGTACTGATTTAGACATGGGGAAACACTTTGTTGAATACCTGTTGGGATGGAGGGTAAATAAAGAGGGTGAATACCTGTTGGGTGGAAGAGGGTGAACAGCTGTTGGAATGGAGAGGGTGAACAGCTGTTGGAATGGAGAGGGTGAACAGCTGTTGGAATGGAGAGGGTGAACAGCTGTTGGAATGGAGAGGGTGAACAGCTGTTGGAATGGAGAGGGTGAATACCTGTTGGGATGAAGAGGGTGAATACCTGTTGGGATGGAGTACCTGTTGGGATGGAGTACCTGTTGGGATGGAGTACCTGTTGGGATGGAGTACCTGTTGGGATGGAGAGGGTGAATACCTGTTGGGATTGAGGAGAGGGTGAATACCTGTTGGGATAGAGAGGGTGAATACCTGTTGGGATGGAGTACCTGTTGGGATAGAGAGGGTGAATACCTGTTGGGATGGAGTACCTGTTGGGATGGAGAGGGTGAATACCTGTTGGAATGGAGAGGGTGAATACCTGTTGGAATGGAGAGGGTGAATACCTGTTGGAATGGAGAGGGTGAATACCTGTTGGGATTGAGGAGAGGGTGAATACCTGTTGGGATTGAGGAGAGGGTGAATACCTGTTGGGATAGAGAGGATGGAGTACCTGTTGGGATGGAGTACCTGTTGGGATGGAGAGGGTGAATACCTGTTGGGATGGAGAGGGTGAATACCTGTTGGGATGGAGAGGGTGAATACCTGTTGGGATGGAGAGGGTGAATACCTGTTGGGATGAAGAGGGTGAATACCTGTTGGGATGGAGAGGGTGAATACCTGTTGGGATGAAAAGCGTGTTCCCCTGTTTGACGGAGCACTTGTAGCACATGTCCACCTGGTCCCCGAAAAACATCTCGTTCTGATTGGACGAAGAGCTCCAGCGCTCAAACAGGGCCAGGTTGGCCGGCGTGGGGGAGATCAGGTAGAAGATCTTCTCACCCTGAGACACACACGTAGACATTTATCTAACAGTGCCAGTGCTTATTAATCAAACCTTTCAGTTGATCAACATTTTATTCCACATCAACCTAAGCTTTGCATGCTGAGCAGACCGGCCACGTTGCGTGCGCAAGCGTTGCTAAATAAATGTACACATACATGTTATTCAATCATTTCATCCAAACTGCTCTCGGGCGTCTGCATAGCCAGACACTAAAATATAACTTAGTTCTATTTCAGCTGCTCGACGCGCTGCAAGTCCCACCTCTCCCATCTCCTCATTGTTTTTTAGGAGCATATACCCATGTGGGTGATTGAAAGATGAACTGAGGTCCACACTCCAGTCCAGTTGGTGGTGGTAATGCACCTTAAAGTTGGTTGCCAACCGCCATATAAAATCCACAGAAGAAGGATGAATGAGGAGAGATTTATCAAAGAAAACAAACTAAAAACTAACTAGGTTTCCCCTTTTTAGCTGTGGATTATCTGTCGGAGTAGAGAACACACTATTTTGTGTGACTCAACATGAATAGAACTTCTACAAAGATCCAGCAAAAAAATAAAGGACCATATGCAATTCAGGTAAAATAACAACCCAATGTTTATCTCCCAGGACAAATATGTTAGCAACAACAAGCTAGCTAAATGTCCATGAATGTTTCGTGTGTTCCGACCTGTCCCCAAATTAATAAAGTTGGTTCACAGTTGGTTTTGGTATTTTAACCTGCGTGTCATGAACGTGTCTGGTGGTGATAGACAAAAATCAACATGGGCACGATGGCGCACGCAGACGCATGCACAGAGCCGGTCTAGTCAGCATGTTAGCAGCAGAGCTCATTTTCACCCAGCACGTACAATGATGAACAACGTAAAGGCAGTCAAGGATATCATACATTCAAATGTTAAATCTCTCGTTGCACCTCTATATAGTATTTAGTGAGTGTGCCAACCATTAGGGACACCACCCCCCACCCGTCAAACATTAGGGACACCACCCCCCACCCGTCAAACATTAGGGACACCACCCCCCACCCGTCAAACATTAGGGACACCTCCCCCCTCAATTCGAACAGCCTCAATTCGTCGGGGCATGGACTCTACAAGGTATCAAAAGGTTTGCTGGCCAGGGTTTCTGTTGTGGCACCAGACAAAGTGACCGAGAAGATGAACTTACCGCCCATTTGAGAAATGTACTGGACACATACAGTGCATTGGGTGTGTACCCCATTAGGGCGTTCACCCACGGTGCTCAGAATGACAGAAATCCCATTTAGATTATGGTAATTCATCTTACGAAAACATGCAACTCCCATAATGAAGCAGCCAATAAAATATATTTTTCAAACCTTTGCCAAAATGCAATTCGATAGAAAAAGGGAAGACCCCATTCTAAACAGCGCACCTGATGTGAGCATATATGACAGATGAAAATCTCAGAAACTTAGAAAGAGGGTGAATCTAAAGATGAAACAACTAGGATGGGTTGCTAATATGACTAGGATTGTGAATTTGACTTCTGGACAATTAAAGAAAGTTGATATGAAAACCAATAGAACAAGAGAGAAATGGGCAGCGCTCGTGGGAAAAGGCCTATCTGGTTACTGAGTTGTTGCGGATAGTGAAAAGCATCTCAAATATGTGTGAAGATAATGTGTCTTGAGTATAATTTAAAATGTTGAGACAAGAAGAAGGGCAGGGGTGTGTGGCAAAGATAGCCTATAGGTGCGTCTCTTTCCAGAATGAATGTGCTCAGCTCTCCAGAATCCACTCAGCTGTCTCCGACAATTATTGCGCATTTATTGTTTAATGTGAATTGTTTGCCCTTTGTTTATTTTTATAAATTTCCAATTACATGTCACCAAGTAGAAAATTTACCGTTAATCCCCGTCATTTGGTTACATTAATTTCTGTTAATGCATTGTATTACTAATTAGGCCTACAGTCATTAACCTTTGCACACACACTGCTGCCATCTAGTGGCCAAAATCTAAATTGAGCCTAAACTGCAATATTATATTGTGGCCTTTCTCTTACATTTTCACAAAATACACCCTTGTTTTTTGGTTTGTATTATCTTTTACCAGATCTATTGTGTTATATTCTCCAACATTAATTTCACATTTCCACAAACTTCAAAGTGTTTCCTTTCAAATGGTATCAAGAATATGCATATCCTCGATTCAGGTCCTGAGCTACAGGCAGTTAGAGTTGGGTATGTCATTTTAGGCGAAAATGTAAAAAAGGGGTCCGATCCTTAAGGAGGTAAGCCTTTCTCATTCTCAGAGTGTAAACATTGTTTGCAGAGTTCAGAACCTGCTACACTTGTGAGAAAAAGTGTTGGTTTATTTCATAACCATCATTTACAAGTTGTCCATTTTTTCCATTGTCTTTTGTTTGGAGTGCTCCATGTGAGCAATGAGCATGTGTCTGGTTTCTCGGTCTTTAATGTTGAGGGGGAGCGAGCGCCTGAGCAAGCATAGAAGTAGCCTACCTGCCCTGCTGCGCACAAATGTAGGAAAGCCCATTTGGGGATGTTGGATTTCTGATTGACTTAGTCACCACGTCTACCACCAACTACTAAGCTTCTCAGTCATTTTTTCTTCACCTCTCACAGTAAGTCAAAGAAATGTGTATTTTTTATTTTTTTACATCAATTGCTAATGATAGGCTATTAGAAAAATATTACCAACAATCTCCACCTCGGTGTGAAAGAGCAAAATATAATCTGATGATCTCCTCATATATATCCAGTGGAAACGTCATAAAATACCTTTCCCTTGCGCAACAGCTGACTGTCCTGAGCTCATGGGAAACTCTGAGGGCCCAGAATAGGCTAGTTGATACAATGTTGCAAGTTCGCTAGAGACAGCTTCTGCCAAGATCCAGTTGATTGATTTGATACAATGTTGGACTTCACTAGAGATAGCTCAAGACAGATAGAAATGGAGGCAGACAGGCTGAGTGGAGAGATGAATGTGATTAAAAGAACTGGAATTCATCAGTATTTATTCTACTGTTTTAATTTCTCAGCTTTATGTATTTTTACTTAGTTGACAATGGAAGTTATTAGGCCAACGGCTGCATTGGCCGTCTCTGAATTCCACATGCTCATTTATGCTATTTAGCAGCCAATGGTCACAGTGTATCAATGTGTCCATATGGCTGGTGCTCTAGCATTAGTTGAATTTTAACTTTTATATTTTTATCATTTTGATTAAGATTTTTATGATTAATCACGTGACAATGATTTTGAGGAAAGAAAACGTTATTATTGAAATGAAACTGTTCCACGAAAATGCACATATGAAAAAACTGCCTACCATTGATTTTTCATCCCAGTCAATTTGGCCTGCAATAATTGTATTTATCGGCTTTTCAATTATTTATTTTTGCCAAAAGCCGGCAATTACCGACTAACAGAAACCCTGATGCCCATGTTGACTCAAGTGATTCCCAAAGTTGTATCAAGTTAGCTGGATCTCCTTTGGGTGGTGGACCATTCTTCACAAGGGAAACTGTTGAGCGTGAAAGAAAACAGCAGCGTTGCAGTTCTTGACACAAACCGGTGCGCCTGGCAAGGGCTGTGGAGGTCATGAAATTTTGTCAGACAGTAATTGTCATGCAAATGACTGCCGTCTCATGGTTATTGAGCGTTAATTAACATAAACATGTTTAGCGCACCTTTGGAACATGATGATGATTTGGAAAAGGACCAGTTGTCCTTTAGGAACAGTTTTGAAAAATGTATGACTATTGGGTCCCGAGCCTTCCCATGTCCATTTCGGAACAGGAACTCTAACTCTCATCACTATTTGTCCTCATTATTCAGATTATTCCAATTCAAATCATGATGTGTTTAGAGCAGTGGTCATCAACCTTTTCTGAGTCAAGATCACTTTGAGTCAAAATGAAAGCTGAGATCTATCACTCAGACTTTTTTTTTACATGCCGAGTGGCGCAGTGGTCTAAGGCACTGCATCGCAGTGCTAGCTGTGCCACTAGAGATCCTGCTTCAAATCCAGGCTCTGTCGTAGCCGGCCGCGACCGGGAGACCCATGGGGCGGCGCACAATTGGCCCAGCGTCGTCCAGGGTAGGGGAGGGAATGGCCGGCAGGTAGCTCAGTTGGTAGAGCATGGCGTTTGCAACGCCAGGGTTGTGGGTTTGATTCCCACAGGGGGCCAGTATGAAAAAAGAAAAAAAGAATGTATGCACTCACTAACTGTAAGTCGCTCTGGATAAGAGCGTCTGCTAAATGACTAAAATGTAAAATGTTAAAACGTAAACCTCTGCAACATTAACCAATTAAAAACAGTACTGTAGCAATTAGGTTTGTGCAGTAAGATATAGGCCCAATACATTATTACTGCATATTGGCTACGCTTCAATTTCCCTGCCAATGTTGTTCTTCTCAGACCATTTTTACATTATATAATTTTTTTTTAGGTATATGATCACACTGGTAATAGATCATTTGTTGTATTACTTGTGAGGCACAGCTGAGCGAGCATAATAATTAGCTTTTTTACTGGACTGATGGCCTGCATCTGATGGTCAGTCTGAGGGGCTCACCGTTCCTCCTCTGTCCCTCCATGAGAAAATGGGGCACAGTCGTCCAGCTGATGGCAAAACATAACACATTTCTGCCTGATGCACCAATTCATGTTGTTACTCCTATGACCAGAGAAAGTGAAATATTCCTTGATATTAAAAAAGGCAAGCCACAAATAATAACGCAACCATACCTGCAGGAAGTAGGGGTGCTGAGGGTGTCGGAGCACCCCCTGAAAAACCGGAATTTACCTATATTCATACAAATATATAAATAAATACAATTATTTGCACAAAAGTAGTGCACTGGGCCTTTACTAGTCCGGCACTAGGGCTGCAGAATCAAGTGCACCTAACGCAAACAGCTCGAAACTAATACAAAAATAGGAAGGCAAGGCTTAATCGTTGTGTTTCTTACAGAAATGTTTGGTGATCAACTAGGAAATGCTTGGCGATCGACCGGTTGGTGATCACTGGTTTAGACGGTGATTAGAGGGACAATAGAGCTCTGAGAACCAGGCCATTAGCAAGTTTGGTAGGCTACCCATCAGCACCATTCATTTGCGCAGTTTTGGATTGGGATTACCGTGACTTGCCCATACACCCTCTGACTTGCCCATACACCCCCATTTTGTCTTGCCCATACACCCTCTGAATGGCGCACATACACAATCCATGTCTCAAGGCTTAAAAATCCTTCTTTAACCTGTCTCCTCCCCTTCATCTACACTGATTGAAGTGGATTTAACAACTGACATCAATAAGGGATCATAGCCTTCACCTAGTCAGTCTCATGGAAAGAGCAGGTATTCTTAGTGTATAACTATCCAATTGTGCTTGTCAGCACAGCAGGAAGATTGCCTAGTGCCAACTGTCCCTTTCCACAATCTGGCCCACAACTGTCCCATAACGACCCTCTTCTTACCCGTAGTACATGGTACCAGACAGAGGTGCCTCCGAAGTCGATGTGGAAGTCTGTGTAGCTGTCCTTGACCCCCATGAGGCAGTACTTCTGGACGTTGGGCCGCTCAAACACTGACTCCTCAGGCCACAGGTTCTCCACCCACGACAGCTTCCTCACTATCTTTGGAGTCTCCACCAGATTGGACAGCCTGGTACAGAACATTTACATTTTGTATATTTAAAACACCAGATTCAGTCAAAGTATTATTTTTATTTTTTTTACAACTGCAACAACAGTACTTAAAGAACTTTATTCTGAAGAAACAATTATTATGCCAAGTCATTTATCGCTCGCAGTATGGCTCTGGCAAAATGTAACTTTTGTTCAACCAAATGATGTTCTCGTGACAAGGAAGACCCCTAGAGAGCAATACCATCATATGAGTGGACCGAAGTGACCCAAGAACAAGCAGTGTAGTGTACCTGGTCTCAGAGAACTCTAGGCTGATGACGTTGAGGACTCCGTCTCTGTTGGGGCTGTTGTAGTACTCTACAAAGTCCCCTAGACACATCTTCAGGTCAGCTTGGCGAGGCACGTCAATCACATCAATCACCCTGTCCGGACCTACAGACAACACGCAATCAACACACAATCACGTCAATCACCCTGTCCGGACCTACAGACAACACGCAATCAACAATGCTCCCCAGACTTTATTCCTGCACCATGATTTGGGCTGTTACGGTGACCGTATTACCGCCACAACGGCGGTCACGAGTCATGAAGGCAGTCAAATTCCACGTGACCGTTTAGTCACGGTAATTAGGCTTCTCCAAGCTCTGATGCTGCTGCTGGTCATTAGTAGCCTACCAAACTTGCTAACTGCCTGGTACTCAGCACTCTATTGTCCCTCTAAAATCACTCTGACGTGCAAATGTAATCGAAAATCTAATCAAACTTCATGAGAGCCCATGAGCTCATGTTGCGCAACACTTCTATAGGCTATGCAATTGTGTGAGAAAAACAGAGTGATGGCCTCTATTAAAAAGAGGAGGATCCCATCAGCTTTCTATAGGCTAGGCCTACTATATTTATTTCTCAACTTCCCTAATATTAAGCACATTGCTTCTCTTTACAACAGGAGCATAGCCTACCTGGCTGGCATGAAAATGAACCACATGAAAAGCGTCCTCAATTCGCTATTTAAGTGCATAGATTACATGTATTTTTTTCCACTGCCCCTGTTTTGAGACAGGTGCATGATAAATGGTCCATTCTAAATCAAAACAAATTTCACACATATTATTTAGTATATGTAAAGACAAGATTAAATCAAATATAGCCTGATGGGTGACAATATTAGCATATCACTTGTGAATGATATATTATCACTTGTGAATGATGCCCAGCTTGTAGTAAGGCAAGAAATGCATGCCTTTTTTTGCGACTTTTTCAAATCATAGTCGCACACCTCATGTAACCTAGCCTATAGACCTATATGTTTTGATAAGGTTTGTACCACAACTAAAGTGGCCAAATAACTTCTTAAAATGAAGCACATTCATCTGCTTTACAACGGGTGTAGAGCCTAACTGGCATACATACGCAGCGCCTGAGTTTCAAGTTTTGGGAAGATCATTTTCACCATAACAATGCACCTTTATAATAAAAGCATTATGTGCATAATCACATTTGCAGTCACTTTTGAGAACAGTGTTTTCCCGCTAATGGAACATTTGCGCTTATAGCCTACTGCCATGTGCGCATTGCTGCGCTTATAATGTGAAGAAATAGCCTAATAGTTTATCAACAATTTAAGTTAAACGTTCTGCTCTGTTGTGTCAGCCTCATTGCTTAAAGACTAAGCAGAGCTCATGCCTTTCATGTGACTTCTTCAAATCATCCTTAGATTCACATCATGCAGCCTTAGAATGTATTACAAAACATATAGCCCAATGTTTGTATCACAACTAAAGTTACATACATATAACTAAATTAAGCTTATAGGAGGACCTGTTTCTTTGTTAACCGCTCAACACAGAATAGTGTGCACTCCCTCAGAAATTGTTTGGAGAAAATATCCTTTCTATTTTATTCAGCTATGTTCAAATGTATTCTTCATACTATAAAATAATGCCATGGAATTCTAAGCAAATCTTGTCTGCTAAATGAACTAGTGTAGCCCACAGCTGTTTGGCATAGCCAGATCAGGACAACTCAGAGTATGCTATTCTGTTCTTCTGAAATAGACAACATTTTCTTCATATCATGTTTCTTTAGACCTGTCTAAAATAAATAATTGATTTATTGTGATGGTGTAGGCTATATAACATAGATTTATTAAACGTTCTAAAATGTAGATGTTCCAAAGGTCTGCATCAGTGGCTTGTCGCCTATGCATGGAAGCCAGGAGATGCTAAATGTGTTTCTGTTAATTAACGGTCAATTACCGTGAGAACGGCAGTTATTTGCTTGACAATCATCGGCTGAAGAAATGTCATGATCGCCACAGCCCTAACCATGATGATATACAACATTTCAACTTCACAGAAATTGTGTTGTGTAAGATAAGACGTTAGGTTACTCTGATAACCTACACGAGGTTACATCTCCTATGGTAATGAAATGTCAAGTTGAGATGTGACTAGTTGAAGAGCAGGAACGACGGAGCCGTGTACTGTGGCAGGTTTACATTTGAATCATTGAGCAGATGCTATTATCCAGAGCGACTTACAGTCAGTGCATTCAACTAAAGTAGATAAAGATACCATAATTCTGTGTTCTATTTAATTATGTGGGTAAAACAACCACATATCACAATAATTCCATGTAAAACCAAAATGGCCACAAAGACGTGGAGGATTACCAATGTAGTGCTCTACGTCATTGACTCCGAAGTTCCCCGGGGGCAGGTTCATGCCCAAGCCGTCCCTCCTGAGGACCATCACAGGAACACTGAAGGAGCGCTCTTCCAGGAACTCCACAGTCAGCTGGGCCCCCAACGGCTTCAACAGCACCTCGTCAGCACTGGACAAAGACAGAGAGATTGTGAGAGAGTGAGGGACATATAGAAATAGAAGAACTAGAATGGTACTCAGACTAGGGGTGCTTTGCCCAGTCTCTTTAGCTAACATTCCACTCCTTGCCACTGGCCTTTCAGGAATCTCAACATTCATTATGCACTGGATCTATGGCGGAGTTGCTCATTGGTTGTTGGAAATAACATTAATATTTTCCATGACAATATGTGGAGCCTCAAAAATAGAATTTGAATTTATAACAAAGTAAAAAAACGAATATTTAGCTGTTAGATGGGCAAGTTGAAATGGGCAAGCTTAAAATCAAAACTAAGACGTCTTGTGGTTGAAATTGCAGTATGTATTTAGATGTGAGCAACCAGATACCAACGTGTTCTGTGAAGAAAAAAGTTCCAATATTTGCATAATCGGTGTGACTGCAGGATAGCTGTGAGGGTTATCGAATCAGGATTAAATCCTCTGTTTTTCTCGAGCTCATTAATGATAGAAAGTCCATATTTGAAGACGGCATAAAGGCCAGTCTCTTTGGCAATGACATGGAGTACAGGGAGTGGACTCATCCACGCCTTTCTCTCATACCGTCTGGACTATTATAACGCCCTGTTTTGTTGGCACATCTGCCAAGTGCCTAAGAAGGCTACAATATGTCCAGAACTGTGCTGCACGTGTCCTACCCACACCTCACCCCGTGAGGACATCACGCCAATGCTGATCAACATCCACTGGCTCCCCATATGCTCACGCATTGACTTTAAAATCCTGGTTCACACCTACCAAGCTATTCACAACTCTGGACCCAAGTATCTGTCGGACCTCATCCTACCCAACACGCACCCTTCGCTCCTCCAGGTCCATCTCCCTTCAGCAGCCCCACAGCAGACTAAAAACTATGGATGACAGTGCTTTCATTTGTGCGACTCTTCGGCTGTAGAACGCACTTCCAGTCACTATCAGGGCTGCCGAGTCTCTGGCCTAGTTTAAGGCACAGTTCAAAACTGAAAAGGACCTCTTAATTCAGTTCTCCTGAACACCAGATCTGACGACGACACCTGTATATAGCTTTGATTGTTGTCTGCTTACAATGTTCTGGATTATTTTTATTTCATTTGTTGTTGTTTTCTTCAGTGCCTTGGGTGTGAGAAAAGCACTTTACAAATGAAATGTATTATTACTTCTATGGAGGGAACCAGGGCAGAACTGTAGAGTTATAATTATTAGAGTGTCACTCCACAATGATACATTAACTGAATACAAAATTCAGATTCAAAGGCCATATTCTGGACCACTAGGATAGAGTTGAGACACTATAATGTATGTCAAATAAAATAAATGTAAATTGTATTGGTCACATGCGCCGAATACAACAGGTGTAGACTTTACAGTGAAATGCTTACTTACGAGCCCATTCCCAACAGCGCAGAGTTAAAAAGTAAGACAAATACACACTACCGTTCAAAAGTTTGGGGTCACTTAGAAATGTCCTTGTTTTCGAAAGAAAATCAATTTTTTTGTCCATTAAAATAACATCAAATTGATCAGAAATACAGTGTATACACTGTTAATGTTGTAAATGGCTATTGTAGCTGGAAACGGCTGATTTTTAATGGAATATCTACATAGGCGTACAGAGGCCCATTATCAGCAACCATCAGTCCTGTGTTCCAGTGGCACGTTGTGTTTGCTAATCCAAGTTTATCATTTTAAAAGGCTAATTGATCATTAGAAAACCCTTTTGCAATTATGTTAGCACAGCTGAAAACTGTTGTGCTGATTAAAGAAGCAATAAAACGGGCCTTCTTGAGACTAGTTGAGTATCTGGAGCATCAGCAATTGTGGGTTCGATTACAGGCTCAAAATGGCCAGAAACAAAGAACATTCTTCTGAAACTCGTCAGTCTATTCTTGTCCTGAGAAATGAAGGATATTCCATGCGAGAAAAGACTGCCCATATTAATATTTTATTTTTATTGGCCAGTCTGAGATATGGCTTTTTCTTAGCAACTCTGCCTAGAAGGTCAGCATCCCGGAGTCGCCTCTTCACTGTTGACGTTGAGACTGGTGTTTTGCGGGTACTATTTAATGCCAGCTGAGGACCTGTGAGGCGCCTGTTTCTCAAACTAGACACTAATGTATTTGTCCTCTTGCTCAGTTGTGCACCGGGGCCTCCCACTCCTCTTTCTATTCTGGTTAGAGCCAGTTTGCGCTGTTCTGTTTTCTCGCATGGAATAGCCTTAATTTCTCCGAACAAGAATAGACTGATGAGTTTCAGAAGAAAGTTATTTGTTTCTGGACATTTTGAGCCTGTAATCGAACCCACAATTGCTGATGCTCCAGATACTCAACTAGTCTCAAGAAGGCCAGTTTTATTGCTTCTTTAAAATCAGCACAACAGTTTTCAGCTGTGCTAACATAATTGCAAAAGGGTTTTCTAATGATCAATTAGCCTTTTAAAATGATCAACTTGGATTAGCAAACATAACGTGCCATTGGAACACAGGACTGATGGTTGCTGATAATGGGCCTCCGTACGCCTACGTACAGTGGGGAAAAAAAGTATTTAGTCAGCCACCAATTGTGCAAGTTCTCCCACTTAAAAAGATGAGAGAGGCCTGTAATTTTCATCATATGTACACGTCAACTATGACAGACAAATTGAGAACAAAAAATCCAGAAAATCACATTGTAGGATTTTTAATGAATTTATTTGCAAATTATGGTGGAAAATAAGTATTTGGTCACCTACAAACAAGCAAGATTTCTGGCTCTCACAGACCTGTAACTTCTTCTTTAAGAGGCTCCTCTGTCCTCCACTCGTTACCTGTATTAATGGCACCTGTTTGAACTTGTTATCAGTATAAAAGACACCTGTCCACAACCTCAAACAGTCACACTCCACTATGGCCAAGACCAAAGAGCTGTCAAAGGACACCAGAAACAAAATTGTAGACCTGCACCAGGCTGGGAAGACTGAATCTGCAATAGGTAAGCAGCTTGGTTTGAATAAATCAGCTGTGGGAGCAATTATTAGGAAATGGAAGACATACAAGACCACTGATAATCTCCCTCGATCTGGGGCTCCACGCAAGATCTCACCCCGTGGGGTCAAAATGATCACAAGAACGGTGAGCAAAAATCCCAGAACCACACGGCGGGACCTAGTGAATGACCTGCAGAGAGCTGGGACCAAAGTAACAAAGCCTACCATCAGTAACACACTACGCCGCCAGGGACTCAAATCCTGCAGTGCCAGACGTGTATTCCTGCTTAAGCCAGTACATGTCCAGGCCTGTCTGAAGTTTGCTAGAGTGCATTTGTATGATCCAGAAGAGGATTGGGAGAATGTCATATGGTCAGATGAAACCAAAATATAACTTTTTGGTAAAAACTCAACTCGTCGTGTTTGGAGGACAAAGAATGCTGAGTTGCATCCAAAGAACACCATACCTACTGTGAAGCATGGGGGTGGAAACATCATGCTTTGGGGGTGTTTTTCTGCAAAGGGACCAGGACGACTGATCGTGTAAAGGAAAGAATGAATGGGGCCATGTATCGTGAGATTTTGAGTGAAAACCTCCTTCCATCAGCAAGGGCATTGAAGATGAAACGTGGCTGGGTCTTTCAGCATGACAATGATCCCAAACACATCGCCCGGGCAAAGAAGGAGTGGCTTCGTAAGAAGCATTTCAAGGTCCTGGAGTGGCCTAGCCAGTCTCCAGATCTCAACCCCATAGAAAATCTTTGGAGGGAGTTGAAAGTCAGTGTTGCCCAGTGACAGCCCCAAAACATCACTGCTCTAGAGGAGATCTGCATGGAGGAATGGGCCAAAATACCAGCAACAGTGTGTGAAAACCTTGTGAAGACTTACAGAAAACATTTGACCTGTGTCATTGCCAACAAAGGGTATATAACAAAGTATTGAGAAACTTTTGTTATTGACCAAATACTTATTTTCCACCATAATTTGCAAATAAATTCATTAAAAATCCTACAATGTGATTTTCTGGATTTTTTTTCTCATTTTGTCTGTCATAGTTGACGTGTACATATGATGAAAATTACAGGCCTCTCATCTTTTTAAGTGGGAGAACTTGCACAATTGGTGGCTGACTAAATAATTTTTTTCCCCACTGTAGATATTCCATAAAAATAAAAAAAATCAGCCATTTACAGCTACAAAAGCCATTTACAACGTTAACAATGTCTACACTGTATTTCTGATCAATTTGATGTTATTTTAATGGACAAAAAAATTGCTTTTCTTTCAAAAACAAGGACATTTCTAAGTGACCCCAAACTTTTGAACGGTAGTGTATATACGCAAGCAGAAGCTCTACGCTTAAATTCATTTAGGTGTCAGATTGGGTTCTTCCTCTGGGAGGGGGTGATTTTATGTAAATGTTCATAGTAGATATAGAGACAGTGTGGAAGAGAATGAACATGTACTGTATAGACATAATGTAACATGGGAGGTTTACCTTGGGAAGGTGCGGCTTCGTAGCTCTCTGACAAACTGTGGACTGCCGGTCTTTACCGGTCGACCAGAAGTGTCTCTTCCTCCAGTGGCTCCAGCATCAGCCTGCTTGGTTCCTCCACGCCGCTTCCTCACTGCAGAACATAAAGGGGACAACAACAGACTGGGATTACAACCAGAACCACACTACTAAAAGGCAGACCACAAGGCCAAAGACTCAGAGGAATTGGCATGTGTATTGGCATGTGTATTCCTGTAGAGCTGGGTTTCCTAAACCTCTCCTCGAGTACCCCCAGCCATTCCACGTATTTAATGTCTTCAGAACTAGCACACCTGATGCAACAGATTCAAACAGGTCTGAAATACATGTGAAATATAAAAAGAGAGCCTGGAAATCAAACTGAAAGAGACAGAGGGACTTACTGACAGAGGGCCCATGGGTGACCTGACAGTTGGGACAGTGGTACAGGTCAATCTCTGCTGCTTTGTCTTCCTCCACTCCAACACAACTAAACAAAAAAAACAATAATGTACACAATATAAACTAAACAAATTTACTCAACTAGCCTACTGTAAACAGTCTGCAATTAGTAAAGCTCAACAACACTGAAATATAACTTACCTTCCATGGAACCAGTCTTGACAGATGTCACACTCGATCATAAAGCGTGTGACATCATAGGGCAGGCGACACAAGCAGTACACTGGAACAGATGCCATACTGAGAGTGTATGGGAACTAGCACTGCTCTGTGTCGGACTGACAGTTAGGCCTAAATCTACTGAGAAGAGGACAGCACTACACTTGATAGTCTAAATTAGAAATAGGTTAAGGTTGCATTGAGTGCTGAATATATATATATAGTTAAAATGGTGAGGGTACTGAAGCAGCACAGGGCATTGCCAGGTTAACGGTGGTGTCACTTCACTGGGACTAGGTGCCTGTCACACTGTATTGGCCATGGTTAGGCACCTGTTGAACGGGGAGAGAAGAGAGCACAAACGTATCTGTTAAAAAGTAGACAGGGATTTGGGTGTTAGGTTAAGTATAAGAAAGATAGGCTAGTCTTACTAACAGAACGTTTCTCGTTGTTTAGTTACTATACTTGGCTTGTTAGCAGTGGGTCTTGCTAGCCCCCGATTAGCTAAATATAGCTAGCTAACAAAGATGCATAATAAACACGATATAGCTATAAAAGTTGGCTAACTAATAATAACATGGCGTATAGGGAGGGGTAGGCCATGCAAACTGTCTGACATCTTTCACATCTTAATTGAAAACCAGACAAACATCATTACTGGCTAAGTAGCTTGCTTGTACTAGGTAGGAAAGTAACATTAGCTAGCTAGCAGCTTAGCTAGCTAGATTAGTAAAGATTGCAGGCTGGCTAACAATAATGGATTTAGTAAGTAGCTAGCTATGTTAATTAATTGTTAGCTAACAAACGAAAAGTACAGTTAATTGAACGTTACCGATGGCTAGCAAGCTGGCAATAATTTGTATTCATTAAATGACTAACTATATATATTAGTTAGTTGCAATTCAAGACCACACATTTCAGTATTTGGCTACTAACTGCTGTTTATTCTCTAACTTAGCTGTTAGCAGAACATGCTAGCCACCGTTGGATAACGTTTGCAACCTAACTAGGTAACGTGTTAGCTAAACAGCGGATAAGTATATGAATCTAGCTAGCTTAATAGCTTGCATTTTATATTCGTTCATGACAAAACAATTATATTGAATTACCTATATGTAAGTTGCACGTTCAGAAAATCGGTCCGAAATCATTTCTTACCGGGATTTTAATTGTCTGGTTGCTGCAAAGAGGCCACCGGCCAAGCATTCGAAATCGGTTAAAATCCTTACGAAAGGCCGAGGATCGATGAGGCCTTATTATGCAGCGAAAAGTATTAAAAAATAGCCCTTACTGCATTGCTTTTTTTTGCCACAAATTATGTCCAGGTGTGTAGTTTAAGTCCCAAAATATATATTGCAGGGTTTTCATAGATTAAAAGACCACTACATGAGCACTGTTACTATAAACAATTCAGACATTTGTGATGGAGCAACGGCATTTCAAAGCACTCGTAAAGAGACTGTCTGCAGTTGAAATAACAATAAAGTTGCGCTAGTAGCGAGCCTTCAAATGTAGGCAGAGATGAAGCGGCGAAGCGAGCGATATAACTGGGCCCGAAATCTGTCTACTCCAGCAGGCGGCGTATTTTCGTTTTTTTCGCTCACTAAGCGATTCGTTTTTGTATGGAGGTCAATGAGCGAGTGTCGAATTTGGTTAACAAAAAATATAATGCCTTATTTGCTACGTGTGGCTTATTTGATCGACTATAAATTTCGTAATGATTAGGTTGTTATGGGTGTACGGATATAAGTAGGACACGTGGCATCCGGCAACTTTGAGAAAAAACACTTTATATCGGAGTTGGTCCTGGTTGTCACTAGTTACCATATCCACAAAGTCATAAACTCCTCCTATTACTACAATTTATCCTCTTAAAATTTGCTTTTAAACCTTAGCCACAATGCTAACGTTATGGCTAACCCTAACCTTAAATTAAGACCAAAAAGTAAATATTTGTCTTCATGAATTTTTACGATATAGCCAATTTTGACTTTGTGGCTGTGGTAACTAGTGGAAACCGTTGTGCCTGTTGTTCACACGCGTATCTTCCCTGTCATTGGCTGGAATAGTCCCACCTGATTCTACCTCCTCCCAACAGCCTTCCATTTTTGAAGACATTTATTTTCATTGTTGGAGCGGTATCTGTTCAATATAATTGATAATCTGTGATGTAGGCCGACACACAAAATGAAACAATATTTACATTACAGTTATGTAATAATTCAGCTGTAATAACCCTAACCAGCATCTATTACACCCTAACCACTTAGGTCTATAATAAGATACATAATTTCAACCATATAATGACAAGATTGGTGAAATTGAGGACAGGTGTGGTCCAATAGAATAAGTAACAAAATGCGCATTAACAGTTTGATGTTTAACACCATTTATTTGGATTAGTTACAAAACATAAATAAAATCAACAATTAAATTAGTTAACATTTTACAGAGGCTAAATCACCAGCAACATACGTTTTATTTATATATTTTTTCTGTTTAAATATGCTAATAAATCATTGGTTCTCAATCTGGTGTAATATTTGGACTCTCAAGTGTGTGTTATATATAAGAGCCCAATGGCCTATAGGTTGTCTAGGCCTACCCCTTGATAATGTTTTGTAGTTTGTCCAGTGAGTCAAGACGTGAAATGTAAGACCATATTACCATAGGGATAAAACAAGTTGAGATATCCTATGATTATAACCACGCTGACAAAACCTCTCGCAATTGAAACATGATGTAGCACTGTTTCAAGACAGAGTCTAAGAGGAATATAATATATGCATGGGGCTCCATCAACAGAGATGAGAACCAATATTTTCTAGTATCAGATAACATCAGATAGATTTTCAATGCTGATCAGAAGAACACAATTTTTACATTTTGTACAACCCCCATTTCAAAATACAAAAATAATATTTTCTTCTTTTAGATTACATTTTGGTAACACTTCAGGACAGGACGAGTTCCACATTTCCTTTTCATGAATATCATCAAAGCTGTGACATATGGTCAACATGTTAGTATTGACTTGACAGCACAGTAACTTACTCCCCTCCACTATTAATCATCAACTATATTACTGTGAAAATGCGGGTTGTCTCATAAAAAAACCTCATAAATACTGAAAACCATTATGTTAAACTCTATATTCATATGCAATTTGTAACGGTTGTACTTTTTGAACAACCATAAGCGTAAGCACAAACTGTTTTAGCTCCCCAATCGAAATGTGAATGTTTTGTTTTCGTCCTTCCACTTTCAGTAGTTTTAGGGTGAGTTTTAAATTCACTATGAAGCAGTCTGTCTCATACAGTGAGCTCCAAAAGTATTGGGACAGTGACACATTTGTTGTTGTTTTGGCTCTGTACTCCAGCACTTTGGATTGGAAATGATAAAACAAATATGTGGTTAAAGTGCAGACTGTCAGCTTTAATCTGAGGGTATCCATATAGGATGAACTATTTAGAAACTATAGCACTTTTTGTACAAAGTCCCCGCTTTTGGTACACAGTCAAACACACAGTAAAGTATTAATTCTAAAAGGCAATTTGATAACAGCCCCTATACATTTACATGGGTTCCCCATTATCATGAAATGAATTGGCATTTTCTTTGTTTTCTCATCATTGTTTTTCTTGTATGACACCTTCAATATGCAGGGCTGAGACTGGTAGAGGGAATTCTACATTTCTCTAAAACAAATGTATTTATTTTAGCTCAAATAAAACATTGATTTATTCCTGATCAATAAGTTACCTCAGAGTTTGCTGTTGTGCACAGCAGCAGATGTGAGAAATATAAGCGCAGGTGTATGCAGATTGCACTAAAATCAGGCAAGTCAACGTACATTATAGCTGTAAGATCATGCAGTCTTAGTCTCAATGAATGTTTTATTCAGTAAGATTTCAATGAAAGCTCACTGAACATACAGTGAGGGAAAAAAGCAATCAATCAATCAGATTCCAAACTCTCCACCCTGGCCAAGACCAAAGAGCTCTCCAAGGATGTCAGGGACAAGATTGTAGACCTACACAAGGCTGGAATGGGTTACAATACCATTCCAAGCAGCTTGGTGAGAAGGTGACAACAGTTGGTGCGATTATTCGCAAATGGAAGAAACACAAAATACTTGTCAATCTCCCTCGGCCTGGGGCTCCATTCAAGATCTCACCTTGTGGAGTTGCAATGATCATGAGAACGGTGAGGAATCAGCCCAGAACTACACAGGAGCATCTTGTCAATGATCTCAAGGCAGCTGGGACCATAGTCACCAAGAAAACAATTGGTAACACACTACGCCGTGAAACCCTGAAATCCTGCAGCGCCCGCAAGGTCCCCCTGCTCAAGAAAGCACATATACAGGGCCATCTGAAGTTTGCCAATGAACATCTGAATGATTCAGAGGAGAACTGGGTGAAAGTGTTGTGGTCAGATGAGACCAAAATCGAGCTCTTTGGCATCAACTCGCCGTGTTTGGAGGAGGAGGAATGCTGCCTATGACCCCAAGAACACAATCCCCCACCGTCAAACATGGAGGTGGAAACATTATGCTTTGGGGGTGTTTTTCTGCTAAGGGGACAGGACAACTTCACCGCATCAAAGGGACGATGGACAGGGCCATGTACCGTCAAATCTTGGGTGAGAACCTCCTTCCCTCAGCCAGGGCATTGAAAATGGGTCGTGGATGGATATTCCAGCATGACAATGACCCAAAACACACAGCCAAGGCAACAAAGGAGTGGCTCAAGAAGAAGCACATTAAGGTCCTGGAGTGGCCTAGCCAGTCTCCAGACCTTAATCCCATAGACAATCTGTGGAGGGAGCTGAAGGTTCGAGTTGCCAAACGTCAGCCTCAAAACCTTAATGACTTGGAGAAGATCTGCAAAGAGGAGTGGGACAAAATCCCTCCTGAGATGTGTGCAAACCTGGTGGCCAACTACAAGAAACGTCTGACCTCTGTGATTGCCAACAAGGGTTTTGCCACCAAGTACTAAGTCATGTTTTGCAGAGGGGTCAAATACTTATTTCCCTCAATAAAATGCAAATCAATTTATATTGATTATGATATATTTTGTTGTTGTTATTCTGTCTCTCACTGTTCAAATAAACCTACCATTAAAATTATAGACTGATCATGTCTTTGTCAGTGGGCAAACGTACAAAATCAGCAGGGGATCAAATACTTTTTTCCCCTCACTGTATTCATCAATCAAATCAATTTATCAATGTATTAATGAAATCAATTGATCAGAATTGAATCATGTTACTCATCAACGTGTTATTTTAAATATTCTAACCTAGTTGTTACCACTACTTATCAATGTAAAATATAACAATATACAAAGTGCATGCCTTCCCGTGCACTACACTGTACAACAGTGTGCTTAGTAACATTGTGGTAGAGATGATAGTCAGATACCACCATTATTACCATGCTCTGTGGTGTTACTGTAACATGCTGCTGTTGTAACTGCTTTACATCTCATTGGTAGCCTGTTGAAACATTTGTGCTATATTCATGTAAGATGTTGGCTCACTGTATTGGCTTGTAAATGTCTGGTTGATTGTTCTCAAAAATATTTTGTTAAATGCCTTACAGACAAATCACGACAATACAGAATGATAACATTTAGATGACAGTTAGTAATTGCACTTCTAAAATCCATAGTCCTTTTCAATATAAGTAATCATTGACAAATAAAAACAAAAATATATAATAATAATGTCAGAATGTTTGTGTTCCTTCATGTCTCTGCTTGGGAGAAGAGTTCAGGGTCCAACTTAGTTGGATTTTTAAAATAACATGACCGTTACTTGGTGTCAAAACACACAAGGGATATGAAGAGAAAATCAATGGCAACACAAACACACACACACACACACAAATACACACACACACGTTACGTAAGTTTGTACATCTCAACACTCAAACACAACACTATTATGACCCCCCCCAGAGTTCCACATTTCCCCTCTGTACATACTCTACATAGACTCAACCATCTCTCACATTCACTCCCCATCTCATCTTTACAAACTCACTGGCATCCATTTTCTCATTCTCAGACATTACCTCTCATAACATATGCACTCTCAAACTCTCCATATGGGTTTTACTCATCCATCATCTCGCCATCTTTTGTCTCCTTCCCTCGTTCCATCATGACCGACCTCACTCTTCCCCTCTTTTATTTTCTTATTTTCACTGCTGTCCCAAAGGAAGAGTTGAGGTTGGGGGCGTGGGGTGAAGGTTGGCACTGGAAGGAAGAGCAGCAGCAGAGTAGTAGGAGGAGGAGCAGAATGTCCCTCCTGGGCCACCGGTGGCAGTGACAGCAGCAGCAGGTCCACTGTCTATGGTCCCCACCACCGTGGTTGTGCTAGACCCAGGAATCAGACACCCAGGTTGGGCTAGGGTCAGCTGAGACGACGGGGCCATCTGGGGCATCTGGGAAGGCAACAGAGGTTGATTCTGATTGTGTGGTGGGGCTCCTACACCTACATTGGGCTGCTGGGGTATCTGTTGTTGCTCAGTCTGTGGCTGTACAGGAGCCGGGGACTGAGTCAGTAGTGGAGTCTGGATTAGGGGCTGTTGTTGTGTGCGTAGAGGTGATTGCTGAAAGGGCTTTATCTTTAACGGGTGAGGAGGCTGGGCTTGCTGGAGATGTAAACTTTGCTGCAGCTGTGGGACTGGAGGCATGTGCGCTTGTTGTTGTTGTTGTGGTCCTGGTGCCCCCCCCACTCCGCTCCACTGGCTCAGGCTCCCCCCAGCAGTGTACTGAGCTGGGGCTGGAGCAGTGAGGTTGGATGGGGCTGGGGAGGCCTGGGGGTTCAGTGGTGCCACAGGGAACCAACCCGGAGGAGCCACCTGGAAGGAAGACAGTCAAGACACACTAATGAGCACCGTAACACCAAGCATACCATTATAATGATGTAATAACTAGGGCTGTTGCGGTGACCGTATTACCGCCACACCGGCAGTCACGAGTCATGACCGCAGTCAAATTCCCTGTGACCGTTGGTCACGGTAATCCCAATCTAAAACTGTGCATCACTGGTGTCGTAGTAAATATATTTGTTATAGCTTGGTCTGACTAAAATCTTGTGCATGACCCATTTTGTGTTGGGCGTTTGTTTTCAATCAATGCTGTTCCTATGCAAGAACAATGGACAGAGAACCATATCTTGTCAAGGACAACACCCACGCCACAGGCCACAATCACTGGTTGCTCCCCTCGAGTCTTCCCTTGAGAACACACACACACATCATCACTGTTAACACACACACACACACACACACACACATCATCACTGTTAACACACACACACACACACACACAAAATCCCCTCTTTTAGGCTGAACATTTGAAGACAGAGAACTCTACTCAGAGCCAATGCAACAGTGACACTAGCCTGGAGGGGACCTCGCCCAACTCATCAGGACCAATCAGAAGATCAGAACTACTAGATTCAACCTACATAATTTATTGCATAAAATGTCTGCACACAATGTTTCGGGGCTCTCTTCAGATAGCTCCCTAAGAGTTTGACGAACGAGTCCGTGCACGCGATTGCAGATATCTTTACCTCTGAATAAACTGCCTTTATTATACCATATCCACCCTGTCCAAAGTCTCTACTTGGTCTCAGTTCTCCAGTAAACTTGTGATTATCAACAAAATTGGTAGCAGAGGATGGTTTTCTAACTCTGAATTCGGTCCATAAAAGTTGATAGAGAAAAGAGACAAGTAAGAGACGGATCAGAAAGGACGGGTGACCTGTTCGCAGGAGCAGCCGGGAATCCAGCTCGCCTCAGGAAACTGATCTAGACGGCCGTCAATACAAAGGTAAGCAGAACCTGTTAAAACAAAATCTGCATATTGTATTATAGGATAAACCAAAATTAAGATCAGTAGTACTGAGCGTGAGTATGGATTACTGTTAAATTTATAACATATCTATTATGACTCAAAAGGCACATATGTAAAGATATCTGAAATCTTAGGCTTTTTACTGTTGAATTGTGACTCTCTAGTGAGGAGTCTATTTACAGAGGTTTTGGTTCACAAGAGATGGACCCTTTCATTTGATCCACAAGAGAAGGATCTGGTGGCTTGATAAAAAGATTCAGATAGTCGGGTTGAGTTAATTCCGTGAGAATCCAAGTCCAGAAAAGGTTCTCCCGACTAGACACCAGTTGAATGGTTAAAACGATTGGGAGTCTTAGTTGAGGAGAATCAATAAAATAAAATAAAAATACAAGTTCAGATAGTCGGGCAATGGTTGACTTGGCACTCAACTAGATGTACTGTGAAGAACTCAAACTGAATTAATGTGTTGATGCTGATATGTAATGCAAAATGTAAATGTTGAAATGTTAACCTGAATGTTGTGTAAGATTGGCCGTTTCATGAGACTAACTAGTTGATAACTTTTAAGAGGACCGCCGAGTCCTATTTGGCCTGATGTGCAGCCGCTGCGCTGAAAGCTGACTTGTACTTTTTCCCTCTTGTGGTGTTGGTATTTCCTTAAATTCCAAAATTAAATTGATAATTATTTTAGGAGCGCTCGAGTTTGTTAATATATTGTTCCAAAAGGGCGATTCTGATACCTTTTGGGAAAATATATAATAACTCGAATAACTGAAAAACAATAATACCTTTTGCAAAATAATTCCTAATAATAAATTATTGAAAATTCTTTGTGTACGAGGGTGGGACATCAGAGATAAATCTGAGTCAGCGCCAAGAATACATTGCTGGTTTCGGCCAGTGACGGGATAAGTGTATAAAGATAGTAAAGCAAAATGGCAGGGCCAAACCCAACCATACCCAAATTTAATGAATACTTAGAACAACGAATGACAGGGAGAGTAATGCCAGAGTCCACCAAGGGAGGGTGGTCATATGCCCGCCCTTGATGTACAACAGATAGAAATGACTGATTATGTGAAGAAATTGACGGAATTTTCTGCAGCACTCTCTTCTCAGGTGCGGAAGGCCCAAGAGGGGGAGCTGTCGGGAAACACGCCACCACTGAAGGTAAAAGTGGGAGACTGGGTGAGGGTGAAAGTCCACAAAAGAAAGTGGCTGGAACCCAGGTGGACTGGACCGTACGAAGTGAAGGAGGTTACTTCACACTCAGTCCAGGTCAGAGGTAAATCAGGAGCACCCTGGCACCATCTAACACATTGCACTCCAGCCCCCACTCCTTCCAGACTATTGTCTGAAGTAAGAGCTGATTTGAGCAGCGAGAACCAATCCTGACAACACAATGAAGAAACCCTTATGGGAACAACAATCTCACCCAGGGTGAAGAAGAACTTTTTCCCCCTGGGAGAGATTGGGAGTGTCTGAATGTTTGTATGTATGTTTTCTGATAGGAATTGGACTCCTGCTGGGCACTCCTTATGAGGTGTTGTTGTGTGAAGCTATTTTGAATTACTTGTTAAATTGACTTGTAATATAGAAGAGGTGGCTAAGGGATTTTTAACAGTACCAACCATGGGGGGGGGCAAATCCTCACAAGAGGTCCCAGAATTTACTGGGGACGAGAAATGCTTGATGTAATTAAAATGGAATCCAGGGATAGCTTCAAATCTCCATTATATAACCAGATGGAGGGAGAGGTATGGTTTTGAGGGACGTCTGGACGCAGATAAACTCGAATCCATGCTTAAACAGATACATAAGGTGTGTAAAGGAGAAATAAGCAGTGAGAGAGAGAGAGAGTAGGAGGGGGCCAGTACCCACTGATAGCCTTACCTAATCTATTGGCGGGGAATGAAAGGGGCCCCAGCAACCTTAGATGTATACAGTAATAATAATAATATGCCATTTAGCAGACAGGCCATGAACACAGAGGACGTGGCTTTAATTGGGGTTTTCAAATAGAAAACAACACACCTAGTATGATGTTAATAAAGTCTTGTTGTTTCAATTTTGGAGGGTTTTCAGCAGGTCAAGGGTTATAGGTCTTAGAGGAGCACACAGTGAATTTTATGGAGTTTTTTTAGGTTTTGGCTGAGTTTGGGGTATATATGATTTCTTATGAGAATGAATGTCATGAGGACTTAATGAACACTTGGGATAACTAACATTTATGAAATATTTAGAATAATGGTAATGTTTAGTATACTATGGGATTAAACAGTTCGTTAAATGATTTCAATGGCCTCTGAACTCTGTTTTAACATTCTGGTGTTATTTTAATCATCCACACTAGTAAATTCTAAAGGCATGAGAGGAGGACTTTAAGATAGTTTATTTTACTAAGTTGAGGGTAAAATAGGTAGGTGGTAATATTGACACATGGCCAAATCATGTGTCAAAAAGGGGGATGGTTGGATTAAATATTAAATATATACGAAGGAGAGGACAAAATACTTTTAAAAAAAACAAACAAAAAAACATGTATGATAGTTTATTAACCACACCTGTATGTCAGAGGTTTTGTGCCCCACAGGTGAACTAAAGGAGAAGGTGACCCACTCTATCTAACCAGGAGACTGAATCAGGCCTGGCGGGAAGGGCCCTACCAAGTACTGCCTTTGCCAGCAGAATAGCTGAGAGATCCATCTGGGTGCATGTCACACACTGTAAAAAGGCAAAACCAGCTACACCTGACGAACAAACACAGAGTTAGGAGAAAGATCCGATTACCACTAGGGCTCGGGGGTTGGCTCCTTAACGAAGATTCCCTTACCCTGTCTGATCATCCCTGTGTGAGTTCGATAGAAGGTAAAGCAATGGGTTGGCCTCTGGCATCTGACATGTTCTCAGGGCAAGGGTGGGGATTCACAGGTCTCCCGACGGTAGGTAGCTGTCTGATTGTGGGGGCCATATTCCTAACACACACGGACCCTCCTGTTTCAGCCAGAAGTGGTAGTTAACCTAACACAAGTTGAAAAGGCATAGGAGACAGCTAGACGTAGGGAAAGGGGAAATTCTAGAGTAAACCTCTCTGAGGGAGGTAGTGAGACCGGGGCTGTGGTAAAGATAGTGCAAAACTATAGACCTGGAGGAAGTAGTACAGGTGGAAACGGGGTATAGAAATCTTAACCTGTGGTTGGAATGGATTCAGTATACGGAAAAAACTATGTCTAAAGAGGACTGTTTTGCCTGTGGGACAGCCAAACCAGGGTTAACAACTACTCCGTTCCCCTTGACAGGCTTTAACTCTCTGTCAGGTTTATCCTCCATGCAAGCCACCTGGGAATGTGGTGAAAGAGTCTTATGGTAACTTGCACTATCTGTTTCCCCCGATAACAAAGTCATCCCGACCTGGGTTGCCTCCGTTTGAAGTCTCAGGGGATTCTTATTATTGTTTTTCTAGGACTAGTAAGGATAGGATACAGGGTAGGGCATCTTAGCTCCTGCTCCCACACAGAGAATGTCACACCTAAAGAGACCATGACTAATCTCTCCTCTTTGTTGCAGCCAGAGGATTATAGGAGCCAAAACCAGGCCCGTGCTGACATCTGATGGTTGTGTGGTGATAACTGATTGTGAACTCACCTACATACGCAAACAATCAAACGTGTCAGAGACTGGTGAGTTGTCACATAGAAAGTAGGACCTCCTCCCGGGATCCTTTGATGAAAGGATATATATTGATGGGATCCACAATCAGATCGCAGCTGGGTTTGAATCAAGTATTTTCTGGTGGTCAACAATTAATAAAAATGTAGATTGGATAAATTATACTTAATATAACCAGCAAAATATTTATAAACCACACTCGTGATGCAATAAAGGGATTAGCTGAGCAGACAGCGGCAACTAGCTTAATGACATGGCAGAATAGAATAGCTTTAGATATGCTTTTGGCTGAGCGGGACGGGGTTTGTGTTCTGTTTGGATATATGTGCTGTACTTTCATCTCCAACAATATAGCACCGGACGGGCACGTGACAAAAGCGCTTGAGTGACCATCACCACGCTGGCGAACGAACTGGTTGAGAACTCTGGTATTGATAGCTCCATAAACGGTTGGTTTGATAACATATTTGGTAAATGGAAAACTATTGTTGTGACTATTCTGGGTGAAGTTATGGCCTCTATGGGTATACTTGTTCTTTGTGGATGTTGCCTTATTTCCTGGCTGAGTGATTGGTTTGGTGAGTACTCTTCTATGGTGGTTACTGGATTTCTGACCCTAGTAATTGTGTTTTTGCTGTTAATGTGTTGTGCTGCTTGCATCGTCCCCTGTCTCAGGAGGTCAGTGGTAGGAGTGGTGCAGGCGTCAGGTATGATGCTGTTGTTACCGGCCCAGGATGATGCAGGTGACTCTGCTACTGACTCTGAGACCAAGCTGGATGATCCATGTTTTGCCTAGTAAAATACATACACGCATTTATTTTCAGTTCTTGCTCATTTATTACCTTATGTTTTTACTAACCACTGTGATTGTTTATTCTTCCTGATGTGAAGGTAAAGGATTCCTGGGTGGCTGGTAGCCAACTCAGTACATGTTAGGTGTAGGGGAAGAATAGAGGGTTAAACTTATTATTATTTTTATTTTTTATTAACATTAAATGTTGTGATTTAATTTCCATATCCTGTTATTCTTAAGGGTGATTATACTCTGTTTAGAGTGACACCATAAAATTGTTGGCTTTTATTTTTAATTGGATCTGTATGTGATGAATAGCTTGGAAGGAATGCATTAATGAGGAGCACTGTACTGATATGGATTGTTTCACATAACAGGCTGATAAAAACACTCTCTCTTTGTTGTCTGTGAAACTGTCCTTGAAAATGGGTACATGGAGTACAGTGGAATGGTGTCTTTTGGGTGCTGACTGTTGTACCATTAATAAAGACGTCGATAGAATTAACTACATACATTAATGTCCAGAAATTAGAAAACTGGACTCAACAAGGTTTTGAGGCTGTTCATGGACAACTAGCTGCAACTTCATTAATGGCTTTTCAGAATAGAATTGCTGTTGATATGTTACTTGCTGAAAGAGGGGGTGTGTGTGCTATGTTCGGGGAACAATGTTGTACTTTTATTCCTAATAATACTGCTGCAGATGGAAGTTTGACAATTGCTCTGGAAGGGTTACGAACTCTTAATGGCAAGATGAAGAGCCACTCAGGGGTGGATACTTCAATGTGGGACTCTTGGATGGATGCGTTTGGTAAATATAAAACGCTTGTTTCTTCTATACTTGTATCCATCTCTGTTTTTGCTGCAATTCTAGTGCTTTGTGGATGCTGTTGCATTCCATGCATACGGACGCTGACAACCAGGATTATAACCACCGCTATTGATCCAAATCCTGCAGATAACGGTCAGATGTTTCCTTTGCTTGCTATTGACGATGCTGACCAAGGATATCTGGATGATGAATAGCATTTAAGCTTTTTTGTCACGTCTCTTGTGAGACGTGAAGAGGGGGAATCAAAACTTTATCTTCTGATAAAGTTTTCCCTATTTTGCCAATTGCACTGTTAGCTTGTGTCACGTCTCTTGTGAGACGTGAAGAGGGGGAATCAAAACTTTATCTTCTGATAAAGTTTTCCCTATTTTGCCAATTACACTGTTAGCTTGTGTCACGTCTCAAGTTTTCCTTCTTTACTGTTACTTGGTCACGTCTCTGGGGAGACGTGAAGAGGGGGATTTGTCGTAGTAAATATATTTGTTATAGCTTGGTCTGACTAAAATCTTGTGCATGACCCATTTTGTGTTGGGTGTTTGTTTTCAATCAATGCTGTTCCTATGCAAGAACAATGGACAGAGAACCATATCTTGTCAAGGACAACACCCACGCCACAGGCCACAATCACTGGTTGCTCCCCTCGAGTCTTCCCTTGAGAACACACACACACATCATCACTGTTAACACACACACACACACACACACACACACACACACACATCATCACTGTTAACACACACACACACACACACACACAAAATCCCCTCTTTTAGGCTGAACATTTGAAGACAGAGAACTCTACTCAGAGCCAATGCAACAGTGACACTAGCCTGGAGGGGACCTCGCCCAACTCATCAGGACCAATCAGAAGATCAGAACTACTAGATTCAACCTACATCATTTATTGCATAAAATGTCTGCACACAATGTTTCGGGGCTCTCTTCAGATAGCTCCCTAAGAGTTTGACGAACGAGTCCGTGCACGCGATTCCAGATATCTTTACCTCTGAATAAACTGCCTTTATTATACCATATCCACCCTGTCCAAAGTCTCTACTTGGTCTCAGTTCTCCAGTAAACTTGTGATTATCAACACTGGCCACTTTAAGAAATAGAACACTAGTCACTGTGACAAATACATTTTGATTTGATTTGATTTGATTTGCAAATGAATGTGCTGATGGGTAGCCTACCAAACTTGCTAAAGGCCCTTGCTAATGGCCTGGTACTTAGCGCTCTATTGTCCCTCTAATCACTCTCTAAACACATCATGATCGAATTTGAATAATCTGAATGATGAGGACAAATAGTGATGGGAGTTAGAGTTCCCGTTCTGAAATAGTTCCCGTTCCGAAATAGATTTGGGAAAGCCCCGGACCTAATATGCATACATTTGTTAAACCTGTTCCGAAAGGACCTAAAGGGCAACCGGTACGATCCAAGTGAGGGAAGCAGCAGAAAAGCCAATGGTTTTGCTACTTTATTAAAAGGCTCAGAGCACCGCAGCACCGAGGGAGAGACCCGTAACCACTGTTATCTCGCGCTAGACTAACGTCTTGCTAGTTATTTATCATCCCATCTGATTACATATTACCTGTCTTGACTGCATCAAACTGAGAGAAGCTAGTTAAACTAGCTAGCTAGGCTAATTGAGGCTAGCCATAATGTTACTGTGCTTCTCACCGTCCTACAGTTAGCCTACACATAACAACAACTCAATTCAGATTATTAAGTAGCAGCCTACCTGTTGGCTTTTGGACATCGTAGCCTTTCTTTCTCATTTCACTTTTAATTCCGTCATTTTAATTCCATCTACCATTGATTAGATATCCCCTAACTTTCTTGCTACATAAGCATAGCAGCAATGCAATTGTTTCTCTCTCTCCGCTGGAAGAGCAAGGATCAGAGCGCATGCCTTTTTTTGCGACTTTTCCCAAATCATCAATATAGAGTTGTATCATGCAGCCCTTAAGTTTTGATTTCTAAGACATTCCCAGGTTTATAGGCCTATCACAACTAAATACATAATGGATTTGATTGTGATGGCTATATTAAATTGATTTATTAGACTTTTTAAAATGGAGATGTTCTACTGAACATGTTTGTTTAATTAATGGCCAATTACCATGAAACCGGCATACATTTGCATGACAATTACCGTCTGACAAAATGTCATGTCCGCCACAGCCCTAGTAATAACCATAATGTAAAAAATATACCACTGTAATTTATTAATGAGGAAACGTGACTACTACACAGACCAAAAATGTACTCATGTTGTAGTAGTAGTCAGTAGTAGTAGTAGTCAGTAGTAGTAGTAATAATAATAATAATAATAATATGCCATTTAGCAGACGCTTTTATCCAAAGCGACTTACAGTCATGCGTGCATACATTTTTTTGTGTGTGTCAACTCCTGCACCTGCTGAATTTGCTTGATCTGATTGAGCGAGGGCTTGGGATGGGTGGGACCCACTGTCTCCTTCGTCCAATCATCAACCAGTCTGTGCAAGTCATCTGTGAACATGCTCTTCCTGGCACCCTGGGAGGGAGGACTGTGGTCTGAGAAAAGATAAAGGGAAGATATTCAATCAAACTACTTATTCAGATAAAGAGGAATAGTCTTATGTTTTGGTGAAACCTTTACTTACCTCTTTTAGTAGTCAGTAGGGTGGTGTGTTCTGGGTTGCAGTACGGTGGTAGTCTGCTCTGTTCTCCCCCTGAAAAACTACTGGACTGCTGGATACCTTCAGGAGATACAACAGACAGTCAGATATCACATATACAGTGCCTTTGGAAAGTATTCAGATCCCTTGACTTTTTCCACATTTTGTTAGGTTACAGACTTATTCTAAAATCGATTACATTGCTTTTTCCCCCTAATCAATCTACACACAATACCCCATAATGACAAAGCAAAAACAGACCCATTACTCAGTACTTTGTTGAAGCACCCTTGGCAGCGATTACAGCCTTGAGTCTTCTTGGGTATGACGCTACAAGCTTGGCTCACCTGTTTTTGGGGAGTTTCTCCCATTCTTCTCTGCAGATCCTCTCAAGTTCTGTCAGGTTGGATGGGGAGCGTTGCTGCACAGCTATTTTCAGGTCTCTTCAGAGATGTTAGATCGGGTTCAAGTCCGGGCTCTGGCTGGGCCACTCAAGGACATTCAGAGACTTGTCCCGAAGCCACTCATGCATTGTCTTGGCTGTGTGCTTAGGGTCGTTGTCCTGTTGGAAGGTGAACCTTCACCCCAGTCTGAGGTCCTGAGAGCTCTGGAGCAGGTTTTCATCAAGGATCTCTCTGTACTTTGCTCCGTTCATCTTTGCCTCGATCCTGACTAGTCTCCCAGTCCCTGCCACTGAAAAACATCCCCACAGGATGATGCTTCCACCACCATGCTTCACTGTAGGGATGGTGCCAGGTTTCCTCCAGATGTGATGCTTGGCATTCAGCCCAAAGAGTTCAACCTTGGTTTCATCAGACCAGAAAATCTTGTTTCTAATGGTCTGAGAGTCTTTAGGTGCCTTTTGGCAAACTCCAAGCGGGCTGTCTTGTGCCTTTTACTGAGGAGTGGCTTCCGTCTGGCCACTCTACCATAAAGGCCTGATTGGTGGAGTGCTGCAGAGATGGTTGTCCTTCTGGAAGGTTCTCCCATCTCCACAGAGGAACTCTAGAGCTCTGTCAGAGTGACCATCGGGTTCTTGGTCACCTCCCTGACCAAAGCCCTTCTCCTCCGACTGCCCAGTTTGGCCAGGCGGCCAGCTCTAGGAAGAGTCTTGGTGGTTCCAAACTTCTTCATTTAAGAATGATGGAGGCCACTGTGTTCACAGGGAAATGTTTTGGTACCCTTCCCCAGATCTGTGCCTCGACACAATCCTGTCCCGGAGCTCTACAGACAATTCCGGCTTGGTTTTTGCTCTGACATGCACTGTCAACTGTGGGACCTTATATACACAGGTGTGTGCCATTCCAAATCATGTCCAATCAATTGAATTTATCACAGATGGACTCCAATCAAGTTGTAGAAACATCTCAAGGATGATCAATGGAAACTGGATGCACCTGAGCTCAATTACGAGTCTCACAACAAAGGGTCTGAATACTTATGTAAATAAGGTATTTCTGTTTTTTATATTCAATACTTTTGCAAACATTTATAAAAATCTGTTTTTGCTTTGTCATTATGGGGTATTGTGTGTAGATTGCTGAGGATAATAATTTAAAAAATCACTTTTAGAATAACACATTTTGGAAAAAGTAAAGGGGTCTGAATACGTTCCGAAGGCACTGTACACCTTCAGTGAGAGAGGGAGATAGAGGGAGGGGGGGGGGGGGGGGGGGGGGTACAGAGATAGAGATAGAGAAAGAGTGAAAGAAGGAGAGAGAGAGAGAGAGAGAGAGAGAGAGAGAGAGAGAGAGAGAGAGAGAGAGAGAGAAAAAAATACAGAGAGATCGAGATTGAAAGACCGAAAGTAGACCCAGGAAGAGAGATTGGTTACCGGGTTGACCAGTGACTCCATTGTTGTCCATGTGGGAGTGGGGTCTGGGCCGGAGCTTGGCTTTGGCTGGGCGAGGCCTGCGGGGGGAGAGGGCTGGCAGTCCCAAGGGGAGGGTTGGGGTGCGGGGCAGAGGCAGGGTCGGCCGGTGGTCTTTGAGGGAGCGGAGCTGTCTGTACAGCTCCTGGAGCTCTGTGTTCTGCTGAGCCTGCAGGGACACCACCTCCTTGATGTGTCTGGCAAGTGGTAGAACACAGGGATAGGAAAGAGGAAGGGAGGACGGAGGAAGGGAAATTAACAGAATGGGGTTTGGGAGATCATTAATGAAAGAGAGACAGAATAGAGCGACAGAGACAGAATAGCGGAGGAGAAAGTGAGGACATTTGAGAATGTAGGCAGGCAGGGATGGGAGGGGGGAAGATAATACAAATTGGTCAAAATGGGGAAAAGGTGAATTCAGTAGATGCTTTCCTTTCTTTCTTTCTTTCTTTCTTTCTTTCTTTCTTTCTTTCTTTCTTTCTTTCTTTCTTTCTTTCTTTCTTTCTTTCTTTCTTTCTTTCTTTCTTGATTGGGTTTATTATGATCTATCCCTCCCTCTTCTTGTCCCTTCTTTCCCTCCATGTCTCACTTCTCTCTCAGCTTGTGCAGCTCCTTCCTCAGGTCTTCATCCCCCATTTCACTCTCCTCATCATCACTACTGCCTAGGGGTGAGTGACCATGCCAATGTCCTCGTGGTGGGTGGCTCAGTGCTGGGTTCCTCTTCCCCTCCTCTCCCTCCTTCCCTCGGGCCCTCCTCCTCTCTCTCTCCAGGTCAGGAGACACAGGGGAGCTGTCCGTTAGCTCTTTCTCCTCTTTCTGGGCGTCCATCTGGGTGACAGAGAAGCGCCCCACTTTCCTGTGACTGCTGCCTATACCGGAGGCTGCCTCTTTGGGGGGAGAGGCCTCAGGGGGCTGGGGCACTGTGGTGACCTGGAAAAATGTGAGTCATTAACTTTGTGTGTGTTCCTCCTCCTCCAGCGTATTCTGATATTTAAACAGGAAGGGATTTTCAGGATTATCAGAAAGTTCTAGGCACCTCATAGATCTGAAAGAATTGAATAGGCCTGGTAGTAGTTACAGTGGCTTGCGAAAGTATTCACCCCCCTTGGCATTTTTCCTATTTTGTTGCCTTACAACCTGGAATTAAAATTGATTTTTGGGGGTTTGTATCATTTGATTTACACAACATGCCTACCACTTTGAAGATGCAAAATATTTTTTATTGTGAAACAAACAAGAAATAAGACAAAAAAACAGAAAACTTGAGCGTGCATAACTATTCATCCCCCCCCCCCCCCCCCCACACCCCAAGTCAATACTTTGTAGAGCCACCTTTTGCAGCAATTACAGCTGCAAGTCTCTTGGGGTATGTCTCTATATGCTTGGCACATCTAGCCACTGGGATTTGTGCCCATTCTTCAAAGCAAAAACTGCTCCAGCTCCTTCAAGTTCGATGGGTTCTGCTGGTGTACAGCAATCTTTAAGTCATATCACATATTCTCAATTGGATTGAGGTTTGGGCTTTGACTAGGCCATTCCAATACATTTAAATGTTTCCCCTTAAACCACTCAAGTGTTGCTTTAGCAGTATGCTTAGGGTCATTGTCCTGCTGGAAGGTGAACCTCCGTCCCAGGCTCAAATCTCTGGAAGACTGAAACAGGTTTCCCTCAATCATTTCCCTGTATTTAGCACCATCCATTATTCCTTCAATTCTGACCAGTTTCCCAGTCCCTGCCAATGAAAAACATCCCCACAGCATGATGCTGCCCCCACCATGCTTCACTGTGAGGATGGTGTTCTCGGGGTGATGAGAGGTGTTGGCTTTGCACCAGACATAGCATTTTCCTTGATGGACAAAAAGCTCAATTTTAGTCTCATCTGACCTGTACATTCTTCCATATGTTTAGGGAGTCTCCCACATGCCTTTTGGCGAACACCAAACGTGTTTCCTCATTTATTTCTTTAAGCAATGGCTTTTTTCTGGCCACTCTTCCGTAAAGCCCAGCTCTGTGGAGTGTACGGCTTAAAGTGGTCCTATGGACGGATACTCCAATCTCCGCTGTGGAGCTTTGCAGCTCCTTCAGGGTTATCTTTGGTCTCTTTATTGCCTCTCTGATTAATGCCCTCCTTGCCTGGTCCGTGAGTTTTGGTGGGCAGCCCTCTCTTGGCAGGTTTGTTGTGGTGCCATATTCTTTCCATTTTTTAATAATGGATTTAATGGTGCTATGTGGGATGTTCAACGTTTTGGATATTGTTTTAGAACCCAACCCTGATCTGTACTTCTCCACAACTTTGTCCCTGACCTGTTTGGAGAGCTCCTTGGTCATGGTGCCGCTTGCTTGGTGGTGCCCCTTGCTTAGTGGTGTTGCAGACTCTGGGGCCTTTCAGAACAGGTGTATATAAACTGAGATCATGTGGCACTTAGATTGCACACAGGTGGACTTTATTTAACTAATTATGTGACTTCTGAAGGTAATTGGTTGCACCAGATCTTATTTAGGGGCTTCATAGCAAAGGGGGTGAATACATATGCACGCACCACTTTTCCGTGATTTATTGTTTAGAATTTTTTGAAAACAAGTTATTTTTTTAATTTTACTTCACCAATTTGGACTATTTTGTGTATGTCCATTACATGAAATCCAAATAAAAACCATTTAAATTACAGGTTGTAATGCAACAAAATAGGAAAAACGCCAAGGGGGATGAATACTTTTGCAAGGGATTGTATCTTGTCCCCTCGTATACTGGGTGGATTATTTTCCCATATTGCTTACACCTATCTAATCCTTTCAGATCTATTGTCTAGGGGCTAGATTATTTTTCAGGATGGGCCGTACCCGAAATCGTCCCTTGAGTGAGTGGGTAGGGTTGGAGGAAGCTCCCTCTCTGACTGCCTGGCTGCTTCTACAGTGACCATCTAGAAAAAAGAGGGGGAATGAAAACCAAGGGGAAGAGAAAGAAAGAGAGGACATAGAGAGACAAGGACACAGAGACAGACAAAGAGACAGACATTCACATGAGTGAGGACAAGGTAGAGCCACAGAGACAAACACACAGAAATAGGCACATATGGGTGGACACACACAGAGGGACACACCGACAAGCACAGAGATAAGACGTGGACACACAGACACCACAAACACAGAAAAACAGAGTTTAAAAAATCATTGAATCACATGACATCACATCATCATCAGCACACCACCCTGTAACTGTACAATACATTGTATTGTATACAATCTAACAGTACATGCATGACTATGGGAAAGTGTGTGTACATTACGTTGATTTAGAAAACCATAGCATTTTTACAATATTTTACTGTCCTTTTCTTACAGCGACAGGAATAAACAAAAATGTTATGATAAAGATAAGTAAAGATACAGTACATCTACAATAAAAGCATGCTTAAATAAGCATGACCTGTAATGGGGTAGATAGATATAGATGGGAAGGGTGGTAGATAGATATAGATGGGAAGGGTGGTAGATAGATGTAGATGGGAAGGGTGGTAGATAGATGTAGATGGGAAGGGTGGTAGATAGATAGTAGATGGGAAGGGTGGTAGATAGATATAAGGGAAGGGTGGATAGATAGATGGAAGGGGATGGATAGATAGATGGGAAGGGGATATAGATGGGAAGGGTGGTAGATAGATATAGATGGGAAGGGTGGTAGATAGATATAGATGGGAAGGGTGTGGTAGATAGATATAGATGGAAGGGTGGATAGATAGATATAGATGGGAAGGGTGGTAGATAGATATAGATGGGAAGGGTGGTAGATAGATGTAGATGGGAAGGGTGGTAGATAGATATAGATGGGAAGGGTGGTAGATAGATATAGATGGGAAGGGTGGTAGATAGATATAGATGGGAAGGGTGGTAGATAGATATAGATGGGAAGGGTGGTAGATAGATATAGATGGGAAGGGTGGTAGATAGATGTAGATGGGAAGGGTGGTAGATAAGTGATTAATCATAACATAACATAGAAATCCATTTTAGGGGAGGGGTCAGTTAGTTGAGCGTATGCATCAGTATACCCCCACCCACCCACAACCACACACATCCATTCTCTCTCACACACTCATAGAGAGTGTCCCAGCAACATATTACGTCCCACACTAACATCACGTCAACCAACCAATCAACATCAATGAATCAACCAATCAATTAACCGATTGACATTATGGATTAATTTGGATAAACAGGGGTGCTGTCCGTGGTGTATGATATTTGGCAGCTTTTAAACAGAAAGTCTGTACAGTTGAAGTCGGAAGTTTACATACACTTAGGTTGGAGTCATTAAAACTCGTTTTTCAACCACTCCACACGTTTCTTGTTAACAAATTATAGTTTTGGCAAGTAGGCTAGAAGATCTACTTTGTGCATGACACAAGTAATTTTTCCAACAATTGTTTACAGACAGATTATTTCACTTATAATTCACTGTATCACAATTCCAGTGGGTCAGAAGTTTACATACACTAAATTGACTGTGCCTTTAAACAGCTTGGAAAATTGTCATAGCTTTAGAAGCTTCTGATAGGCTAATTGGAGCAGTGGCTTCTTCCTTACTGAGCGGCCTTTCAGGTTATGTCGATATACAGTGAGGGAAAAAAGTATTTGATCTCCTGCTGATTTTGTACGTTTGCCCACTGACAAAGAAATGATCAGTCTATAATTTTAATGGTAGGTTTATTTGAACAGTGAGAGACAGAATAACAACAAAAAAATCCAGAAAAACGCAGGTCAAAAATGTTATAAATTAATTTGCATTTTAATGAGGGAAATAAGTATTTGACCCCCTCTCAATCAGAAAGATTTCTGGCTCACAGGTGTCTTTTATACAGGTAACGAGCTGAGATTAGGAGCACACTCTTAAAGGGAGTGCTCCTAATCTCAGTTTGTTACCTGTATAAAAGACACCTGTCCACAGAAGAAATCAATCAATCAGATTCCAAACTCTCCAGCATGGCCAAGACCAAAGAGCTCTCCAAGGATGTCAGGGACAAGATTGTAGATCTACACAAGGCTGGAATGGGCTACAAGACCATCGCCAAGCAGCTTGGTGAGAAGGTGACAACAGTTGGTGCGATTATTCGCAAATGGAAGAAACACAAAATAACTGTCAATCTCCCTCGGCCTGGGGCTCCATGCAATATCTCACCTCGTGGAGTTGCAATGATCATGAGAACGGTGAGGAATCAGCCCAGAACTACACGGGAGGATCTTGTCAATGATCTCAAGGCAGCTGGGACCATAGTCACCAAGAAAATAATTGGTAACACACTACGCCGTGAAGGACTGAAATCCTGCAGCGCCCGCGAGGTCCCCGTGCTCAAGAAAGTATATATACAGGGCCGTCTGAAGTTTGCCAATGAACATCTGAATGATTCAGAAGAGAACTGGGTGAAAGTGTTGTGGTCAGATGAGACCAAAATCGAGCTCTTTGGCATCAACTCAACTCGCCGTGTTTGGAGGAGGAGGAATGCTGCCTATGACCCCAAGAACACAATCCCCACCGTCAAACATGGAGGTGGAAACATTATGCTTTGGGGGTGTTTTTCTGCTAAGGCGACAGGACAACTTCACCGCATCAAAGGGACGATGGACGGGCCATGTACCATCAAATCTTGGGTGAGAACCTCCTTCCCTCAGCCAGGGCATTGAAAATGGGTCGTGGATGGATATTCCAGCATGACAATGACCCAAAACACACGGCCAAGGCAACAAAGGAGTGGCTCAAGAAGAAGCACATTAAGGTCCTGGAGTGGCCTAGCCAGTCTCCAGACCTTAATCCCATAGAAAATCTGTGGAGGGAGCTGAAGGTTCGAGTTGCCAAACGTCAGCCTCGAAACCTTAATGACTTGGAGAAGATCTGCAAAGAGGAGTGGGACAAAATCCCTCCTGAGATGTGTGCAAACCTGGTGGCCAACTACAAGAAATGTCTGACCTCTGTGATTGCCAACAAGGGTTTTGCCACCAAGTACTAAGTCATGTTTTGCAGAGGGGTCAAATACTTATTTCCCTCATTAAAATGCAAATCAATATATAACATTTTCGACATGCGTTTTTCTGTTTTTTGTTGTTGTTATTCTGTCTCTCACTGTTCAAATAAACCTACCATTAAAATTATAGACTGATCATGTCTTTGTCAGTGGGCAAATGTACAAAATCAGCAGGGGATCAAATACTTTTTTCCCTCACTGTAGGACTCGTTTTACTGTGGATATAGATACTTTTGTACCCGTTTCCTCCAGCATCTTCACTAGGTCCTTTGCTGTTGTTCTGGGATTGATTTGCACTTTTCGCACCAAAGTACGTTAATCTCTAGGAGACAGAACGCGTCTCCTTCCTGAGCAGTATGGCGGATTCGTGATCCCATGATGTTTATACTTGCGTACTATTGTTTGTACAGATGAACGTGGTACCTTCAGGCGTTTGGAAATTGCTCCCAAGGATGAACCAGACTTGTGGAGGTCTACAATTGTTTTTCTGAGGTCTTGGCTGATTTCTTTTGATTTTCCCATGATGTCAAGCAAAGAGGCACTGAGTTTGAAGGTAGGCCTTGAAATACATCCACAGGTACACCTCCAATTGACTTATATAATGTCAATTAGCCTATCAGAAGCTTCTAAAGCCATGACATCATTTTCTGGAATTTTCTAAGCTGTTTAAAAGCACAGTCAACTTAGGGTAAGTAAACTTCTGACCCACTGGAATTGTGATACAGTGAATTATAAGTGAAATAACCTGTCTGTAAACAATTGTTGGAAAAATTACTTGTGTCATGCACAAAGTAGATGTCCTAACCGACTTGCCAAAACTATAGTTTGTTAACAATAAATTTGTGGAGTGGATGAAAAACAAGTTTTAATGACTCCAACCTAAGTGTATGTAAACTTCCGACTTCAACTGTATGTAGCGTGCTGTATGTTCATGCCATATGCTATATTTACAATGAAAATACACAAATAACTAAACTACAGTGAAACACACTAATACATGCAAGAATAGCAGTCTGCAAAAAACAATGTGAGCTTATTGGCTCAGCCTTATAAAAGCCTATGCAGGTAAGAAAGAAACCGAATGGGTAGTTACTTCTAAACCCTGCACTGAACAATGTGCACAATGTATAGTCAATTATGATGTCATCATAATCTAGGATATTACATACAGAACCTACTGGCAAGCAAATGGCTCATTTATAAAGCATTGCATAATGTATTGCAGACCTAATGGAGTGATTGCCATGGATTGTCATGACATTTGCCAAGTGTGAGTGAGCACTCAAAGTGTGAATGTGTATGTGTATGTATATGTGTGTGTGTGTGTGTGTGTGAGGTGCTTAGTCTGAGCTACTCTGTGTCAGCAGGTGGAGTGTGTGGTTGCTATGTGGTGGGCACTGACTGAGCAGTGTGCAGTGGCCATTATCCTCTGAGAGCAGAGAGTGGGGGTGTGGTGGGGCTGGTGGGGGTCATAAAGGGGTCTAATGCTCTCATATCCTGGTTGCAGCAAGCAGGCAGGCGCTACTCCGATCTCCAGAGTTACAGTTGTAAACTCATCAGCCTCCTTATACTGCCCATCTCTTTCTTCCTACACTCTCCTCTTCTCTACTCCTCCTCCTCATCCCCCCATCTCTTTCTTCCTACACTCTCCTCTTCTCTACTCCTCCTCCTCATCCCCCCATCTCTTTCTTCCTACACTCTCCTCTTCTCTACTCCTCCTCCTCATCCCCCCATATCTTTCTTCCTACACTCTCCTCTTCTCTACTCCTCCTCCTCATCCCCCCATCTCTTTCTTCCTACACTCTCCTCTTCTCTACTCCTCCTCCTCATCCCCCCATCTCGCTCTTCTTCTCTACACTGTTCTGGCCTCATGCAGGCCCAGGCAGGGTGAGTAACCCCCCCCATGCAAACAAAAAAGATGGGCAAATAAATGTAGTAAAGCCATTCTGCAAAACAGAACATTCCAGAAGATAAGAGTAATGTATCATGTAGAGATATCGTCAACACTGACACCATACAACAAAGACAATCACATAAAAATAGTAATACCAGAAAAATATAAAATTACAGTTACTTATTACCAAAAGATTAGTTAAAAAATAACAAAGGAATAATAATTCCTGTCAAGATAAGAGTCGCAGAAATTACACAATTATGTTACACTTAACAGAATTATATTAAACATAACTAGACAACCTTTGTATTTTAGATAAACACCCCAACCAACCAACGCCCCATTCAACCTCTCTCTCGCTCTCTCTCTAAGAACACGCTACCTTGCTTGACTCTGGGCTTCTTGAACAAGCTGGCGGAGTGGCGCAGTTTGCACGCCCAGCTTTTGAATTTGCGAGTCCAGGATTTCTTGCTAACGGGATTTCTGATACTAGGACATGTCAGGTTTAGGCCAAAATATCCACCTCCTGCATTATGCTGCGGCAGTGGTCCAGGGCCCAGGGGGATGGGGTGCAGATTGGGGGGCCACGTAGTGACTTCTCCTGGGGTACTGGTGTCAGAGTGAGAGGGGGCAGCCTGGAGGTGTAGGGGGAGGGGATAGGGGAGGGGATAGGTAACACAGCGACAAGGTAAGAGTGGCTGCAGCCATGGGGGGTCATAGTAGAGACACTCAGAGAGAAAAGGAGAGATACTGAAATATCATAAGTACATTACAAGAACCACAGCATTGAAAAATACATGTATCTATTAATTCATAACAACAAGGCAATCAAAGCAGTGGTCTTTACTAAATGTTTCAGGAAGCCAATCAAACACTATTCAGATATGTGCACCTCACTTACAAGAACGGTGGGTTCTCCAGGGATAGGCGGGGGCCCGGCAGAGTCTCCGTGTAGGGGGGCCAGGAGGGAGGAAGGGGGGGAGGCGGAGGAGAGTGACGGGGTGGGCTGCTGCTCCACCGGGCCTGTTGGAGGAGCCTCCTCCCCCACTCCTCTCCCACTCTCCAGGTCAGGAGAGGGGGAGGAGGAGCGGGAGGTGGTGGAGGAGGTGGTGGAGGAGGAGGAATGAGGAGAGGTGTCTGATGAGGAGGACGCAGGAGGAGGGAAGGAGGAGGGATGGAGCGAGTGCGGCTCCGAGGATTCGTCCCCTCCTGCCGATGTGGAGGCTGCTGACACTGAGGTGGGACCTATAGTAGAAACCACAGCAGCTCCCCCCGTCACACCTGCCCCACTACTATACTCCTGATACAACAAGTTCCTCAGCTTTTCATCCAGAGTCTTAATGCGGTTGTCTACAAACTCAATTTTGGGAGGGCCCTCGCTGTCCGACTCAGCCACAGAGGATGGCTGGACCGGGGAGGGGGTCAGGGTGAGGGAGAGAGGCGGTAGGGGGGCATCAGAGGTTGTGTTAATGTTGAGGGGCAGAGAGGAGTCTGAGGAGGGGTGTAGAGGGGCAGAGTGACTGACTTTATCCTCGGTCACAATGGCCTCCCATGTAGACAGCTCCCACTCTGACTGTTGGAACAACGGCTGCTCCTGGAGAGGAGCCTGCTGGGGCTCCTGCTGCTTCTGCTGAGGGTTAACCTCTTGTTGTTGTTGTTGTTGCTCTAGCAGCTGTTGTGACTGTACTAGTTGGTGTTGTGTCTGTTCTAGAGGGAGTCTGTGCGTGAGTTGTTGTTGTTGTTGTTGTTGTTGTTGTTGAGGAGCTTGCTGTGGTTGTACCAGTGCCATGTTTAGTAGCTGTACTGGTTGTTGTTGGACATACTGTTGGTTCACTGACTGGGCTAGCAGCGCATGTTGCTGCTGTAACACATCTCCCTGTATGGCTGTTACAGCCATAAAAGACTGCTGTTGTTGTTGTTGTTGTTGTTGTTGTTGTTGGAGCATTTGCTGTTGCTGCTGAATATGTAGTGCCTGTTCCAGACCTAACTGTTGCTGATGCTGTTGTTGTTGTTGTGGTGGTAACTGGTGTAGCTGTGGCTGTTGTTGTTGTGGTAACTGGTATAGCTGTGGCTGTTGTTGTTGTGGTAACTGGTGTAGCTGTGGCTGTTGTTGTTGTTGTGGTAACTGGTGTAGCTGTAGCTGTTGTTGTTGTTGTTGTGGTGGGGGTAACTGGTGTAGCTGTGGCTGTTGTTGTTGTTGTGGTAACTGGTGTAGCTGTGGCTGCTGTTGTTGTTTTTGGTAATGGTTGTTAGCTGTGGCTGTGGTGTTGTTGTTGTTGTGGTGGTAACTGCTGTAGCTGTGTGTTGTTGTGTGTGTGGTTGGTGGCTGGTGTTGTGTTGTGTGGTGGTAGGTGTAGTGTTGTTGGTTGTGGTGGTGGTGGTGGTAACTGGTGTAGTGTGTTGTTGGTGTGGTTGGTGTGGTGGTGGTAACTGGTGTTGTTAGTGTGTTGTTGTGTTGGTGGGTTGGTGGTGTGGTGTGTGTGTGGTAACTGTGTAGGTGCTGTTGTTTGTGTTGTTGTTGTGTGTGGTAACTGGTGTAGCTGTGGCTGTTGTTGTTGTGGTGGTAACTGGTGTAGCTGTGGCTGTTGTGTTGTTGTTGTGGTGGTAACTGGTGTAGCTGTGGCTGTTGTGTTGTGTGTAACTGGTGTGCTGGTTGTTGGTTGTGGTGGTAACTGGTGTAGCTGTGGCTGTTGTTGTTGTGGTAACTGGTGTAGCTGTGGCTGTTGTTGTTGTTGTTGTGGTGGTAACTGGTGTAGCTGTGGCTGTTGTTGTTGTTGTGGTAACTGGTGTAGCTGTGGCTGTTGTTGTTGTTGGTACTGGTGAGCTGTGGCTGTTGTTGTTGTTGTTGTGGTGTGGGTAACTGGTGTAGCTGTGGCTGTTGTTGTTGTTGTGGTAACTGGTGTAGCTGTGGCTGTTGTTGTTGTTGTGGTGGTAACTGGTGTAGCTGTGGCTGTTGTTGTTGTTGTTGTGGTGGGGGTAACTGGTGTAGCTGTGGCTGTTGCATGTGTAACTCTGTGTTCTGCATTTGGACAGGCAGTTGCTGTATCTGTTGTTGTAGTGCCAGTGGCAACATATCTGTCTGTGGTTGCAGGGACATACACTGTTGTTGTAACGGCTTTGTCTGACTGAGCTGGGGCTGCACATGTAGCTCAGACTGCTGCTGCTGTTGTTGTTGTTGTTGTGGCTGTAGTTGTTGCTGTTGCAGCATCTGCAACTGTTCAATAGATTTTTGCAACGCGAGTTGCTGCTGCTGCTGTTGCAGTTGTATCTGCTCTTGGTACACTTGCTGTTGTTGCTGTACCTGTTGGAGTTGCACAGCCTGCAGGTGTTGTTGTTGTTGTTGTTGTTGTTGCTGTTCTAGGAGCTGTTGCTGCTGCTGTACCTGTTGCATTGTCTGGAGTTGCTGTTGTAACTGGACCTGAGCTTGAGGCGGAGCCTGAGGCTGGGCTGGCATGCACTGAATCAGAGGCAGAGTGTGTTGCTGCTGCTTCAGACCTGCATGGCTAACAGGAGGAGAGGCCACGGCTGCAGACACAGCCACTGGAGGCTGGATGGAGCCGGTGGATGAGTGGTCCCCTGCAGACACACACTGCCCTGGGGCTGCCACTGCTACTACATCCCCTAGGCTTGGGCCTTGGCCCTGGCTCACCATGGAGCTGCCACTACTAGCTGGGGAGGTCAGAGCTTCAGTTAGACAGGCTGTGGTAGAGGGATCAATGGTGGTAGAAGCGGCTACCATGGTTGGGACTGGGAGGTTGGTAGCGGTATTTGGGACATGGGTTGGAATGGAGGATGTTGCTGTGGTGGAACTGGAAGTTTGGTCGATGGAAGCCTGCAGGTCTGGGCCTAGGCCAGCTGAGGCAGCGGGGACTGGGTGTAGGACTGAGGCAACAACTGCACTAGTAGAAGCCGGGTCAGAAACACTACTGTCAGAGGCAGCAGAGGCAGTCGTGTCAGGAGCGGGGGCAGCAGTGGCTGGGGGTGCAGACATGGAGGCAGGGGTAGAAACGGTGGAGACGCAGGTGGAAGCAGGGGTCAGGGCACACAGGGTGGAAGTGGGGCAGAGAGGAGGAGAGGAGACCATTTCAGCAAAGGAGGAGTCCAATCTCTGGGATCCTCCGTCCCCCTCTAGAGTATGTCGACCAATCAGAGCAGACCAGAGAGAGGAGGTACAGAGGGTTAGTTGGTGTTACTCAACAGACAGAACCAAACACAGCAGAATGTACCCCCTTCACACTACTGAGCAGAGCCCAGCCGTACTACACTGGCCTGGTTAAGTTTCCACCATAGTTGCTGCAACTGTGTTAGAAAAGTTACATTTTGTGTACAGTGCATAGCCCATTAATGGAGCAGGACACTAACTGCACAGGACAGTTCAGAAAATATTTCAACCCCTACTGGTTTTCGGGTGGGCTTGGTAGTGTGAAAAGGGTATGAATGCCCAGTGTTAAATGACTGTTAGCCCAGACCCGGGTCCTGTTACTGTACCTCGGTCAGTGTCTGTAGACTGGGGCACCCTGACCTCTCCGGTCGAGAGAGGTGGAGGGGTGGATGCTCCTCCCTGGTTGGACGTGGAGTCTCTGTGTCTGATCGTCTGGTTGATGAAGAACCTCCATCTGCCCACCGGAGACGACTGAGGCGTCCCGTCCACTGGAACATAAAATAATATATAAAAAGTCCCACTTTAAACTTTAAACTAACTACAACTTTCAAGGTTTCCTTAAACACTTTATAAAGCCTACATATATGTTTTAGAAATCATTCAGAATAATTCATAATGCTTTATCAAGGGGGGTGCTGATTCCATTGGCAGATAAAGAGAAATAACGTAGAAAAGGTCCCACTTTAAAATAACTACAACTTTCAAGGCTTCATCAACACTTTATAAGGCCTATAGCAGGGATGGGCAACTTTGATGGTGTGGCCACAAAAGATCGGAATTAATCATGAGGGGCCGCAAATGTTGTTGTCACCGCCCTGAACATTTTGCAATGTTACAACAACTAATTTCATGCAATTCTACACATTTTGCCATAAGGTGGAGAGAAATGTTTGCAGTTTTTAATATGATCTCTGAGTGAGAGTAGGTGAACGGATGAGTAGGTGAACGGATGATCTCTGCATGTGTAGTTCCCACCGTGAAGAATGGAGGAGGAGGTGTGATGGTGTGGGGGTGCTTTGCTGGTGACACTTTCAGTGATTTATTTAGAAGGCACACTTAACCAGCATGGCTACCACAGCATTCTGCAGCGATACGCCATCCCATCTGGTTTGCGCTTAGTGGGACTATCATTTTTTTTTCAATCGGACAATGACCCAAAACACACCTCCAGGCTTTTTAAGGGCTATTTGACCAAGAAGAGTGATGGAGTGCTGCATCAGATGACCTGGCCTCCACAATCACCCGACCTCAACACAATTGAGATGGTTTGGGATGAGTTGGACCGCAGAGTGAAGGAAAAGCAGCCAACAAGTGCTCAGCATATGTGGGAACTCCTTCAAGACTGTTGGAAAAGCATTCCTCATGAAGCTGGTTGAGAATGCCAAGAGTGTGCAAAGCTGTCATCAAGGCAAAGGGTGGCTACTTTGAAGAATCTAAAATCAAAAATAATTTTTTTGGGTTATTACATGATTCCATATGTGTTATTTCATAGTTTTGATGTCTTCACTATTATTCTACAATGTAGAAAATAGTAAAAAATTAAGAAAAACCCTTGAATGAGTATGTGTCTAAACCTTTGACTGGTAATGTATATACTTTTTTTGTTTTGTTTGTTTGTTTTTGGAAATTGATCCCGGGGCCTACAAAAAGGGGGCCGCGGGCCACCAGTAGCCCATCCCTGGCCTACAGAGATGCTTGACTGGGGTGCTGGAATAAAAAGAGAAATCCTATATAAAAAGGTCCTATTTTAATGAACTAAAACTTTACTTCCAAGGCTAAATGAAGCTGCCTTAAACAGAAATAATTCATAATCATTCATAACGCTTTATAAAGGTGGGGCAAAAGGATTAAGCCACATTTGGCAAAGCACCAGATATCATGACCATTTATAGTCCACTAGAAGAGAGCATGCTGACGCTGTCCCTGCTCCGGCTTCACGAAAGATGGACACAACTCTGCACTGACTTCATGGTCAGACTCCTAAAATCTCAATTCAGGGACTGGCTACCTCCTGACCGAATCACAGTGACAGGCAGGAACACTCGCAGCCAAAACAAACGGACTGAGCTCACCAATCTCATATTTCTGCTCTTTGAATAATGAGTGGCTTTAAGACCACGGGACATTTTTGATTGAAATGGTTTCTCTTATTTTTAAATGTTGTTGCTCTTATCCATTAAAATGTTGTATACGCATGAATTTCAGTTTGTAATGACTGCTGTATGAGTGCAAAAAGAAAAAAGAAAATACAGTATTTCAACTAGAAGATAGAATGATATTACATCATGTCAATCGAACTGTGTAAAAGGTTCATTACAATATAATCTATTTTATGAAAATGTAATGGGCAATTAAGTTGTCATCTTTCGCTTTTATCTCTCTATCTTCTCATCTGTATTTTCCATTCCAAGCTCAGTAGATTATAGCCTATAGATGCTGTAGGAGGAGTGGTGGGGAGGACAGAGGACGGAGGAAGGGCTGCCTCTCAAATAGCATCCTATTCCCTATTTAGTGTACTACTTTTGACCAGGGGCCATAGAGATCTGGTCAAAAGTAGTGCACTATATCGGGAATAACGGGCCATTTTAGATTGTAACTCACTTGCTGTGCCTGTTGGAGTGCTCACATACAGCTGTTCCATAGACCCAGTCTTGACAGACAACAGGAAGACACAGAACAGACCATGTTAACATACATACAGGCAGAATTACATGGTAATAAATCAGATGAGTTATGGTTGCTCCAATGCATTAGCTACTGTAAAGGCCCCTGTATGTTCTCCATACACCATTACATATGACTTTAGCTCTCTGTATGTTCAGTGTTCACCTTGCAGGATCAAAACGTTGTTTGTTTATTAATAAAGATACGTGGTGGAGCTCATGAGTGTGCAGGCTCTATTTCCTTTATTTTCACCATAATATAAAACATGGCTACTGACATAGTGGTTCCATAATGGTAGGAGAAAATGACCAGACAGTACATGGACCTGTTTCAAGGCAACATTATATCCAAAGCAGGACATATTGTACCCTGGCTGTACTATGTGTATGGTGTTCAGCATTTAAAACTGTATGTCTGTAAAGATTTAGAGTAGAAAAGAGCCGAACAGACATTACATACAGGTTACATCCCAAATGGCACCCTCCTATCTCCCTATGTAGTGCACTACTTTTTACCAGTGGCCATAGGATTCTGGACAAAAGTAGCGCACTATGTAGGGAACACAGTGTCATTTGGGAAGCAACCAATGTTTTCAAACCAGACCTGTTGATGTGTGAGGAGAATTTCCTGTGCTCTCTTGACAATGGACCTCAGATCTTCCACAAATGTCTCTTTCTCTGACTCACGGACAAAATCCTCCTCCACCTACACAAGCCATTACAGATACACAAATTGATACACAATAGAACACACTTTTTAAAACCAAACTTAATGGACCAAACACAGGCTGCATGGGGTAGTTGGCATTAGTCCAAATGAGAGTGCGTGCTGCAAAAATCCTCATCCCATCTAATATAATATAATCATACATGAATATAATCATATGTAATATATCCAAACAGGTAGATGTTTGTGGTGCTATAATCCCAAACAAATGTCCATGTATAACTGTGTGTTGGTCTAGCCACCATGTAATCTGCGATGTCTTCAGGTGCGTCTCCGTCAGTGTCGAACTTGAAGGTGACCATCTTGTTGCTGTGGGTTTCCAGCTGACACTCCACCATGTTGTCCCCAGAGCCGGACACCTACGGAGCACAGCAAGAGAAACCATGTTGGCCTTTCAATATCTTGGACACAAACATTTCTTGGACGTTATAATTTCTTGGACATGACCATTTCTTAGAAATCTTTTACATCCTGAGAGGGATTAATACTATTAGGGATACTATACCTGAATCATGCTCAGTTGAAATGCATGTGATCCTTTATCCGGCCCCCGATAGGACAATCTCCTCTGAGACTTCACCCTCTCTAGTTTCCCATTGGCCAACATCTGTAAATCCCCATCCCCATTGGCTGGAACAGAGCTGTGGTCAAATTAATAGTACTCCTATTGTTAGTACTTCAAGTACAGTATTGGGCATAACCTCTTCTAACATGAAAAACAAACGAAAAGTAGAACATTGACAACCGGTCCCTAGCCCTTCCCCTTGGTCTTAACCCTTGGATGATTGCAGATCTGAAGGGTCTGGATAGGTATAAGCAGTGTAGTGGTGAAGCATCCACCATATCACTTCCACCTTATAGATCTGCTAACATTGACCGGGGGCTAGAGCTATGGAGCGAATTGGGAACGACGTTGAGAGTAATGATGTGACACATACCCTGAAGTGGAGTGTCTCTCTGTGCCAGACTGGTTTGGACTCTCCTGTAGAGCCACATAGATACAGACAGACAGACACACAGACAGACCAACGCACACACAAATACAGACATACAGAAAACAGCAAAAACCCACAAAGAAAAGATACATACCAAACCATTAGTTGACTAATACAAATAAAACTGAAATGGTGAATACAAAAAATAAATGAACGTATATTAATGTAAGTTAAAGGAAAACACTTGATCATGTTGTTGTAGTACTGGTTAGTTTAAATCAGAACAAATACCATACAATCGTACTTAGCGTAACTGAGTAAAAGGAATGGGTTTTATTCTATATCTTAAAAAGGGTGTGGCCCTTGCATTGCTCTCTACTGTATACACATTTCTACAACCGGCTGGTTATTGGTTGCAAATAGTGGTAGTAATGGAACAGTATGCAGTAGTGGTAGAGTGGTGTGCACTTCTGTACCTGAGCAAGGCTCAGCAGAGCAGGGTCACAGTCTTGGAGCGAGGTTGGGGGCAGCAGCAAGGGGGCGTTAGAGTCAAGGGGCTGGGCAGCAGTGGCGGCAACAGGCGGGAGAGAAGTGGGTTCGTCAGCCAGGCCAGGCAGGGTTAGCTGACTCTCTGGTGGGGTGGGCTGGGTCTCTGGGCCAGGGGTAGCAGGATGGAGGGGTGGCAGGGAGGCAGGGCGTGGTGCTGTATGAGAGGGGCTGGGGGGCATGTGTGGAAGAGGGAGGGAAGTAGCCTGGGGGGGATTCAGAGGGTGCTGTTGCTCCGTGGTGGCAGCCACCGATGCGGCCTCAGCGAGCTGGGTCTCGGTGTGGACCTGCGTCTGGGCCAGTGTCTGGGTTGGAGTGTTTGCGAGAGCTTGCATGGCCGTCTGGGTGTGTGTGTGGGCGGGTAGCGGCTGCGTCAGCTGAGCCTGGTGCTGGGGGGATGGTGGAGGACTTCCTGCTCCTGCTACTACCTGACTGTAGAGGGGTAGGGCTCTAGTCTGAGTCCCGAGCTGGGGCTGGGGCAAGTTACTGGAGGCTGCAATCTGTGCTGGGTTAACAGTGGGCTGCTGGGGCAACAGATGTGGGGGGATCTGAGGAGGCTGAGAAGCCAGTTGACTTGGGTTGTGAGGGGGAATTAAGACTTGCTGCTGCTGAGGGGGAAGGGACTGCAGAGCCAGCTGGATGGGGGCCGGAGCTGGGGATGGAGCTGTGGCTGGGGCTTGGGCTGGAGCTTGTCCAGTCTGTTGTTGTATGTGTTGGGGCGAAGCAGAGACCAATGTGGTAGGGTCTATGACCTTGGCTGCAGGGGCTGCCATGACAGTTCCAACACCAACAGATCCAGGGGACAGCATTATCTGCTGGTACTGCAGCATGGACTGTTGTTGCTCCATCAGTATCTGCTGTTGCTGTTGTTGTTGTTGCTGTTGTTGTTGTGTTACTTGTTGAGTGATGTCCTGTTGTTGCTGCTGGACTGGCTGCATGGCTTGCTGTTGGGTGGGCTGAAGTGCAGTGACATACTGCGGTGCCAGTAGGCCGGCCGGAGCCTGGTGCTGGGGTTGAGGCTGCACCACCCCTGGAAGTTGAACACTGGGCTGCACTTGAGACTGGTGCTGGGGTTGAGGCTGCACCACCCCTGGAAGTTGAACACTGGGCTGCACTAGAGACTGGTGCTGGGGTTGAGGCTGGACCTGGCTTTGCATGGGGGGTATTGAGACTGGAGGTTGGGGTTGGACCAGAGCTGTGCTCTGCTGCATACGAGGCATCATCTGAGTCTCAAGAACGTCTGGAATCTGAGTCTGAGTCAGGGCCTGGGTTGGATACAGAGGCTGGGGAGTCTGCTGGATGACTGACTGCTCTGGTGCCTGGGCCTGTATTAGAGATGGCATCTGATGGGGAGCCTGTACTAGAGGAACCTGGGGCTGGATAGGGATTGGAGGACTTGGTGCCTGGATCGGGGCCACCATGTGAGATGGAATCTGGACCTCGATCATCTGGGGCTGGGCTTGGTGTGGAGGCTGGGGCTGGGCTTGGAGTACTGGGACAGAGACACTGCCCTGGCTCTGAGGGTGAGCTTCATTCCGAGCTTGAATCTGGGCCTGGCGGGGAATCTGTGGCTGAATGGCTACAGGTATCACTTCCTGACCCTGACCCTGGGTGGCCATCTGAGCTTGGACCTGAATGGCCTGTATAACCTCTGCTGCTGGTACGGCTGGGGCTATAAGGGGGATCTGAGGCTGACGTTCAATGACAGAGCTCTGATGGTGCTGCTGTTGTTGCTGGGCAACGTACGCTTGTTGTTGTTGCTCCAGTAAGATAGCTTGTTTTTGTTGATGCTGCTGTTGTTGTTGTTGTTTTTGTTGTTGTATCAGCACCACTTGCTGTTGTTCTGTCAGTTGCTGCTGGGTTAGGCTAGTGTGACTAGGTGGAAACGAAGCAGCGTTTTGTTGTTGTTGTTGTTGCAACGTACATACATCAATCTGTTGCTGTTGAATCAACGCTTGCAGCTGGTCACATTGTTGCTGAATCAAAGCGGTCTCTTGTTTCTCGCTTTGTTGTAATTGAATTATGGCAGTTTGCTGGTGGTGCCGCGGTTGCCCAGTCTCTTGCTGTTGTTGAATCTGTTGCTGCTGTTGTAGCAAAGCCTGTTGGTGCATTCTCTCCGCTTGTTGTTGCAGTAGCAATGCCTGCTGTTGCCGTTGTTGTTCAATCTGTTGTTGTAACAGAGCTTGCTGCTGTTGTTGCTCCAATTGCTGCTTCTGTAAAATCACTTGTTGCTGTTGAAGCTGTTGCTGTTGCAGCATGGCTTGCTGTTGTTCCAACTGTTGCTGAAGCACAGCTTGCTGGTGCTGTGGGTTGACTGGATGACTGACGACCGCCTGTTGTTGTAGTTGGGTCGGTTGTTTCAGCACAGCTTGCTGTTGTTGTTGCAGCTGCTGTAAATCCATTTGCGGTTGTTGTATCTGGCTCACTTGGTGAGCCTCCAGTTGTTGTTGTTGTTGCTGTTGTTGCTGTAGGAGCGCTTGCTGTTGCTCTAGCTGGTGCTGTTGTAGTTGCGCCTGTTGTTGCTGTTGCTTTAAGGCTTGCTGTTGCTGCTGCTCTTGTTGCTGCTGCTGTAACATCGCTTGCTGCTGCTGTTGCTCAAATATCTGCTGTTGTAACAGCGCTTGCTGCTGCTCCAGTTGGTGTTGTTGTAGTTGCGCCTGTTGTTGCTGTTGTAGCAAAGCCTGTTGCTGCTGTTGCTCAAGCTGCTGTTGTATGTACACTTGCTGTTGTTGTTCTAGTAACATTGCTTGTTGTTGTTGCTGATGTTCTATCTGGTGTTGTTGGTGTAGTAACAATGTTTGCTGCTGTTGCTGCTGCTGCAGTTGTTGCTGCTGTTGTACGTCAATTTGCGGTGGTTGCGCATAGGCTTGGCTTTGATCCACTTGCTGTTGCTGCAATGACAACACCTGTTGTTGTTGTTGCTGCTGCTGCTGTTGTTCCATTGATTGTTGTTGTTGTTGTTGTTGTTGTTGTTGTTGTAGTAATGCCTGCTGCTGCTGTTGTTGGTCCATTGATTGTTGTTGTTGTTGTGAGGCCTGCTGCTGAACCAAAGCTTGCTGCACATACACTTGCTGCACTTGCTGCTGCGGCTCAGTAGTTTGCTGCTGTTGCTGCTGCTGCTGTTGTTGTTGTTGTTGTTCCATCTGTCGCTGTATCAGTACTGCCTGGTTCTGGGGAATTACATTGGCCTGTTGTTGTTGTTGTTGTTGATGCTGCTGCTGAAGCGAGGCAGCTTGTTGAGCCTCCATTTGCTGCTGCTCCTGTGGCTCCATCAGTATCTGTTGTTGTTGTTGTTGTTGATGCTGCTGCTGAAGCGAGGCAGCTTGTTGAGCCTCCATTTGCTGCTGCTGCTGTGGCTCCATCAGTTTCTGTTGTTGTTGTTGTTGCTGAACAATGGTCTGCTGCTGGGGGATCATGTCAGGCAGTGCTTGCTGGGTTAAAGGCTGGGGTGTCATCTGGATGATGTTGGGAGTGACGTTGGCCTGGGTCTGTTGTGGGAGAGGGACCATGGCCCCCACTCGTCCTGTTGGGTCCCCCGCTAACATGGGAGCTGTGAGTATTTTGAGCTGGGCTTGGGGGGAGACTGGGGGTGCGTAGGACTGGGAAGGGGCCATTTGTGCAATCTGTGACCCATCTGAGTGGTATGACTGAGATGGTTGGAGGATGGTAGTCGCAGGGTAACAGAGGGATGGTCAGGTGGGCAGAGGGAGTTATGGTAAGAGGGGAGAGGGGGGATTGAGGTGGAGAGAGAAGGTAAGAGTAAGTATTAATCATATGATTAAATCAAAGAATTATAAACAGTTTTAGAAAACATGAAAGCATAATTATGATCGTTAGAATTGTCATTATTGTTAAAGAACATCTGATCAAATAGTAAGGTGATGATTAAGAGTTATTTGGGGAAATCTATTCAGAACATATCAAGGTTAAAACAGTTTTGAAGGTAACTGTAGTGTTTTTGAGAGACCAGAGTCGATAGAGATGCAGATCCACTCACCTGAGAATACTGCTGTGGTACACCTGGTGAGACCCGCGTTGGCATGGCAACAGGCTGAACATAAGTCTGCTGACCATCAGGAGCCCCACTACCACTTTGGACAATGGACATGCCGGAAATCCCACCACTCTGACCAATAGGCACATTCGGAACTCCTCCACCCTGACCAATCGGGAAAATGTTGGGGTGGGCCAAAATGGCCTAAAAATAAATAATAGACAATATAATGTAACATGATTACAGGGTTGCTGAGTGAAGATAAGATATCAATCTCTTTGTAAACTGGATTTTCCAAAACAGGAACAACCATAACATTGTGTATGTTCCAAATATCACCCTATTCCCTACATGGTGCACTACTTTTGGCCCTGGTCAAAACTAGTTCACTACATAGGGAATAGGGTGTCATTTGAGATGCAGCCATAGACTTGCCGAGGCAGCAGCAGGGAGGTTGGGTTGAGAGAGCACGTAGGACTCCCCTTGCTGAGGGTACGCCTGGATCTGGCCACTGGCATAGGACTGACAGCTGGCTGAGCCAATGCTCTCCCCTCCTGAAGTAAACACAACGGGAGGTATAAAACAATACATTTTGGGGATATTGAAATTATTTCATTCACATTTTTTATACTGGTATCATTCTGTCCACAATCCAAAAATATGTGTATCTGTTTCATGTTCAATATACAGTCCCAGTCAAAAGTTTGGACACACCTACTCGTTCAAGGGTTTTTCTTTCTTTTTACTATTTTCTACATTGTAGAACAATAGTGAAGACATCAAAACTATGAAATAGCACATATGGAATCATGTAGTTACCAAAAAAGTATTTTATATTTGAGATTCTTCAAATAGCCACCCTTTGCCTTGATGACAGCTTTGCACACTCTTGGCATTCTCTCAACCAGCTTCATGAGGTAGTCACCTGGAATGCATTTCAATTAACAGGTGTGCCTTCTTAAAAGTTAATTTGTGGAATTTCATTCCTTCTTAATGCGTTTGAGCCAATTAGTTGTGTTGTGACGAGGTGGGGGGTATACAGAAGATAGCCCTATTTGGTAAAATACCAAGTCCATATTATGGCAAGAACAGCTCAAATAATCAAAGAGAAACGACAGTCCATCATTACTTTAAGACATGAAGGTCAGTGAATCCGGAAAAGTTAAAGAACTTTGAAAGTTTCTTCAAGTGTAGTCGCAAAAACCATCAAGCGCTTTGATGAAACTGGCTCTCATGAGGACCGCCACAGGAATGGAAGACCCAGAGTTACCTCTGCAGCAGAGGATAAGTTCATTAGAGTTACCAGCCTCCGAAATTACAGCCCAAATGAATGCTTCACAGAGTTCAAGTCACAGACACATCTCAACATCAACAATTCTGTGTGAATCTGGCCTTCATGGTCGAATTGCTGCAAAGAAACCACTACTAAAGGACAACAATTAGAAGAAGAGACCTGCTTGGTCCAAGAAACACGAGCAATGGACATTAGACCGGTGGAAATGTGTCCTTTGGTCTGTAGTCCAAATTTGAGATTTTTGGTTCAAACCGCCGTGTCTTTGTGAGACGCGGTGTGGGTGAACGGATGATCTACGCATTTGTAGTTCCCACCATAAATTATGGAGGAGGTGTTATGGAGTGGGGGTGCTTTGCTGGTGACACTGTCTGTGATTTAACCAGCATCGCTACCACAGCATTCTGCAGCGATACGCCATCTCATCTGGTTTGGGCTTAGTGGGACTATCATTTGTTTTCAACAGGACAATGACCCAACACACCTCCAGGCTGTGTAAGGGCTATTTGACCAAGAAGAAGAGTGATGGAGTACTGCATCAGATGACCTGGCCTCCACAACCCCCTGACCTCAACCCAATTGAGATGGTTTGAAATGAGTAGGACTGCAGAGTGAAGGAAAAGCAGCCAACAAGTGCTCAGCATATGTGGGAACTCCTTCAAGACTGTTGGAAAAGCGTTCCAGGTGAATCTGGTTGACAGAATGCCAAGAGTGTGCCAAGCTGTCATCAAGGCAAAGGGTAGCTATTTGAAGAATCTCAAATATAAAATATATTTTGATTTGTTTAACACTTTTTTGGTTTCTACATGATTCCAAATGTGTTATTTCATAGTTTTGACGTCTTCACTATTATTCTACAATGTAGAAAATAGTAAAAATAAAGAAAAACCCTTGAATGAGTAGGTGTGTCCAAACTTTTGGCTGGTACTGTACTTTGCATGATGTTGTTACGGAGGTAGGTACTGTATATACACTAATGCCGCGTTCAAAACAACTGGGAACTCTGAAAGATATGAGGTCAAATCATGACGTCAGTGATTTTCAGGTCGGAAAGTCGGAGCTCTAGAAAGAGGCCCGAGTTCCCAAGTTGGAATTCCGAGTTGGATGACCGTTCAAATCGATTTTCCCAGTCGGAGCTCGTATTTTTTTTGCTGGCAATATTAGGAACGTGTTCTTAATGTTTCGTACACTCAGTGTATATGTATTGTACAGTAAGAACCTATCTGACAAGCCTCTGATAGAGTCATACAGTACCTGTGGGCAGGCTCAGAGGATTCCCACTGTGGATCTGCTGCTGTTGTCTCACATGCTGATCTACCTCTGGTATCTCCTCAGCCTCCCCCTGCCCCCTGCCTCCCCCTGTCAGCCCAGCCACCCCAGGCCCCAGGGAGGAGGTGCAGGAGGAGTAAGAGCAGGTGTAGGAGGAGGTGAGGGTGGAGTCCCGCCTCTCATTAAAGCCTTGCTGCTGTTGGAGCAGCTGCTGCTGGCGTCTCTCACGGGACTTCTTGATGAGCGTGACACGGTCGCGGATGGATTTTCCCACCACTTTAGCATCGCTCTCATGGAAGAAGCCCGACTTCACCTGGCGAGGAGGGGAGAGAGAGAGAGAGCGAGAGAGAGAGAGAGAGAGAGAGAGAGAGAGAGAGAGAGAGAGAGAGAGAGAGAGAGAGAGAGAGAGAGAGAGAGAGAAAGAGAGAGAGAGAGAGAGAGAGAGCATGGCAAGGGAATGTAGGTTAGAGGTAGCGACAAGCAAGGAAAGCTTGATTAATGAGCTGTGGACTTTGCAATACATCAAAGCAACTCCAGACCCCACCTTCCCTGTAGTTCTCTGAGAGGGCCTAGTTATTCCTGATCCCACCTGTGCTGCTCTCTCTCATATAATTTTCACACTAATGAGCTGAGCTGACCTTTACCTTTACCTGTACTGCGCTGGCCTGGGGCCATGCTAGAAAGGACAATCTAAAAAGAACATAACCCGCAGAGTACATTTCGGGTCAGTACCATAGTGTGAAAAGGGTATCAATGTCTCACCATCTCCAGAGCCACCTCTTCTGCGCTGTCATTCTCCAGGTCATAACTGAACTCAATGGCCTCGTTGTCTTTGTGTTTGCCCTTCAGCTTCTTGGGATCTTCCACCCAGATCCTGAGGGCCAGACACTCCTGATACCCTGTGTCCTCCTCCGCCAGCTCCACGCGCACCCCCGTCTCTTCCCCGAAGAAGGCGTGGGTCAACAGGTCCCGGATGGACAGCCTGCAGAGAGAGAGAACACATCAAGCAAGGAACAAATTCCCACTTCTTTCCTTTTATTGGATAAGACAGTGAAGAAGAGATGACAGGAACGGTAGGAGAAGGGCGAGTCAGAAGGGCAGTGGGCTGGAGTTGAACCCGTGCCCACTCTGGTATGTGTGCCGGGATCAGCGGCACTAACCACTACACAGTCCACCGAATGAAGTTTTTTTTTAGAAGCACTCGTCCTTATTATGAGAGGGAGAAAGAGAGACAGAGAGAGATAGAGAAACAGAGAGAGACAGAGAGAGAGAGAGAGAGAGGGGGGGGGGGGGTAAAACTGCTTGCCTCTGACTCTTGTCCTGGCGGATGCAGCACTCGATGATCTCTTTAATCTCTGGGTCGTTAACTTTATCGAAGCTGGCTGGTTTTATACCCTGTATACAGAGAGAGTAGAGAGAGAGGGGGGGGGGGGAGATGGAGGGAGGTGGGGGGGGGGCAGGTGAGGTGATAGAACAGACAATACTTTAGATGATGGGACTACTCTGTCCTACACGGACAGTAATATACCTAGATGATGGGACTACTCTGTCCTACATGGACAGTAATATACCTAGATGATGGGACTACTCTGTCCTACACAGACAGTAATATACCTTAGATGGGACTACTCCGTCCTACACGGACAGTAATATACCTTAGATGATGGGACTACTCTGTCCTACACGGACAGTAATATACCTTAGATGATGGGACTACTCTGTCCTACATGGACAGTAATATACCTAGATGATGGGACTACTCTGTCCTACATGGACAGTAATATACCTAGATGATGGGACTACTCTGTCCTACGTGGACAGTAATGTACCTTAGATGATGGGACTACTCTGTCCTACACAGACAGTAATATACCTTAGATGGGACTACTCTGTCCTACACGGACAGTAATATACCTTAGATGATGGGACTACTCTGTCCTACATGGACAGTAATATACCTAGATGATGGGACTACTCTGTCCTACATGGACAGTAATATACCTAGATGATGGGACTACTCTGTCCTACATGGACAGTAATATACCTTAGATGATGAGACTACTCTGTCCTACATGGACAGTAATTGTCACGATCGTCATGGAGAGACCAAGGCGCAGCGTTGCGGGTGAACATATTATATTTATTAAATGATCACACGATCAAAACAACAAACGAAAAACGTGACGTCTATGGTTAAACACACACCAACACGAACAAGAAACCACAAACACAACGTGAAAGACAGACAGTTAAATATGGCTCCCAATCAGAGACACCCAGCTGACACTCGTTGCCTCTGATTGGGAGTCACTCAGACCAACATAGAAAAATCAAACATAGAATTACACACCCTGGCTCAACATAACATTGTCCCCAGAGCCAGGGCGTGACAGTACCCCCCCCTAAAGGCGCGGACTCCGACCGCGCCAACTAAATCCCACAGGGGAGGGACCGGGTGGGCACTCCGCCTAGGCGGCGGATCCGGCTCCGGACATGACCCAGGCACGGGTTGTGCTGGACTGACGACGCGCACCCCTGGCTTGGTGCGTGGAGGAGGAACGGGCCTTACCAGGCTGACGACGCACACCGTAGGCTTGGTGCGTGGAGCAGGGACAGGCCGGACTGGGCTGACGAAGCACACCACTGACTTGGTGCGGGGAGCAGGAACGGGCCGAGCTGGGCTGACGAAGCGCACCACTGCCTTGGTGCGGGGAGCAGGAATGGGCCGGTCCGGGCTGACGACGCGCACCACTGACTTGGTGCGGGGAGCAGGAATGGGCCGGACCGGGCTGACGACGCGCACCACTGACTTGGTGCGGGGAGCAGGAATGGGCCGGACCGGGCTGACGACGCGCACCACTGACTTGGTGCGGGGAGCAGGAATGGGCCAGACCGGGCTGACGACGCGCACCACTGACTTGGTGCGGGGAGCAGGAATGGGCCGGACCGGGCTGACGACGCGCACCACTGACTTGGTGCGGGGAGCAGGAATGGGCCGGACCGGGCTGACGACGCGCACCACTGACTTGGGGCGGGGAGCAGGAATGGGCCGCGCCGGGCTGACGAAACGCACCACTGACTTGGTGGGAGTGGCAGGAACAGGCCGGACCGTACTGGGAACACACACCACTGGCCCTACTTGAGGATCAGGAACAGGCCGGACCGGACTGGCAACACACGCCAGTACCTCTCGCCGTGCCTCTACAACCTCCTTCCCCCTGGTGACCAGTGACTCCCGTAACCTGGCGGCCTCCTCTGCCAACCAGCTGGACCGCTCTATCGCGGCCTCCTGCTGCCCCGACGTCGTGAGCCCCCCCCTAAAAATTTTCTGGGGGTCTCTCCTCCCCGTGGGCCAGGCCTCCATCGTTCTCGCCCAACTCTCGCTCCTCTGTCTCCAACTCTCGCCATTCAGCTCCTCAATGGGCTTGACCCAGTCGAAGCTCCTCCTCAACTGGTCCCAAGTCCACCCTCTCTGCTCCTCACTAGGCTTGACCCAGTCGAGGCTGCCACGGAGATCTGCCAGCGATGGCTCCTGGACACGCTGCTTGGTCTGGTTTAGGTGGTTTCTTCTGTCACGATCGTCATGGAGAGACCAAGGCGCAGCGTTGCGGGTGAACATATTATATTTATTAAATGATCACACGATCAAAACAACAAACGAAAAACGTGACGTCTATGGTTAAACACACACCAACACGAACAAGAAACCACAAACACAACGTGAAAGACAGACAGTTAAATATGGCTCCCAATCAGAGACACCCAGCTGACACTCGTTGCCTCTGATTGGGAGTCAAAATCAAACATAGAATTACACACCCTGGCTCAACATAACATTGTCCCCAGAGCCAGGGCGTGACAGTAATATACCTTAGATGATGAGACTACTCTGTCCTACATGGACAGTAATATACTTTAGATGGGACTACTGTGCTTCAGAATTTTAATCATGAAGCATAATGAAGAAACCCTGACTACAGTTAATGTACTGTCAAAGATATACACTACATGACCAAAAGTATGGGGACACCTGCTCGTTGAACGTCTCATTCCAAAATCATGGGCATTAATATGGAGTTGGTCCCCCCTTTGCTGCTATAACAGCCTCCACTCTTCTGGGAAGGCTTTCCACTAGATGTTGAAACATTTCTGCAGGGACTTGCTTCCATTCAGCCACAAGAGCATTAGTGAGGTCGGGCACTGATGTTGGGCGATTAGGCCTGGCTTGCAGTCGGTGTTCCAGTTCATCCCAAAGGTGTTCGATGGGGTTGAGGTCAGGGCTCTGTGCAGGCCAGTCAAGTTCTTCCACACCAATCTCAACAAACCATTTCTGTATGGACCTCGCTTTGTGCAAGGGGGCATTGTCATGCTGAAGCTGGATAGGGCCTTCCCCAAACTGTTGCCACAAAGTTGGAAGCACAGAATTGTCTAGAATGTCATTGTATGCTGTAGCGTTAAGATTTCCCTTCACTGGAACTAAAGGGCCTAGCCCAAACCATGAAAACAGCCCCAGAACATTATTCCTCCTCCACCAAACGTAACAGTTGGCACTATGCATTGGGGCAGGTAGCGTTCTCCTGGCATCCACCAAACCCAGATTTGTCCGTCGGACTACCAGATGGTGAAGCGTGATTCATCACTCCAGAGAACGCGTTTCCACTGCTCCAAAGTCCAATGGCGGCGAGCTTTACACCACTCCAACCGACGCTTGGCCATGGAATCCCATTTCATGAAGCTCCCAACGAACCGTTATTGTGTTGACGTTGCTTCCAGAGGCAGTTTGGAATTCGGCAGTGAATGTTGCAACCGAGAACAGATTATTTTTACGCGCTACACGCTTCAGCACTCGGTGGTCCCATTCTGTGAGCTTGTGTGGCCTACATCTTCGCGGCTTAGCCGTTGTTGCTCTTAGATGTTTCCACTTCACAATAACAGCACTTACAGTTGACCGGGGCAGCTCTAGCAGGGCAGAAATCTTACGAACTGACTTGTTGGAAAGGTGGCATCTTATGATGGTGCCACGTTGAAAGTCACTGAGCTCTTCAGTAAGGCCATTCTATTGCCAATGTTTGTCTATGGACATTGCATGGCTGTGTGCTCAATTTTATACACCTGTCAGCAATGGGTGTGGCTGAAATAGCCGAATCCACTAATTTGTATGTATAGTGTATAATCATTTACTGAATATGAGGGAGATTGGAGAGAAAATCAAGCTGAAGTAGGGAAAGACTAGGCCAACCAGGAAGACTGCAGTCCCAGGAACCCAGACTTACGCTGGTGACTTTACGGTAGATCTGCGCAGCATTCTGGCACTCTGAGTAGGGGTATTCTGAGGTGGCCATCTCCAACATGCACATCCCAAAGGCATAGACGTCCACTGACTCGTCATAATGCTCCTCGTACATCTCCGGAGCCATGAACTCAGGAGTACCTGGAAGACAGGACAGCAGAGCCAACTGAAAAGGTTAATAACCTGATGAATAATAATTTGTTGGCTACTTATATTTGTTGGGTACTTATATTTGTCAAATTTCACACATGTACATGTGTAATATACATGTGTGAATTGTAAATGAGTTTTTTGCATGCTAGCAGATACCCATAGACTTCCAGTCATTACGCTAATGCTAGTTAGCATTGGCTCGTGAAACTACCTCTAACTTCCTTCATACTGGACACAGAGACATAAAAATGGTAACCACTAGTTCATCTGACTCCGGTGAAGTTGATAAAGGGCCTCATTGCCAAAATCCCTTTAACATTCCCTTTGAGTGGCAGTTAGTGCACTAGAGCTTGGCCTAAGGGCAAGAATAATCACAGCAGAGACTGTACACAGCTGATACTGCCTTTTTGGAGAGTTGGGGCAGCTTATAAAATATTCATAATGTTGCAGAGTGACCACAGATTCTAAAATGCATTTGCACAACAGAGAGGTCCATTAGCGCTAGTTCAAGATTAATTGCCATTTGTAATAAATACATCAGAAATCTTACTTACAAGAGCTCTGACATACCTATGACCAATTCTAAATCTCAATACCGTTCCCACAACATTTTAGTCATTTAGCAGACGCTCTTATCCAGAGCGACTTACAGGAGCAATTAAGTTAAGTGCCTTGCTCAAGGGCACATCGACAGATTTTTCACCTAGTCGGCTCAGGGATTAGAACCAGCAACCTTTCGGTTACTGGCACAACGCTCTTAACCACTAAGCTACCTGCCGCCCCAACATAACATAAGACAACAATTGATAAATGCCTCCTGAAACTGATGTTCGTTGGTTACCTATGACACTCTTAGCAAAGGAGGTCCTCATGAGAGTGGCCAGTCCCAGGTCTCCAATCTTGACGGAGCCGGTGGGGCCGGTGATGAAGATGTTGTCACACTTCAGGTCCCTGTGAATGATGGGAGGGGTCCGGGTGTGGAGGAACTGGAGGCCCTTCAGGATCTGACGACACCAGCTCCTCAGGACCTTAGGCTTCATCACCTTGAAGCGCTTCAGATACCTGCAGACAGGACAGGAGAGGACAGGACAGGAGAGGACAGGACAGGACAGGAGAGGACAGGACAGGAGAGGACAGGAGACGGGAAGACAGGAAAGGACAGGACGGTTATAACTAAGGTCAACAGTATAATGATTATGGTTTATATAGACAGAGGAACAAGTGTATGACCACATTTGTGAGACATTTCAAGAAGCTAGGCGTATGTCGCACGTCACTACTTCACAGGAGAGGCATTTGAAAGATTATTATATTTTTTTTTAGCAAAATACGTTTTTATTTGGCAGAAATGCCCTCTGGAACATGTGAACTTTCATGTGCCTTAATAACAAGCTTGTACGCCATCTGTAAATACAAATACAATTGTTAAATTGCAAACCTAGTTGGTTAAGATAATGGATGGGCTGGACATGCCGAGAGATGAGTTTGGATTGGTCTGCCATGTAGCTAGCTTCTGTCTATAACATGAGCTGCTCAGTATGTGTAGATAATCCTTGCTACCACGTTTAAAAAAAATATATAATGTTAGCCATGGAGAACTGCAAGTGTTGCTACTGCTTTCAAGAACATTGCTGCCCTGAATTTTGCAGGCACTATCAACAAAGATCAGTGGGAAAAAGTTGTGACTACTTTCGGCACACGGTCAGTGTGAACCGGAGTGACTTGACACAACGGGCCAAACAAGCTGTAGCTAGCTACAAACAAAACAGAAAAGACATGCTGCCGTGAAGCATTCATCCATGTATACGGGTAAGAGTCTAGCTACATTTTCAGATATTATACGTTTCTAATTTTGTCAGAAAGTCGTTTTCATTGCACGTTAAAGCGTACTGTTAGCTAGCGAGCTAGCTAATGTTACGTGTATGATCTGTGTAGTAATATTATTAGTATCTCAGAAAGCCACTTGCACTGCTAGTTATAGCCTAATGTTAGCTAGCTAGCTAACACTGAACCTAGTTGGTTAGCTTTAGCTACCTGCAGATTCATACTACAGCATTTCATGAATGGTGGTGTAGTGTCTAAACAATTTATGACTTTGCTGACGTTTGCAAATGGTGTCTTAGAGGATGTTGACTCAGCTTGAGGAAGCATCTGGAGGGCATTTCTATAGGGGCACCATTTCTATGGGGGGTGGATAGAGCTTTCTTTCACATGACCCATCAATTTAGACAAGTGTGTCTGGGTAAGTGTCATTACCCAGACATTAAATTTATATTTTTGATATCGCTACTATGCAAATATGCAAGTAACCATTTCATTGTACCGTTTACACCTTCTGTATTCTGTCCATGTTACAAATCAACTTTGATTTTATTTGATATAGTGTGTGTTTACCAGAGACGGTAATGTGAAGAACAACATGACCTGCACCAAAGTCAGATTAGGATATAGGCCAAAGACTAGATAAATTGTATTTTTACCTGGAGTTTTTCCTTATTGTAGGCTACTACTTTCACCACTTTTAGTCTTGATATCTTTGGTTCTTTACTACACTACCTTACTCACTCTGTTTAGCACATGGCCTCACATGTGAATCCTTAAAGAGATGGGTGGGGCTAAGGCTTAAGAGGGTGTGAGCGATGCTGAATAGGTGTAGACAAAGAAGAGCTCTCCAGTAGGTGTACCAAAACATTCAAGGGCCATTTCCTCAAAAGTGGGGTTACAAGTTTATCAACTTTCAAAGCAGAATTACTTTCCCATTGTTCCTCAACTGCAGTGTATGATATACCATTTTGGAGCTCTGAGTCTCTACTTTTATCCAATGTGAAAAAAACTGAATTTCAAATTTTGCTACATAAGACCGAATCGAGGCGGTCGGTCACACTTGGTTATAAGTGATTTGTGATGCTTCTATATAGGGCTTATGGAGGCTTCATTAAACTTTATGAGATATACTTTGTTTAAAGTGAGACCCTATTTCTACAGGGTGAATATCAACATCCGCATGAATGCACCCTGATTAGCCAACTCACTGGTAACAATTTACAAGAAGTTAGAGTGAGCTGTCATCTCTTTGGTGTAACCCTATTTGGCGCTGAGCAGGGGTGTGTGTGTGTGTGTCGGTCTGTGTGTGTTTGTCTTCGACCCACGTTTTGAGTGTCCCCGAGGTCATGAGTTCGGTGACCAGGACGATGCACTTCTTCCCTCGCAGCACTGACTCCCAGGAGTCATAGAAACGGACGATGTTAGGATGCTGGAGCCCCTTCAGCATCTCTGCCTCCTCCTTAAAACGCTGCTGCTCCGCCTTGGTCAGCTTACGGTCCTGTAGACATACAGGAATACACACACACAGGTTAGACATCAGTGAGAGCGCTCGGTTGTGAGATCAAGTTAGAAAGATTGATACCTGCACACTGTTGAATGCTCCAGCAGGCCTATGTTTCGACCCCAAATGTCTTCATCAGTAAGAACATACCCACAGCCTAGACAACATTCAGTGCTACACTTCTAATGTTGTACAAAAAAACGATGGATTTAAAGTGCTTAGGTCTGTTTTCAAGTGGCATAGGTTCACACTTTTAGACATTCCTCCATCACCATGCACTGAACCTTAAACCTATGACAAGAAGCATGCTTTCAGGAGACGATGCATATTCTAAACCTGAGATTATGGGGAGCATGCTTTTAGGAAACAGTACTGTCAACAACAGAGTCAGTACTGGAGCACTATACCAATCAGGAAACAGTACTGTCAACAACAGAGTCAGTACTGGAGCACTATACCAATCAGGAAACAGTACTGTCAACAACAGAGTCAGTACTGGAGCACTATACCAATCAGGAAACAGTACTGTCAACAACAGAGTCAGTACTGGAGCACTATACCAATCAGGAAACAGTACTGTCAACAACAGAGTCAGTACTGGAGCACTATACCAATCAGGAAACAGTACTGTCAACAACAGAGTCAGTACTGGAGCACTATACCAATCAGGAAACAATACTGTCAACAACAGAGTCAGTACTGGAGCACTATACCAATCAGGAAACAGTACTGTCAACAACAGAGTCAGTACTGGAGCACTATACCAATCAGTCAGCCCTCTTTACACTACCAAGCAACCATGTTTATTTTAATTACACACCTACGTCCACTAGATGGCGGTAGCGAAATGTAGTTTCATCTGCATCAGTTGAGAGCCAACACCCCACCTCAGCCCATACAACTCATTCAGCTGCATCTGCCACGCTGCTATTGGGCCGAGTATGGCGGATGCTGCAGAAATTCATTCACTGGCAGTAAATCATTGGGACACACACACACACACACACACACAGATGCACACATACATACAGAAGTATACATACACACACATGCATGCGTGCACACACGCACGCAGACAGCCACACTCACGGTGGAAACACACACACACACACACACACACACACACACACACACACACACACACACACACACACACACACACACACACACACACACACATACACAGCACACACACACACACACACACATACATACACAGCACACACACACACACACACACACACACACACACACACACACACACACACACACACACACACACACACACACACATACACAGCACACACACAGCAGACTACTGACTGGGTCCTCTGTTGGCTATTGGTAAATAAGCACTTTGGATATATTCAGCTACTTGATGAGAAATGGTGATGCAGGTATGCAGTTAGAAAACATACAGCACATTAAATATGCTATGCAATACATATTCATTTCATGAATTTGAGAGCAACCCAGGAGAAATCAAAGACTCAAACACTTCTCTAAGTCAAAACCATTCCACATGTTTTTATACTATTAGGAACTGCTGAATGATTTTACATTCATGTATGATAGGATGACAGGACACTTTTATGTATGATATCAATAACTTAATGTTGAAGCATATGGGCCCATTAGCCATTTCACAAATGGCAGCTGTCCTAACAATTGTCATCGTTAAAAGAACAAATAAAGCATTGTGTTTTTTTTGTGGTCATTGACCTCAGTTGACCTTGTCACTTGTGGTCTCTTAGGCATCATTCAATGTCACCCTTTAGTTTGAATAGGACAACAACCAAAGGTCATGACCTGAGGCGGTGAAACCGCAGACGTGACAATTGCAACAAGCGGTGACAAGGCATGATGGCCATATTGCAAAACAAAGAAAGAAACTACAAAAAAAATCCCTTAGCTAGTCAAGTTCATGATAACAACTACTATCCCTTAGCTAGCACCTGTCAAGTTCATGATAACAACTACTATCCCTTAGCTAGCACCTGTCAAGTTTACGATAACAACTACCATCCCCTAGCTAGCACCTGTCAAGTTCATGATAACAACTACCATCCCCTAGCTAGCACCTGTCAAGTTCATGATAACAACTACTATCCTCTAGCTAGCACCTGTCAAGTTCATGATAACAACTACCATCCCCTAGCTAGCACCTGTCAGGTTCATGATAACAACTACCATCCCCTAGCTAGCACCTCTCAGGTTCATGATAACAACTACCATCCCATAGCTAGCACCTGTCAGGTTCATGATAACAACTACCATTCCCTAGCTAGCAACTGTCAAGTTCATGATAACAACTACCATCCCCTAGCTAGCACCTCTCAGGTTCATGATAACAACTACCATCCTCTAGCTAGCACCTGTCAGGTTCATGAAAACAAACAAAGACATTCTGATGTTTTTAGCCAAACCGACTTACAGTCATGCGTGCATACATTTGTACATATGGGTGGTCCAAGGAATCGAACCTGTTATCCTGCCGTTGTAAGCACCATGCTCTACCAACTGAGCTACAGAGGACCACCATTTCATTGTTAATACAGTGCATTTTCTCCCCTCATCAATATATACACAATACCCAATAATGACAAAGTGAAAACAGGTTTTTAGACATTTTGGTTAAAAAAATAAAAAAACAGAAATACCTTATTTACATAAGAATTCAGACCCTTTGCTATGAGACTCGAAATTGAGCGCAGGTGCATCCTGTTTCCATTGATCATCCTTCAGATGTTTCTAAAACTTGATTGGAGTCCACCTATGGTAAATTCAATTGATTGGACATGATTTGGAAAGGCACACACCTGTCTATATAAGGTCCCACAGATGACAGAGCATGTCAGAGCAAAAACCAAGCCATGAAGTCGAAGGAATTGTCTGTAGAGCTCCGAGACAAGATTGTGTCCATGCACAGATCTGGGGAAGGGTACCAAAAAAATTCTGCAGCATTGAAGGTCCCCAAGAACACAGTGGCCTCCAGCATTCTTAAACGGAAGAAGTTTGGAACCACCAAGACTCTTCCTAGAGCTCACCCGCTGTACAAAACTGAGCAATCGGGGGAGAAGGGCCTTGGTCAGGGAGGTGACCAAGAACCCGATGGTCACTCTGACAGAGCTTCAGAGTTCCTCTGTGGAGATGGGAGAACCTTCCAGAAGGACAACCATCTCTGCAGCACTCCACCAATCAGGCCTTTATGGTAGAGTGGCCAGACTGAAGCCACTCCTCAGTAAAAGGCACATGACAGCCCGCTTGGAGTTTGCCAAAAGGCACCTAAAGGACTCTCAGACCATGAGAAACAAGATTCTCTGGTCTGATGAAACAAGATTAAACTCTTTGGCCTGAATGCCAAGTGTCACATCTGGAGGAAACCTGGCACCATCCCTACGGTGAAGAATGGTGGTGGCAGCATCATGCTGTGGGGATGTTTTTCAGCAGCAGGGACTGGGAGACAAGTCAGGATTGAGGGAAAGATGAACGGAGCAAAGTACAGAGAGATCCTTGATGAAAACCTGCTCCAGAGGGCTCAGGACCTCAGACTGGGGCGAAGGTTAATCTTCCAACAGGACAACGACCCTAAGCACACAGCCAAGACAACGCAGGAGTGGCTTCGGTACAAGTCTCTGAATATCCTTGAGTGGCCCAGCCAGAGCCCGGACTTGAACCCAATCGAACATCTCTGGAGAGACCTGAAAATAGCTGTGCAGTGTCGCTCCCCATCCTACATGACAGAGCTTGAGAGGATTTGCAGAGAAGAATGGGAGAAACTCCCCAAATACAGGTGTGCCAAACTTGTAGCGTCATACCCAATAAGATTTGAGGCTATAATCACTGCCAAAGGTGCTTCAACAAAGTACAGAGTAAAGGGTCTGAATACTTATGTAAATATGATATTTCAGTTTTTTATTTTTAATACATTTGCAAACATTTCTAAAAACCTGTTTTTGGTTTGTCATTATGGGGTATTTTGTGTAGATTGATGAGGAAAACAAAACAATTTAATCCATTTTAGATTAAGGCTGTAATGTAACAAAATGTGGAAAAAGTCAAGGTCTGAATACTTTCCGAATGCACTGTAATCTAATTGTAATGAAGTTTACCTCGTTAACTCTCCCTCTCTCTCTCAGCATCAGCAATAAGACTGCTGCTTCATTGTCAAGGCTAAAAATAATATCCTCAACTTGGGACTGCCTCTCCGCTCCTCTCCTAGACTCTGTACTGCATCGCTGTCTGACTGGCTCTATGTGTGAGTGTCTTTCTATGTCTGGGACTCTGGGTGTTAGTGGATGTGTCCTTAGGTCTGTCTAGGTCTCTCTACATTATCTCTGCATCTAACTCCCTTACAATGTGTTTGTGATTGTGTGTGTGTGTCGTTTCCGTTGGTAACCGTCTGACTGCATCTGTCATAGTGTCACTGTGTATAATCAGAGCACCACCCTGTGTCACTGCTTGTCATCTGTGTCTGTCTGGCCGTCTGTCTACCTCCACATTCTCTCTCCACTGAACCAGCAGCACTCCCCGTAGAGATATTCATTCTGGGCTCTCCCCTAGTGCATCTATTGTGTTTACCAGAGTCAGGTCAGACAATCTGGGGTCAGCAAAGGTCACTGGGGTCAATTATCATAATTATCACGGCAGCCCCAACACGCGCGCGCACACACACAAACATCTGCTCTCTACAATATGAAAGGCGGTAGAATAGATGCTCTGGGGCTGCATGAATAAGACATAATCCTCCATTCATTCTAAAGACTGCTTAACATACCAGCATTTAATACTATTACTGCTGACAATGGAGAGGGAATCTCATTGATAAATATGTATTCTCAGAACCCAGAATCAAATCTCACAGTACGCTGGCCAGCTATTCGATGCACACGAAATGGATACTATATGTGGTTTACAAAAACTACTAAGCTATGAAAATATTGACACTTTTCTCCAGCAAAGCAAACAAACTGGCAGTACACGACGTGATAACGTACATGAAGGACAAACACATGGTTGAGAAAACAAAGAAGACAGTTGTAAGATCAAGCTGACCACAAGACAAATGGGGGCGAGGGAGCAAACAGAGTAACAAAGAGAGAGAAACAGAGGAAGAGAGGGAGCGCAAGAGAGGGGGGCCCGTACAGCTATGAAAAAGGCCTATTGTGTACAACCTAGCGGGTGTCTCTCTGCATTCCCTCTGAGTGAATATCCTAGTTACTAAGTTAAGTGGTGTGATACATATGTTGTGCGTCGCAAATGTACCCTATTCCTTATATAGTGCACTACTTTTAATCTGGGCCCATAGGGTTCTGATCAAAAGTAGTCCACTATATAGGGAATAGGGTGCCATTTGAAAACGCAATCATGCAATAATCTACACAACTCCTACACCTCCCACATAACATAAATAAACCATTATCTACTGTCTGTGGGCATGGCCATACAAAGTCCTTATGTGTTGATGTTGCTCAATGACTCCAATCCATTTGACGATTGTGTATGCATCCCAAATGGCACCCTATTCCCTTTAAAGTGCACTACTTTTGACCAGGACCTATAAAAGAATAGGGTGCCATTTAGGACGTGAACTGAATATAGTTGCACCACTTAGCTGGTTGTTGTAACAAGGGCTATTTTGGGCTCCTAAACCAAACAGCCCCCTAATGCTGATAATAACAATGTAGCTCTCAGAGAAAAACACATTACTGAACACGTAGGCCTTAAAGTCTACTAATAATGGCCTGTATGCTTAGTGTGGTAATCTGTTTGGTAATGTGTATTTTATCCCTGAGCTGCAGTGAACAATAAGATTGGCCAATTAGTTGTATTTAATGTCTGACATGGCTATTGTTCACAGTTGCACCTAATAAAAAAGCATTTGGTAGTGTGTTTAGTAAGGTGTTTGATCATGTGTTTTGGTAATGTAATGTGAATGGGTAATGTGCTGTTTGGCAATGTGTTGTCTGGTGGCAGGCTTGTAAATCAGGTTGTAAGTACTGTAGACTAACATTATGCTTGATAATGTGTTTTGGTAATGTAATATGTATGGGTAATGGGTTTGGTAACATGCGCAACACTGCGTCTCCAGCCCAGTCACAGTGACAGGCCTGTAATTCTGTCTTTAAACAGACTAAGACATTCTATGTGGCGGCTTCAGTTCCGGTTCCTGGCCCGTAACTCACAGGCCACAGTCACAAGCCACAGGCTTGTAAATAGACTCAGATATGAACCAGGTTGACCCCAACCACACCATGAGACTGTTTTGGACCAGACACCTGTTAAGCAGAAGGTCAGCCAGCCAGGTTCCGGGTCAGCAAGGCCTGTAAAACAGTCAGTCAGCCCGACAAACAGCCGGTAAGACATTCAGCCAACATAACAGACAGCCGGCAAGACAGTCAGCCAACATGACAGACAGCTGTGCCTAGTCAGTGGAGAAACAACCCTACTTCGTTTAGACTGTGAGGGGCCTCTCCATTTCTCCTCCACATTACCATCACTAAATAGATGACAGTTTTAGATACACCTCCTATTGATAGGTTTATCTTCTATAAACTAACATCTCAGGTGCGTCTATGCGGGAGTTAGAGGAGATTATTCACCTAACGTGAAAGGGGGAGGTATGGCCTCTAGGAAACCAGCTCCAGGTAACTGGTCATTCTCTGTGTGTGTGTGTGTGTGTGTACAGAGGAGTAGCTAGGGGTGTGAGTACATACTGTTAGCTAACTGAAGTGTGGCTGTCGTATTGAGAGAACAGCCTAGGCTATAAGCGTTTTAGTGGTTGAGAATGTGAGGCGACCGGGTGGCCCAGATGGGATCCCTGGCTACATCCTCACCGTGTGTGCTGACCAGCTGGCGGGCGTCTTCTCAGACATCTTCAACCTCTCCGTGTCCAAGGCTGTAGTCCCCACTTGCTTCAATGAGACCACCATCGTCCCAGTGCCCAAGTAAACCAAGGTGATATGCCCAAATGACTATAGTCCCATCGCACTCACCCAGACATCATGAAGTGCTTTGAGAGGCTGGTCATGGCCCACATCAATGCCAGCATTCCAGGCACAAGTGTTGTGTTCGAGACCACCTAAAGCGAGACCAATTTAAGACCGGAGCGAATCGAGTCCGAGTCAAGACCAAGATCGGAGGGGGGACGTGACCGAGTCAAGACCGGGAGGGGCACGAGAGGTCCGAGAACGAGTCAAGACCGAGACCAGAAAAATGTGATTCCAATTCAAATCATCACCATAAGAGTTCAAAATGTCCAGTATTTCTGTGTTCATATTTCAGAAGAACATATGGATTCTTTAGACATTCAGAATGGTGAAAAAAAGCATGCTGAGGGCAAATAGAGCCACTCTGCAAATGTTTACTAACCCAAACACAGTGGGGAACAATGAGGGCCTTCTACACTTTTAGAGAAAGGATTTATAAAATAATACAAATAATAATTTACCGTATTTTCCGCACTATAAGGCGCACTTAAAAGCCTTTAATTTTCTCAAAAAACGACAGTGCGCCTTATAATCCGGAGCGCCTTATATATGGATCAATTGGTTAATTGGTTGATCCATACTGGTTGTACACGGCGCTCAAGGCGCTCTGTCAAAATGTTTCAGTATGAAAAAACAATAAAAACAATTTAATAATAATGAAATGTTTCAGTACGACTGGTAAACTACAAAGCCGCACCGCTTGCAGCATTACGGCTACCGTAGTCAGTAAACACCGGTACTGTGCTTACTCACAGTCCCACACCACTTGTGTGTGTATAAAGACCCCAAAATTGTTTTCAGAACGCTTAATAAAGTTTGACTTTATCTGACTGTTTTGTTGACATTCCCTTTAGCACAGCTCCATCTAGTGGATGCATAACGCAACCCCAGTCAAACGTTTGACTGCAGTATCTTCTATTCTATGCGCCTTATAATCCGGTGCGCCCTATATATGAAAACAGTTCTAAAATAGGCCATTCATTGAAGGTGCGCCTTATAATCCGGTGCGCCTTATAGTGCGGAAAATACGGTATACTATTCTTTTCAATTATGTTCTGATTTGATCTCTTCAGTTTTTGTTAGAAAGGAAAAGAGAAAAGAGAAAAAAATAAAATCCAATCAGGATTTTTCTTTGGTGGTCTCTGGGAAGATACATCTAACTAGCTAAATCAGTCATTGGCTAGGCCATCAGAAGCTTGATAGAAGGCATCTGCCATTCAACTGTATTAGGGCAAACTTTTGGAGTGACAGTGGAATCAACCAATCACATTGACTTGTAATGGCCGACAGGTCGAGTTCAACAGGTCACGGTGCAATAGCGAGCAGTAGTTTTCCCACAGTCTAGCTAGCTAGCTTTTGCTGTAGGCTATTTTGCAGCAGCTGCAGCAGGTGTTATCGAAGAGGATGTTGTTGCTAATTTGTTAGCTTCTCCCTTTTCAAGAATCATCTGGTGAGTGGAACTGTGTTTTTTTATTGCAGCTCGCATGCCATTGTTAGCCATCACTTTGAAAATAACTTAAGCGTGTGAAACATTGTTGCATTTAAACTTTAGATCATCGGTTACTCTGTGTGCTAAATGTGAAATGTTTTTTGCAATGGGAAGTAATGGTAATAGTTGGGAAATGCTTAGCCTAATGGTTGTGTTTTTGTATTCTTATGATTGGGACCTACTGGCTTATTATGTAGAGTGAATGGACTGCTGTCTTTCCATCGGCCCTATGCAGTGGTGTAGTGGTGCCGGGAGAAGTGGGTCCTGTGTGAAGGAAAGGCGCCCTGTGTGAAAAATCCTATTTCAGATTTTCTCTCTCAAAATCAAACTTTTTAAAATAAAAAAAAACACAACAAATGTGATGTTCGAAGTCCACAACAACGCTTAAACCACATCAGGCGACCCTTTTTTAGGTATGGGAAAAATCGAAAAAAATATATATCTGGAGGGTGTAGTTGCCCTTTAATTCAATTGAGTAAAACAAATGCCCTCCCCATTGATACAAATCAGCATTATATAATTCTGTCAGGTCGGCCTACATTGCAGTCAAAATCTACTTGGAAAGGTTTTTTGGGAAAGCCTTTAGAAATATTCATGCAAACAGCGCATGATGACTGGATTGCACATCGCAAATAGCCTCCTTAACAAGACTAAGGACCAACCTTTTTCAATACCTGGTTTGCATACCCATTGTTGCCTTAGTTAGCATTTACTGGTAGATATCATAAGTTGAAACGTCTTTCCTACTTACCGGCTACCGATATCATTATTCTGTGAGCTGCTCCATGCGACAACCAGTTGAGCGCTGTTTGCTCCTGCTGCCTGCAGATGATATTCCGCTGAAACTAGGCTATGTGTGCTGCGTGCATGTGAATATATTTCACGTGCTTTGCGATTGTCTAGGCTACTTTGTGAATGATTTCTCTATTGTACTACATAATTAATAAGTCGTATACCTCCACTACACTACTTTGAAACGCAACAAAACTGATTAAGAAGTTAGTATAGGCAATGCCCACTGAAAAAAAGTGGGTATAGGGCATATACCTGCATATAGCCTCCACTACACTTTTAGATGCATGCCAGCAAAGCCACTACACAACACAACACTAAACAATACATTAATTGCACTATAACGGTGACAAACGGTGCCCACAAACTGTTAGGGCCCACATAAAGCTGTCCCAACAGCAGAGCTTTCTTTTCAGCACCATGGAGTGAATCCTTACCACTGCTACACCTGGCTATCAGCAGAGCCTTGTCTGGCAGCGAAACAGTTCATTCAGCCTCATTTACTGCCTTTAAAAAAAACATAGCTGATATGGCTGACTTGCTTAAACAATTGTGGTTTCTACTGACAATTGAGATGTACAAACTATGGCATAAAGGAACGACGAGCGGATAAGAGGCAATCCGTTATTTTGATTAAGACATTAATGAGCGAGCTAGGACGGACGTAGTCAATATAACTATTTATTCAGCACTTTTGAAATATACAGCGACAGAATTCAGAACATGAGCCGTTCTTACAGTAGTCTCCCTGTACATCAAGTCAGAACCGTAGGATAAATAAAGGGGGCATATAAGCAGACAATGAAAGCTCTTAAAATGTTAGATAACATTTATCTAAAACAGGCTATAGGCTACATGTGCACCACCAAGTCAGAACAGTAGGCTAAGTTATGAGGGGGAAAGGGACCAAATTATTATGGTGAGGCGCATGGACTACTAACAGCTTACTACACAACATACACTTAGTATTACTTTCTTAGCTACAGTATACATATCTCCCTGGCATATTACATCATTTATGCAGCAGCATACAATACATTTTTGGACTCACCTTGTTGTGCTGTGCTCACTTGAACAGGAAGGTGGCGTGGCGGTCCTTCTTGTGGGCAAATGTTGTCATCAAACTTTGTCATCAAAGTCTGGCATTTTCTGGATTTATGGTGCTTTCAAGACACTATTGGGAACTCGGAAAAAAACAAGGTTGAAACATGACGTCAGTGATCTTCAGGTCGGAACTCTAGAAAGAGGACCCATTTCCCGACTTGGAATTCCGAGTTGGATGACCGGTCAAAATATATTTTCCCAGTCGGAGCTCGTTTTTTTCAGAGTTCCCAGTTGTCTTGAACTCAATGAAGTCTGAGATTTCCCAGTTCCGAGTTTTCAGTTGTTTTGAACTCGGCAGAAGTCATGCTGGATTGACAGCATGGCCAATCTATTCAACCGTTTCTGGCCCATGGTGTGTTGGAAGTGAATGTTTATCCTTTTAAGCTTGGAAAAGAGACCCTTAAACCCAGACTCTGACCACACACCCTCTCCACTGAATAGCAGGCTAGTGATTGCTTTGCAAAGATTGCAGTTAGACACTGATTCTTTCCAAACCACTCATTTTAGAATTTGCGATTTCCAACTTTTTGTGTGATGTTAATGTCCAATGGCCGATGAGCACCGATACGTTTGATCTATAATTTATCTTCATATGACAAGGATTGAAAAGGATTTGCCAGTAGATTCTCGACTTGATTCATGATGATGACTGCTTGTTTAGCTTGGTAGCTAAGATTTTGAAAGTATGATGTTGACATGATCAGTCCAGTCAAAGCTATGGTAGATATAACGTGACATGATGTAATTGTATCTGTGGCCAATGACCTTGAGCCATCTTGGATGGGCACTTCTAATGTAAATCTATGGCTGCACCCAAGGGGCATGAATTTTCGAGCTGTCCCCGTAGAATTTGCAGTGACGTACTGTCCCCATGAGTGACAGAACACTGAGCCAATCACGGCACAACTAGAGAACATTACCAACCCCTACACTCCGTATTTTCCGCTGGCTGCCCCACCACCACAGAAAGCACTGAGCTAGGCTGAAACACCTGCATTTTGGAGCTGCCATACTCAAGAAAGCAAAAAAGAGACCATGTTTGTATAAGGCTTTATTAACTCAAATATAATTTTTTTTACATTGTTTGCAATCTGATACGTGACACGTATTAATTCCAAAATAACAGAAAAACTGGCAAAAATAATAATAATAATAACAATTTAAATAAATAAAATATATATACAGTGCATTCGGAAAGTATTCAGACCCCTTCACTTTTTCCACATTTTGTTACGTTACAGCCTTATTCTAAAATTGATTAAATTGTTTTAATTCCTCATCAATCTACACAGAATACCCCATAATGACAAAGCAAAAACAGTTTTTATTTTGCAAATGCAAAAAAAAACTGGATATATTACATTTACATAACTATTCAGACCCTTTACTCAGTACTTTGTTGAAGCACCTTTGGCAGTGATTACAGCCTCGAGTCTTCTTGGGTAGGACGCTACAAGCTTGGCACACTTGTATTTGGGGAGTTTCTCCCATTCTTCTCTGAAGATTCTCTCAATCTCTGTCAGTTTGGATGTGGAGCAACGCTGCACAGCTATTTTCAGGTCTCTTCAGAGACGTTCGTTCGGATTCAAGTCCGGGCTCTGGTTGGGCCACTCAAGGACATTCAGAGACTTGTCCCAAAGCCACTCCTGCGTTGTCTTGGCTGTGTGCTTAGGGTCGTTGTCCTGTTGCAAGGTGAACCTTCGCCCCAGTCTGAGGTCCTGAGCCCTCTGGAGTAGGTTTTCATCAAGGATCTCTCTGTACTTTGCTCCATTCATCTTTCCCTCGATCCTGACTGACGCTTGGCATTCAGGCCAAAGAGTAAAATCTTGGTTTCATCAGACCAGAGAATCTTGTTTCTCATCGTCTGAGACTAGGTGCCTTTTGGCAAACTCCAATCGGGCTGTCATGTGCCTTTTACTGAGAAGTGGCTTCCATCTGGCCACTCTACCATAAAGGCCTGATTGGTGGAGTGCTGCAGAGATGGTCGTCCTTCTGGAAGGTTTTCCCATCTCCACAGAGGAACTCTGGAGCTCTGTCGGATTCTTGGTCACCTCCCTGACCAAGGCCCTTCTCCCCCGATTGCTCAGTTTGGCCGGGTGGCCAGCTCTAGGAAGAGTCTTGATGGTTCCAAACTACTTCCATTTAAGAATGATGGAGGCCACTGTGTTCTTGGGAAACTTCAATGCTGCAGAAAGTTTTTGGTACCCTTCCCCAGATCGGTGCCTTGACACAATCCTGTTTCTGAGCTCTACGGACAATTCCTTCGACCTCATGGCTTGATTCTTGCTCTGACATGCACTGTCAACTGTGGGACCTTAAGTAGTCAGGATTGTGCCTTTCCAAATCATGTCCAATCAATTGAATTTACCACAATGGACTCCAATCAAGGGCTCTGCCCCACCTGCCCTGAATGATGGGTCGCCACTGCTAATAGTGAGTGTGCAACTTTCCAACAATTTCCCCCACTCTTCCCTACCAGCGAGTCAAAACAATTTGGGCAAAGTTTGAGGATATTTTTCAATGAAAGTAAAGGACAGTAATGTTACGAGTAAAGTAGGAATCCCAGGTTTCAATAGGCGGTAAGATATTCATGTTTCAAGAAAGGATTGTATACATTTGGCCTGGTGAAGCGCTTTTATGTGCTGACTGAATGGAAGCTCATAATTAGACGTTTTTTACTCCGCTGGTCTCGGCTGGTCTCGGGAAGAAATTAGGAGTCCCCCTGTCCCACACCGAGACAAGACCGAGACACTCAATATGGGGTCTCGAGACAGGACTCGAGACCGGTGCTCGATTTTATACACCTGTCAGCAAGGATGTGGCTGAAATAGCCGAATCCGCTAATTTAAAGGGGAGTCCACATACTTTTGTATATACAATGTATGTGAGAATGCTGTTCATTCGCTACAGTTCAGCATTCAACACTATTGTCAACACCAAGCTCAGGGTCATCTGCAACTGGATCCTGGACTTCCTGACGGGCAGACCACAGGCTGTGAGGGTTGGCAACACCTCCTCCACACTGACTCTTAACACAGGGGCCCCCCAGGGGTGTGTCCTCAGCCCTCTGCTGTACTCCCTGTTCACTCACGACTGCGTGGCTTTGCACGACACTAACTCCATCATCATCACGACACTAACTCCATCAACTCGATCCCACCGATGTCAACAACTACAGACCAGTATCCCTTCTTTCTTTTCTCTCCAAAACGTGAGCGTGCCGTCTATAGCCAACTCTCCTGCTATCTCTCTCAGAATGACCTTCTTGATCCAAACCAGTCAGGTTTCAAGACTGGTCATTTAACTGAGACTGCTCTTCTCTGTGTCATGGAGGCTCTCCACACTGCTAAAGCTAACTCTCTCTCCTCTGCTTTCATCCTTCTAGACCTATCTGCTGCCTTTGATACAGTGAACCATCAGATCCTCCTCTCCACCCTCTCCGAGTTGGGCATCTCCGGCGCGGCTCACTCTTGGATTGCGTCCTACCTGACAGGTCGCTCCTACCAGGTGGCGTGGCGAGAATCTGTCTCCGCACCACGTGCTCTCACCACTGGTGTCCCCCAGGGCTCAGTTCTAGGCCCTCTCCTATTCTCTCTATACACCAAGTCACTTGGCTCTGTCATATCCTCAGATGGTCTCTCCTATCATTGCTACGCAGACAACACACAATTAATCTTCTCATTTCCCCCTTCTGATAACCAGGTGGCGAATCGCATCTCTGCATGTCTGGCAGACATATCAGTCTGGATGTCAGATCACCACCTCAAGCTGAACCTCGGCAAGACGGAGCTGCTCTTCCTCCCAGGGAAGGACTGCCCGCTCCATGATCTCGCCATCACGGTTGACAACTCTGTTGTGTCCTCCTCCCAGAGTGCAAAGAACCTTGGCGTGACCCTGGACAACACCCTGTCGTTCTCCGCTAACATCAAGGCGGTGACCCGATCCTGTAGGTTCATGCTCTACAACATTCGCAGAGTACGACCCTACCTTACACAGGAAGCGGCACAGATCCAAATTTACATTTACATTTTACATTTTAGTCATTTAGCAGACGCTCTTATCCAGAGCGACTTACAGGAGCAATTAGGGTTAAGTGCCTTGCTCAAGTCCAGGCACTTGTCATCTCCCGTCTGGATTACTGCAACTCGCTGTTGGCTGGGCTCCCTGCCTGTGCCATTAAACCCCTACAACTCATCCAGAATGCTGCAGCCTGTCTGGTGTTCAACCTTCCCAAGTTCTCTCACGTCACCCCGCTCCTACGCACACTCCACTGGCTTCCAGTTGAAGCTCGCATCTGCTACAAGAACATGGTGCTTGCCTACGGAGCTGTGAGGGGAACGGCACCTCCTTCAGGCTCTGATCAGTCCCTACACCCAAACGAGGGCATTGCGTTCTTCCACCTCTGGCCTGCTGGTCCCCCTACCTCTGCGGAAGCACAGTTACCCGCTCAGCCCAGTCAAAACTGTTCACTGCTCTGGCACCCCAATGGTGGAACAAGCTCCCTCACGACGCCAGGACAGCGGAGTCACTGACCACCTTCCGGAGACACTTGAAACCCTACCTCTTTAAGGAATACCTGGGATAGTATAAAAGTAATCCTTCTACCCCCCCTTACCCCCCCCCCCACCCACAAAAATAATAATTAAAAAAACAATATATATATATAACAAATGAAAATTTAAAATATACCCTAAAGATTCAAAATGTAATTGTTTTATATATATATTGTTTTTTAAATTTATTTTTATTTTTATTTTTTATTTTTGTGGGTGTGGGGGGGGGGGAGGGGTAGAAGGATTACTTTTATACTATCCCAGGTATTCCTTAAAGAGGTAGGGTTTCAAGTGTCTCCGGAAGGTGGTCAGTGACTCCGCTGTCCTGGCGTCGTGAGGGAGCTTGTTCCACCATTGGGGTGCCAGAGCAGTGAACAGTTTTGACTGGGCTGAGCGGGAACTGTGGTTGTCCCACTGCCTATCATAAGGTGAATGCACCAATTTGTAAGTCGCTCTGGATAAGAGCGTCTGCTAAATGACGTAAATGTAAATGTAATTAAGTTCACTGACGACACGCTGACTACGGTTATAGGCCTGACAACCATTAATGACGAGTCAGCCTATAGGGAGGAGGCAAGTGAACTGGCATTGTGGTGCCAGGACAACAACCTCTCCCTCAACATCAGCAAAACAAAGGAGTTGATTGTTGACTTCAGGAAGCAGAGGACGGTATATGCCCCGATCCACATCAACAGGACTGGAAGTAGAGAGAGTCAGCAGTTTTAAGTTTCCCTGCGTCCACATCACTGAGGACTTGACATGGACCAACAACACCACCACTGTTGTCAAGAGGGCGCAACAGCACCTCTACTTCCTAAGCCGGTTGAAGAAATTCGACATGCCACCCCATGTCCTCTCCAAATACAACCGCTGCACCATCGAGAGCGTCCAGACCGGTTGCATCATGGCCTGGAGCAGGTGGTGAAGACGGCCCAGTACATCACTGGGACCGTGCTCGCCCCCATCCAGGACATCTACTCGAAACGGTGCCTGAGATAGTCCCGCAGCATCATCAAGGACCCCACACACCCCAGCCATGAGCTGTTCACTCCCTTACCGTCTGGCAGACAGTATCGGAGCATGAGGTCTGATACCAACAGGCTCAGAGACACTTTCTATCTACAAGCCATCAGACCGCTGAACACTTGAACTGGACTGACCACCTGCATTGACTTTCCGCACCTTAAATGGATACTTTGGGATTTTGGCAATGAGGAGCTTTATCTACTTCCCACGAGTTCATCTGACTCTAAGGAAGTAGATAAAGGGCTTCATTGCCAAAATCCCAAAGTATCCCTTTAACACACATGGACTCACTCATGCACACACACACACATCACAACTGCTGCTACCAGACTCGTATTTATTATTGCTAAATACTGCAAAATTTTAACACTTCCCACCCAATCCCCTCTTCCCTAAAACACATGTAAATAATGCATAATAAACTATTCAGCAATAAAGGTTAAAGGCTAACAAAATGAACCAACAAAATTCCCCCAAAATGAGGTATTGACTGTATGTCTCTTTAGTGTGAACTACCGGTTGTCTCTGAACCAGTCAACCCCTAAATGGTAGTCCTATGGGATTATCATGACGATGACCTTTGACTCCTACAGCGGAATCCAGTATAATCCAATAGTGTCTCCTCTCCCCTTTAGAGGGTCTGCCTGACTGAACACACATGATAATACCACCTGTACTGGAAATAACAGGGTTTTCGGACCTTGTTTCCCCCGACTGGACTACAAGGGCCCTTTTAAACGAACAAATTATGTGAAGTAAATCTGCCTTTCTTCCACGCCAGAATGACACTTTTCTGTGCTATGAGATCTTGTGGTTGTTTGACCTTTGATCTTTGTTTTTAATCCAATAGAGTGTCTCCTCTCCCGCAGGGTCCGAGCTTAGTGAACACATGATAATTCCACCTTTAACTAACCTTGTTGTCCCTAATCTACAGCACCCAGAACCCAATCTCGATTAGAGAGTCTGTCACAGAGATACCATGTTTCCCCCAACTGGAGCCTAAGCCTTGGATGGTGTGTGTGTATGCATGTGTGTGTATGCATGCGTGCGCTCTATGTGTGGGTGTGTGTATGAGCGTATGTGTGTGTCTGTACTGGATGTGTCTGTGTTCGAGAGAGAGAGAGAGAGAGAGAGAGAGAGAGAGAGAGAGCGAGAGAGAGAGAGAGAGCATTAGCACCTCTGTCTGTGTGTGGACATGACATAAATCCTAAGGTGAATCGTCGGGGGCCCAGGCTTCCCTGGCTGGCTGCGGTTTCTAAGAAGACACTTTACATCCCTCCCACATCCCTAACGATTGTCTCATAGCAACCTTTTACTGCGGTAAAGTGGCCCTAAGCAACCCTTTTCTTCAGTAAAGCTAACCTAAAAGCCGTTCCATCCGCTGTCTGGTCGGAATGGAAGATGGCGGAAGCAGATGTTTTGTTTGAAACTGATGGCGTGTCGAGTGGATATGATAGTGAGGAGAAATGGATTCCAGTGGAGAATACAAAAGGGAACAAGAGAAGTAAAGTTGTTGTGGAATCTAGTCAATCCAACCATCGTTCTGATTCTTTTCTTAGTTGGAGTGAAGGTTTTGGACCGATGGAGTTACCTGGGAGATCTGTTTGACGTCTCGATGAAAATCTTAGATGCGTTGGATGAAGTTGCGTCAGTGTGTATAACAAGAAGTGGGCTTGTTTGTGTGTCAGAGGAGCAGAAAGAGGTTTGCAAAGATATCGGATTGGAATGTGTCGTGTGGGGAGCTGCGAAGCAGGGTGCCTATCAAGGGGGTTATCTCTGGAGTGGCGCTAGAAGCGAGTGCAAAGGATGTAACTGAAGAAATAGAACCAGTGGTTGGTGCATGCCGACTGACCCGTATGGTGGAAGGAGTGAGGAAGCCCATTGCATCCATGCTTTTGTTCATTGAAGAAGAGTCTCTCCCTGCACACGTATATTTAGGTTATGTGAGATAGCCTTCGTGCCTAAAACACATGCAGTATGATGAATGTAAACTATTTGGTCATGTGTCAAGTGTATGTAGACGGGAGGAATATCATATGCCAGCTGAGGCGAAATGCTGCAATTGTGGTGGCGAATATGCAACCAAATTCCTGAAGTGCCCTTTTATGGTGAAGGAGACAGAGGTGGCAAGGATAAGGGCTGTCCAGTGTGCCTCCTAGGCGGAGAAAGTGAGAAGAGTGAAAGTAACGTTGAACAAACCATGGTAGTTTGATTAGAGACACCAGTAAATGTTCCTGGCCAACAGGATCCTGACATGTTGCATGTTAAAAAGGTGGACTTTGTATCGTTTATTGCATTGGTTATAAACTGCACAACACAAATAAAGAGGAAATCTGAGAAAATAGGCATCGTTGTGAGTGCGGCATAATTTTTTGGGGGACTCAGGGATTTTACAGCAGAGGCACTACAAGGAATCCTGTCAACGAATGTTCCATCCTCACAGGCCCCTGAGCCTGTGTAGGGATGTCATTTGGACAATGACTGAAGGAGTGGGATGCGGTTTTGGATGTATTTGATTTATGTATTGTATATGATGTTGTTTTTTCCCCCCCCTTTCCCGCAATGATTATTTTTTTTCTCGTTCACTACCCGTACAGTAGGTGGAGGCATGCACCTAGAAACGTTTGTTTGCAGACCGTCATAAAACCAGGGAAGAAGAACACTGGTCGGAACCAGTCGTTCCTGGACAGGTTACTCTCTAGGCTAGACTAGCTCCATCCAGCTGTCCCTCCCCTGGCTGCATGGCTCATTCCAAACACACACTGACACACACAGACACACACTCTCGGACACTGATACATTCCCACACAGGGTGGATTGAGTGGATTTGGGTAGATTGGGTGGATTTGGGTGGATTTGGGGTGGACTGGGTGGATTTGGGGTGGATTTGGGTGGATTGGGTGGATTTGGGTGGATTTGGGGTGGACTGGGTGGATTTGGGGTGGATTTGGGTGGATTGGGTGGATTTGGGTGGATTTGGGGTGGACTGGGTGAATTTGGGGTGGATTTGGGTGGATTGGGTGGATTTGGGGTGGATTGGGTGGATTGGCTAGATTGGGTGGATTGGGGTGGATTGGGTGAATTTGGGCTGGATTGGGTCAGGCCGGTGTGGGCTCAGTGGGCTGACAGGAGAAGAGAGGGTTGGGGTGAGCCAGCCAGTGGGGTGGGTTTGTGGGGTTCCTGCCCTAGCCCAGACCGCCCCAGACCAGTTAGTTGTGCTGTCTGTGCAGGGTTTTTGTTCCCGCCTGACAGGCACCCACTGTAATTAACTCCCTGGATCACTCTGTATGCTCACTCTCACAGACAAAGAGAGGGAGCGGGATGGAGGGAGGGAGGGAGGGAGGGAGGGGGGAGGGGGGAGGGGGGAGGGGAGATCGGGAGGGGGAGGGAGGGAGAGAGAGAGAGGGGGAGGGAGTTAGGGAGGGGGGAGGGTGGGCTAGAGAGAGAGGTGTGAGGGGGAGAGAATATGGCACGCACACACACAAATCCAACCATCTGTGTGTGTGTGTGTGTGTGTGCATTAGCCACACTGCCACTCTCTGGGAGTCATGCCATGTTAATCCTCTATTTGGCTCATCAGTCTCTAACTCTCTCTCCCTCCCTCCATCCCTCCCCCTCTCTCCCTCCCTCTCTCTTATTGTAAACAGTTTTCATAAGGTGGAATGGGCCTAGAGTATGTTTGCAAATCCAAGATCAAGAACACTGCTTTCATTACTTGAGATAAGGGGCAAAGCAGAATACATACAATCATAGTAATACTGCCTTTATGGAAACAGACTACTTTTACTGCCTTAGTAAGTCTCTGGTCGAGGATGTCTGGCTTTCCTAAGTGCTTAGGTATGGGCTGGCTGCTGCTGGCTGCTTTTGATGGTGTGACCAGTTGGAGTGTTAAGTGATCTAAACCAGAGCGGTCGGTCGGCTGGTGGGACTGATTTACGGTAAGAGCAGGGCTGGTGGTTATAGTCCTACAAGCAGTCTAGTGGTAACACCTGATGTGATTTACGGTAAGAGCAGGGCTGGTGGTTATAGTCCTACAAGCAGTCTAGTGGTAACACCTGATGTGATTTACGGTAAGAGCAGGGCTGGTGGTTATAGTCCTACAAGCAGTCTAGTGGTAACACCTGATGTGATTTACGGTAAGAGCAGGGCTGGTGGTTATAGTCCTACAAGCAGTCTAGTGGTAACACCTGATGTGATTTACGGTAAGAGCAGGGCTGGTGGTTATAGTCCTACAAGCAGTCTAGTGGTAACACCTGATGTGATTTACGGTAAGAGCAGTAGGGACAGAGCTGAAAGGCGGAGGGATACGGAGGTGGTTAGTCCTACAAACAGTGGTGCAGAGCCATGTGGTCTAGTGGTCTAATGGTAACACACCCAGCTCCTAGCACACATAATACATCTGTATGTCGCCCCAGGAGATGGGACATCAGTCCTTCCTACAGAGTCTCCCCTCCTCATTTATCTCCTCCTCTACTTCAATACTGTCTGAATATAACATAAAAAAGATTTGAAAAAGCAGTGCTGTTATTATACAGGGGAATCTTGCTAAAGGCTGGAGGGGAACAATGGAGGTGGTTAGCCTTATAAGCAGTGCTGTAACACAATTCCATTTCAATTCTTCCAATTCAGGAAGTAAACTGAAATTCCAATTCCCAACTAATTTGCCTCATTACTTTTCAATTAAGAAAATTGAAATGGAATTGACCCCACCTACACCCTGTGTCCTAAATGACACCCTGTTCCCTACATAGTTCGCTACTTTTGACCAGATCCCTATGGGCCCTGGTCAAAAGTAGTGCACTACACAGGCAATAGGGTGCCATTTGAGAGAGAGAGAGATTGGACACATCAGCTGTGTAGCATTAGCTCCGAAGCCAACACATGACTGACCAGTGTAGACTAGCCTACTAGCATTTCCACACAAAGACATCAGACAAATCAGCTGGCGAATCACACAGCTTCTCTTTTGTGACCGCAAACAGTACGTTTATTTTCCTTATTTTTTCAAGTGTCTCCTGCCAGTTGAGCCCACACCGTATGACGTCATTGGCTGTTGTTCCCTGTTGCTCTACAGTGTCAGTAAATCACGAGTTGCTCCGTAAGGGTACAATCCCACATTTAGCTTGTCACGCTTTCACGTCTTCAGGGTCAATAAATGACAGTTAAGAGAGTCCACCAATGGGGAGGGACATTCTCTAAAGCGACTACTGGTTCCTCTTTGTCACGACTTCCACCGTCGCCATCCGGCTCGCCCTGCTCCACGTCCTCCTGGCCGTCCCCGAGGCCAGGGTCGGCACGCTGCTGGAGCTGCGCGTCAAGGGGGGGGTACTGTCACGACTTCCGCCAAGGCTGCCTCCCCTCCTTGTTCGGACAGGCTTCGGCGTTCGTCGTCACCAGCTTACTAGCCACTGCCGCTCCATATATCATCATTCCATTTGTCTTGTCTTGTCAATTACACACACCTGGTTCATATCCCCTCATTAGTCTGTGTATAAGTGTTCCCTCTGCCCCCTTGTCCTTGTGGGTGATTGTTTTATGTGAGTTGAGTGTAGCTCGGTTGAGCTACTCGTACCTTGTATTGCCGGGGTAGATTATTCCCCTGTGCCTGTATTTTGTTGTCGCTATCCAGCGCAACTGTGTACGACGGAATAAACTCTGTATTCCCGTGTAGCTCAGTTGGTAGAGCATGGCGCTTGCAACGCCAGGGTTGTGGGTTCGATTCCCACGGGGGGCCAGTATGAAAAATGTATGCACTCACTAACTGTAAGTCGCTCTGGATAAGAGCGTCTGCTAAATGACTAAAATGTAAATTTACCCTCCCGCGCCTGACTCTTTCACTACACACATCCCTTTCATTCTCTTGTTCTGTTCATTCATCTTAATCTCAACCTCTTGGTGAGGTTTGTTCTAATTATGGCTATTGTTCCTCTTTCACTACCTGGACACACCCCCTTTTCTTCACTCTACCCTTCATGTCCAATTGTTTATTGTTCTATGTTAATCTTATCCTTCATCTATAGGGTTAAGCTTCATTGATCCTTTTGTGTTGGTTGTCACAGCTCAGCAACATACACAAAAGCATTGGCCTCTGCAACACAATACTTTTCCAATAGCTAGGCTAAACATCAGTGCCTTAGGGGAACATGTCACTTGAATATATATATATATATATATATATATATATATATATATATATGACATATGCTGTGATAATGAATAGTAGTAATATAGAATAGCATAGAATATAATACAGTACAATATAATTGTAATGCAGTAGGAATAAATACTACACTCTTAGAAGAAAATGTTCCAAAAGGGTTCTTCGGCTGTCCCCATAGGAGAACACTTTTTGGTTCCAGGTAGAACCCTTTTGGAACCATCTGTGGAAAGGGTTCTACATGGAACCCAAAAGGGTTCTACCTGGAACCAAAACAGTTCTATCTGGAACCAAAAAGGGTTCTTCAAGGGTTCTTAAAAGGGTTCTCCTATGGGTACAGCTGAAAAACACGTTTAGGTTTTAGATAGCACCTTTTTTTCTAAGAGTGTAATGAATATCAGGCAACATTGTTTTTGATGGACAATGAATGAATCACGCGTCATCTATGGATTTCATAGAAAGTTCAGGCATGTGAGGGTGACTGTCTCGCTGCAGTCTGCACATTCAACCTGTAACGTTTCAAATCTAGTGCATTTTCTTTTTCACAGGGAATGTATCTACTACCCTATCATCATGCATTATTCATGTGTTCCTGAGTGCAGCAAAAGTACATCTTCTTCCACCCCCCCCTCTCTCTGTCTCCAATGTGCTGCAGTGAGTCTGAGTCTCAGTCTGATTAGCAAGCAGACAACAGGCTGAGACGATCTCAGGGAGGAGAGAAGCTCCTGATAATGTGTGTTTGTGTTTGTGTGGAGGTCCTGGGAAGATTTCAACTGACTTTAAGTCATACATTATGGTGTGTGTAATTCAATACAAAACTAATAGCTATAGATTTTCCCAACAGACCAGTAAAATCAACACAATATATTGTTGCCATTGATCGGTATTACCTCTCTACACCTTCCATGTCATTACCTCTAGAGACCACTCACACATACTTAAACAGACACTGTTGTCATAAACCAGAAATCAAACCGTGGCCTGCATAAAACTGAGCCGAGCCAAACCAAGCTGTACTGAGCTGGCCTGGTTACGCATCCACCATACTTGCTGGAGCCGTGCTGAAAATAACATATCCAAGGCAGTACAGTTTGTTTGGGGTCGGCACAATAGTCTGAAAAGTGTCTAGACTCTAGAGAACTAGAGAGTACGAGTATTGTTCTTACCTGTAGTTCGCACCAGGCCACCTCCACCCAGGTCTCAGTGTCTAGGCCTTTGTAAACGGTCTTAAAGGCTCCCCTCCCCAGCTCAATGTCAAACTTCAGAAACCTCCCCCCCGGCGAGGTGGCCACGGCCTTCATCTCTGCCTCCTCCTCCTGCTCTCTGTCCCTCTCCTTCCCCGTCTGGGCAGGGGTGGAGGAGGGGGTGTCCTTGGCCCCGGCGTCCTGGGTGGTGCTGGGGCTGGATGGGTCGTTGTGAGCCGTGTCATGTCCCAGGGCTGCGGAAACTGAGGCGGCGGTGGCGGTAGGGGCCTGGGCCCCGCTGAGGGTGAAGACTGAGTCCAGGTGGGGGGCGGAGTGGGAGACCGCTGCAGGGTCTGCCGCCACCTCGTCCTCCTCCTCGCAGATCTCCACACTCTTCCTGAAGAAACGTTTCTCTCTCCTCAGCCTCGGCCCGTGACCTCCTGACCCTGAAGCCACCACGGTCGCAGCCGTGGATGAGGGTGTGGAGAGAGACATAGGTCTAAACGGAGGAATCTCCTCTTCCTTAACGTCTGTGTCCTCCATCTCTCCTCGCCCTCCTCTGCTTCCGCCTCCTCTTGGTCCTTCTCCTGTCTCCCTTCCCTCGGCGGCTCTCCTCTCTTGGGTCTGGGAGGAGGGGAAGTCAGAGGGGGTGCTGTGCGTCCTTTCCCTCCTGCCGCTCTCCTGCTCCGTCTCCTCCTCCCGTACTCCATCAGGTTTCTCTGAGGAGTCCTCTGTCCCCGTGGGTTCTCCAGGGTCCGTCGCCATGGGGATGCGCCTCCTCCTGCTCCCCGTCCTCTCCTCCTCCGACCCTCTGGTTCTCCTTCAGTCCCCGTCTCTCCTCTCTTTCTGTGGCCCTCTTCTTACCCACCTTCTAGGTTCTCTGGCTGCTGTTCTTCCAGTGTTGCTGGTGACTACGGGGCTGGGCCCTACCACTAGAGACTCCCTCCCTCCTTCTCTAACCTTTCTTTAGAGTCTTTACAGAGACATAAAGAGGACAAGCAGCACAGTGCTTATTTTCTCCGCTCCGACCTAGCGTTCTGTCCTTACCTTCCTTCTCTTCATCTCCTGAAGAGCCTTCCCTGTGCACCTTAACGAGGGGACTAAACTCAATACGCACCTCAGTAAAGCCTCACCTCAGCCAACCTTACTATAAAAACACACTGAGGCAGAGGAGAGTATTTCAAGTCTCTGGGAAAGAGAGGGAAGCTGAGGGAAGCTGGGGCCTCTTCCTCCTCTTCTAGATAATCATCACCTTCAAAGTCTTAAGGTGAATCTCCTCAGGTAAATCCTGTGAAGAAAACAAACAAACAAATACATTAGTATTCAGCAGGCTAGTATAGCGAGATACTAATAACTTTCCACTGTACAAGTCATATTCAAATAATTCCTTTCCAAGAAGAACACCAGTTTCAGTTTGATGTTTGAGATTGTTTTAGTTTGATGTTCTGGGTTTGATGGTGAGGTCAGTGGGGACTGCACAGAGGGAGGATCTGAGTATAATCAAAGTTCTTAGCTAAATCCTGGGACTATATTCCTTTCCACAGTCAGTCCTCTCTGTCAAAGGATGCCAGCTCACAGTGTGTAAAATCATATCAAATCAAATAGTTCTTATTAATGGGGAAATGTTCATACACTCCTCTAGGGGATGGTTTCCTCATTTTGAATGTAACTGATTCCTAATAGGACACTTGAAACACTGCCTAGCTAGTACCAATTTATGGTGTTACTCCCAGGCATTTCCCCAGTGTCTATTCCAACTCAAGTGTTGATTGCCTTCTACAAAAGGGACTAAAACAGGGAATCTTCTGCAATGGGTTTTCTATTTCTGCAATTTGTTTCGTAGCTAGTAGCAAACCGACTGGTCCTTTCAATTTCAACCCTCATAAGTCTGCTGAAGAAATTCTCCAGTAATAGGATGCTGGCTAACGCAGATGGCATGTTTCATGTTTCCAGTGTTTTGGGGTAAATTATGAAGACTGTCAGGTGATTAATTCATTTGGATTGGGTGGCGTAAGAACAGGCCATGTCAGAACAGGCCATGCCACAAGCTGCCCATGTATGGTGTTTTGAGATAATGTAGGCCTACTCTGAGGAAAGGAACCATTAAAATATGTTAATCACAAACCCTGATGACAGCTTAGTCTTTGTTATGGGCTGGTTCAACTAAGCAAAGTTTTCCACAGCCCAGCACCCCTAAAAAGTGTTGTGCATTTGACTTTATAGATTAGTTAAACTAAGAAATCCGTCATAGAATAATATCTTGCATAGTTTTGCTTTGAGTTTTACAGCTTGTCATCAATCAGAATTTAGTGAGTGTGTTGCAACTTTAGTTGTGTTCGGTGGAGACCATTAGTCAACACAGCGGTGCTAAATCCTGTTCTGATTATTACAAATTGATGATGCAGTACTATGGACCATTTATTCCTTCAATATTCATTCATGAGCAGAGGGTTGCACCCCAAATGGCACCCTATTCCCTATATAGTGCACTACTTTTGACCAGAGCCCTATGGGCCCAGGTCAAAAGAAGTGCACTACTTACAGGATCTATTATTCCAAACAGCAATTCTTAGCGATATCTGTGAACTCTTAGAAATATCTGTGAACTCTTAGCGATATCTTTCAACTCGTACTTGTAGCTACTCTATTACACAGTAACAGCCTTACACATTTTACAAATATAGAACACAAATATATAGCACTGTTCATTAAAAAACATACAAAAACAAAACATACAAATATATATATATATATATATCCTTATATGAACTGTAACTCAGTCAAATCTTAGAAATTGTTCCATGTTGTGTTAATATTTTTGTTCAGTATATATACAGTGGGGAGAACAAGTATTTGATACACTGCCGATTTTGCAGGTTTTCCTACTTACAAAGCATGTAGAGGTCTGTAATTTTTATCATAGGTACACTTCAACTGTGAGAGACGGAATCTAAAACAAAAATCCAGAAAATCACATTGTATGATTTTTAAGTAATTAATTTGCATTTTATTGCATGACATAAGTATTTGATCACCTACCAACCAGTAAGAATTCCGGCTCTCACAGACCTGTTAGTTTTTCTTTAAGAAGCCCTCCTGTTCTCCACTCATTACCTGTATTAACTGCACCTGTTTGAACTCGTTACCTGTATAAAAGACACCTGTCCACACACTCAATCAAACAGACTCCAACCTCTCCACAATGGCCAAGACCAGAGAGCTGTGTAAGGACATCAGGGATAAAATTGTAGACCTGCACAAGGCTGGGATGGGCTACAGGACAATAGGCAAGCAGCTTGGTGAGAAGACAACAACTGTTGGCACAATTATTAGAAAATGGAAGAAGTTCAAGATGACGGTCAATCACCCTTGGTCTGGGGCTCCATGCAAGATCTCACCATGTGGGGCATCAATCAATCAATCAATCAATTTTATTTTATATAGCCCTTCTTACATCAGCTAATATCTCGAAGTGCTGTACAGAAACCCAGCCTAAAACCCCAAACAGCTAGTAATGCAGGTGTAGAAGCACGGTGGCTAGGAAAAACTCCCTAGAAAGGCGAAAACCTAGGAAGAAACCTAGAGAGGAACCAGGCTATGAGGGGTGGCCAGTCCTCTTCTGGCTGTGCCGGGTGAAGATTATAACAGAACCATGCCAATATGTTCAAAAATTTTCATAAGTGACAAGCATGGTCAAATAATAATCAGGAATAAATCTCAGTTGGCTTTTCATAGCCGATCATTAAGAGTTGAAAACAGCAGGTCTGGGACAGGTAGGGGTTCCATAACCGCAGGCAGAACAGTTGAAACTGGAATAGCAGCAAGGCCAGGCGGACTGGGGACAGCAAGGAGTCACCACGGCCGGTAGTCCCGACGTATGGTCCTAGGGCTCAGGTCTCTCAGTTGGCTTTTCATCAATGATCATGAGGAAGGTGAGGGATCAGCCCAGAACTACACGGCAGGACCTGGTCAATGACCTGAAGAGAGCTGGGACCAAAGTCTCAAAGCAAACCATTAGTAACACACTACGCCGTCATGGATTAAAATCCTGCAGCGCACGCAAGGTCCCCCTGCTCAAGCCAGCGCATGTCCAGGCCCGTCTGAAGTTTGCCAATGACCAACTGGATGATCCAGAGGAGGAATGGGAGAAGGTCATGTGGTCTGATGAGACAAAAATAGAGCTTTTTGGTCTAAACTCCACTCGCCGTGTTTGGAGGAAGAAGAAGGATGAGTACAACCCCAAGAACACCATCCCAACCGTGAAGGATGGAGGTGGAAACATCATTCTTTGGGGATGCTTTTCTGCAAAGGGGACAGGACGACTGCACCGTATTGAGGGGAGGATGGATGGGGCCATGTATCGCGAGATCTTGGCCAACAACCTCCTTCCCTCAGTAAGAGCATTGAAGATGGGTCATGGCTGGGTCTTCCAGCATGACAACGACCCGAAACACACAGCCAGGGCAACTAAGGAGTGGCTCCGTAAGATGCATCTCAAGGTCCTGGAGTGGCCTAGCCAGTCTCCAGACCTGAACCCAATAGAACATCTTTGGAGGGAGCTGAAAGTCTGTATTGCCCAGCGACAGCCCCGAAACCTGAAGGATCTGGAGAAGGTCTGTATGGAGGAGTGGGCCAAAATCCCTGCTGCAGTGTGTGCAAACCTGGTCAAGACCTACAGGAAACGTATGATCTCTGTAATTGCAAACAAAGGTTTCTGTACCAGATATTAAGTTCTGCTTTTCTGATGTATCAAATACTTATGTCATGCAATAAAATGCAAATAAATTACTTAAAAATCATACAATGTGATTTTCTGGATTTTTGTTTTAGATTCCGTCTCTCACAGACCTCTACATGCTTTGTACGTAGGAAAACCTGCAAAATCAGCAGTGTATCAAATACTTTTTCTCCCCACTGTATATATATACAGTGGGGGAAAAAACTATTTAGTCAGCCACCAATTGTGTAAGTTCTCCCACTTAAAAAGATGAGAGAGGCCTGTAATTTTCATCATAGGTACACGTCAACTATGACAGACAAAATTAGATTTTTTTTTCCAGAAAATCACATTGTAGGATTTTTAATGAATTTATTTGCAAATTATGGTGGAAAATAAGTATTTGGTCACCTACAAACAAGCAAGATTTCTGGCTCTCACAGACCTGTAACTTCTTATTTTTAGAGGCTCCTCTGTCCTCCACTCGTTACCTGTATTAATGGCACCTGTCTGAACTTGTTATCAGTATAAAAGACACCTGTCCACAACCTCAAACAGTCACACTCCAAACTCCACTATGGCCAAGACCAAAGAGCTGTCAAAACATCACTGCTCTAGAGGAGATCTGCATGGAAGAATGGGCCAAAATACCAGCAACAGTGTGTGAAAACCTTGTGAAGACTTACAGAAAATGTTTGACCTGTGTCATTGCCAACAAAGGGTATATAACAAAGTATTGAGAAACTTTTGTTATTGACCAAATACTTATTTTCCACCATAATTTGCAAATAAATTCATTAAAAATCCTACAATGTGATTTTCTGGATTTTTTTTCCTCATTTTGTCTGTCATAGTTGACGTGTACCTATGATGAAAATTACAGGCCTCTCTCATCTTTTTAAGTGGGAGAACTTGCACAATTGGTGGCTGACTAAATACTTTTTTCCCCCACTGTACACTACCAGTCAAAAGTTTGGACATAGTGAATCCATATGTATATTCAAGCAGACCACCATAGTCCCCGTGCCCAAGGACTCTAAGATAACCT